ATAATAAATTTACATAAATATATATCTATTTTAGTTGTTAAAATTATATTTTATATATATATATTATCTAATATACATTTATTTAAATTTATATATATGTATTTAGAATAAATTTTACATTGTCACTTATTTAAGGATTGTTAATAAGCTTAAACAATTTAATAGAGTTATTCTTGCATTTTTTAGATGGATGTTTTCTTGGCAATTTGTTTATTTGTATTTTCTTTAATCAAGTCTTCTACTTTTTTAAATTCTTTTCCAATGAAATCTAATCTTTTACTCACATTCTCTTTAGACTCTTATAGTGTTTATGAAACCTTTAAATGTTATTGCAATGATTAATTACCAAAACACTAGCAATAAGTTTGTATACTTTTGCTTCTGGTTCAAGCAAGTCAAGTTCCTTTTTGACCATTTCATTTTCATGAGATTACTCAATGAGTTTTTACCTGCCTTCAATTAGAGTAGGAGTGTATACCTTCAACATACTTTTACATTTCCCTTTGTAAAGTCTAAAGAAGTTTGGATTCTTCTTCAATCTTACTTTATAACATCTACACCTATTCAGCCATTAAATATTTTAATATATATCATGATTTTTATTCAAACAAAGCAATTTCTTCATTAAGTAATTACAACTCCTTCTCTTTCTAAGCAATTTTTAATTTGATTTCCTGATTTTCCTTGATCAACCCAACCATAAGGACAGGATCATAAGAAGGTGTCTGAGATTGTGAAACTGTTTGTCCAGGTTAAGGCATTTTGATATGTGGTTTTTTTATGGCAGTTTTTTATGGAGTGACTACAGGAGTTTGTTTCATCATAGGATACTGTTGCATAGATTAAGTGTTTCTTAATCTCTGGTAGTCTAAACGTAATGTATTTGGAGTTCCAATTCTTTAGATTTGAGATGTACGTTGTGTTGGTGAGACAAAAGGACCATATTAGTTGAGATTTTAGAATTGCGGTACTACAGGGTATCGTGTTGGTTAACGAATTTGCATTTATATATATAAATATATTTTTTATTAATGTAAAATCAAGTGGATCTAGACATTGACACAGGTCAATTTGATACTATGGAGAGAGACTTTTAAGAAGTGTTAAAAGATTTAGGCACTGATTAAAATCTAGAGAAATTTCGATCTGAGTTTGATAAACTTTATCGGTCGTTGAAAATCATTCACGAGAATTAAAGACGATTAATCAGCAAATGTAGGGAGTATAATGCTGAAATCTCTTAAAATGCATCAAAAGTATTCATGAATTTAACATTAGATTCAAACTGTTTTAAAAATGACAGCTGATGATTCTGCTGCTATTTAATAATTGAAAACTCAATTAGAAAAAGCATATAAGGTGTTAGAGATTTAATAAGAGAGGGAAGAGAAACATAAATAAAAGATAAAAATCTAGGAAAATGAAATTAAGTAATTGTTATATTATTATATATAGATAACTCAATCAAACAATTGAATAAAGTAAAGCTTTAAATTCAGGATAGACTACAACTGTACATGAGTTATTATAAAGGAAGTAGGAACTGTTAAAAGAAAAAGAAATATTATAGATTTAAGTATTTGGAACAAGATCAGAAAATTAATCAATTACAGATAGAATTAAGTCTTTAGAGACTTCTAAGGAATCAGTTATGAAAGAATATAAAATATTATAGCAATAGAAATCTGAATTTGAGGAGAGATTATAAAAAGATGAGGATGCAAAAAATGTAACTTAAGCAGAATTGGAGAAGATTAAAAAAGATTTTGATTCTTTGAAAGAGGATGAAAAGTAATTAGGAAATGAAAAAAAGAAATTAAAAAGTGAAATTGAGAAGGTGACATTATAAAATAGTGTTAAAACAAAAGAGATTGAAAATTTTAAATCAGAAAAAAATAGAGTGGATAAAGAATTAAGGGATACAAAAGAAAAATTGGATTCTGTGGAGAAAATAAATGAATAAATAGAAGAGAAGATTAAGGATACTAGATTATAGATAGAATTGTTTGAAACAGAAATTGCATAACTTCATTAAAAAATAAATGAAGGAGAAGAGAAAAAGAAAAAAATGACAGAATTAGTGAAAGAATAAGAAGAATTGGAATAAAAAATTGAAGAAGAAAAATTATTAGCTAATAATGGATTAAATTAATTAGAAGATGAAATTTAAGTAGAAAGAAAATAAGCATAAGATGATAGATAAGTGATTGAGGATTTAAGAAGGGCAAGAAATATATTATAAAAAGAAATTGATAGATGTGATAATAATAATAAAAAAATTGAAGAAGATTTTATTGCTAAATAAAAATATTTAAGTGAAAAATAAAATGAATTAGGTGGTTTATAAAAGAAAATTGATTATCTCAATAAGAAAATTGCAAATGTTGAAAGAGAAACAGAATAATAATGTTTATAATTTTCATAAGCATAAACTAAATATTTTCATTCATTAGATGAAATTAAATTAAAAGATTCATTAATTAGTGAATTCTAAAAAAAGAATATTGAAACTGAAGCTAAATTAAAATAATAATAAAATCTATATGAAACAGTTAGAAGTGATAGAAATCTATATTCTAAAAATTATACAGAAAAATAATAAGAAATTGAAAAAATGAGAAGAAGTTATAAAATAGTAAATCATTAAATATCATAATTAAAAGAAGAAATTGAAGCAAAAGGAAATGCATTAGCTAAAGAACATTTAGAACATAAAAAAAAGGATAAAACTATTGAAGAATAATCTAGAGTATTAGAAAAATATAAAACAGATATAGATGAAAAGGCTGAAAAGATTAATAAATATATTAAAAGAGTTGATAAATTATAATTTACAATTAAAGATGAAGAATAATAAATACAAAATCTCAAAGAAGAATTTGAATTAGTTGTGGCTGAAAGAGATATATTAAGTACTTAACTCATAAGAAGAATATCAGAAACTAATTTACTTTATGAGAAAATCAAAATTAATGAAAGTACACTTAAGAAAGGAGAATAATAATATAGAGAAAGATTAGGAGATATATAAATGTTAAAAGAAAAGATAGCTGACTATAAAAGAGAAATTAAGGTTTTTAAAAGAGAAGCTGATACTATTAAAGATTTAGAAGGAGATATACATAATCTAACAAAAGAGTTAACAGAAGAGAAATTGAAAGCAAAGGCTTTGACAGAAGAATTAGAAAATCCAATGAATGTACATAGATGGAGAAAGTTGGAAGCTACAGATTCTGAAAATTATGAATTAATGACTAAAATTCACAGTCTTTAAAAGAGACTAATTCAAAAAACAGAGGAAGTTGTTATTAAAGAGAAGGTTGTAGAAGAAAAGGAAAAGGAATTAAAGGCTTTGAAAGATGAGATGAAACGTAAACCAGGATTAGAGGATTAGGCTATGATACCTTATTATTAAGATAGTCTTAGGTAGAAAGAAGAATAAATGAAAGCTATGGATTAGGAGTTGAGTATGTATTAATCACATATTAATGAATATAAGTTGGAAATAGATAGAATAAATAAAGTAATAATTTCATTAATTTTTTAAGGAATTACAAAGAGTTAAATAGAAGTATTTTAATTAAAAGAAGAGAGAATAACAATAAAGAGATCTCCGTATTTAGGAAGAATAAGGATAGTCGATTTAGGTTATTTTACCAGAGAAAAAATTTGTGGGTGGTGGTTTTGCTCTATAAAAATGAAATATCAACTGATATAAAATTAACTAAAATTAAATTGAGTTCTTTGAATGTTAAACCTTCTTATGGTTTGAATTATTCTAAATACAAGTTTTAATTTTATATTTATATATAAATTGCATCAGTGGATAGAGAAATGGTAAAAAAGCAGTAATATTTCTTAATATAACATTTTAATGTAGTAAATTAAAAAAATGAGATTGAGATTAAAATTATTTTTACAAATTTATGGGAGGAATATGTTAAGCTAATAGAGGATATCCAATCATTGAATCAGGTCCTTTTGAGTACATTTTGCCAACAGAGATAAAACCTTATGAAATGAAGAGTAACCTTTTAGAGGTTTAAGAGATGTGTGCCACAAAAATTCAAGCTTTATTTAGAGGACATTAAGTACGAATAAAGGTAATAATATAGGATAAGTATAGAAAAAAGAACTTGAATAGTCTTATCACCCAGACTCAAAAGTGGCAGTAAAAACAGACCAGGTTCCTGAAATATTCCATCATGAAGTTTCGAAAGTGATGTTATAATTAGGAGCTTTTGATTACTCAAAATGTTAATCAATTCCAGGAGCTAAAAGTTTATGTGCTTATTAGTTTATTGAAAAGGGAGGGATTTATATTGGGTAATGGAAAGACCATAAGAGGAATGGAAAAGGAAAGCATATATTTCTAGATGGGTCAATTTATGAGGGTAGTTGGATAGATGATAAAGCCAATGGTTATGGAAGATTGATTATGACAAATGGAGATTATTATATAGGGGAATGGAAGAATGATAAAAATGATGGAAAAGGAATATATATTCATTCTGATAAATCTAGATATGAAGGAGAATGGAAGGAAGATCATCTTCATGGTAAAGGAAAGGAGATTTGGGCAGATGAATCAGCATATTTTGAAGGATAATTTGTAATGGGTGTCAAAGATGGATATGGAATTTATAGGTGGGGTGATGGGTCAAGTTATGATGGAGAATTTAAGAATGGATTTTTTAGTGGATAAGGAACCTATTGTTGGTCAGATGGAAGCAAATACAAAGGTTAATGGTCAAATAATAAGATGAATGGATATGGAGAAATGAATTGGGTGGATAAGAGAAAATATATAGGTATAGATTAATCATGATGAGGGGAATTACAAGGATAATAAGAAGGAGGGGTATGGAGAATTTTATTGGTCTGATGGCAGAATATATAAAGGATAATGGTAGAATGGATTTTAGCATGGAGAAGGGATATAAATTGACAGATCAGGAAGAGAGATTTCAGGAGAATGGTTTGAAGGATAGAGAAGATGAAATCAATATATATAGTACTACTTTTGATTAATGTAATAGATCAAAGTATTTATTTATTTTGAAAAGATCATTCAATCTATAAATTTATTCTATTATTATCTTAAGTCAAAAATTGACAAATTTTATGTTCCATAATTAAATCAATACTTTATCTGATATTGATTTAATTAGTCTAAAATGATTGATCTTATTTAAAATATACATTTATCTATTCTACAAAAAGAAGTTCTACTTTAAAAAATGTAAGTATGAGGATTATTATTTTAATTATAAATGAATATTGAATCTCAGGATTTGAGATTTCGAGATCACAAAAATAATTAAAGTCTTTAGAAATTGTAAGTATGTAAAGATTTAAATATTCATATAGATTTTAGTCTTTGGAGATGGTTAAACTGGAAAATCTTCATTAGTTAACATTTTAACCTATAGAAAATATCCTGATAAGATGACACGTAAGAAACAAAAGTAACCATTTAAAACTTAAGGATGCGATATTAGAATGGCTTTAAGAAACGATTTGACATAAAAACAATAATATTTACTATAAATTCTAGATATTTCTGGAGATAAGGCTTAGAGATAATATTTAGATGTATATATATCAAGATTAAAATTGGATGGAATAATATTTTGTTTCGATGTGACAAATTTGAAAACTTTGGATAATCTCAGAAAATGGATTTAAAGATTATCAGTTAAAAGTGTAATTCATGAAGTCAATGAAGAAGTTTTGGAAACTAATAATAGTGAATTTGCTAAACAGAGTTGCATAGCTATTTAAGATGAATAGGATAGCTTATTAAATTATAATAGTTATAATGGAATTCCTATGGATGAAATACTATAAACTCCTTTCATTTTTATAGGTTGTAAGATGGATTAGATTCCTATGGATAAACAAGTTAGATTGAGATAATAGATTTGTGAAAGAGTATTATAAATATAGTTATAAGTAGATATAATAAATTTACAAAAGATCTAGTACAGTTATTTTATTAAGCACTACTAAACCTGAGACATATTCAGATCAATATAAATAGTTGGAGGAGTGTATTATGAGAATAAAGTAAAGAGATAAATTGGAAGAATTTTAGATAAGAGAAAAGATTCAATAAAAAATGATGAAATTGGATGAGTCTTTTTGTAAATCTACTAAGAAAATACTATTCGAATAAAAATATTAATTGTTTTGTGTATATATGAAACATTTTTGTTAAAGATTGATGTGTAAAAAGAGAAAGTAATGATGTTATTATTGTTTATAATAATAGTTTAAAATATTATTTATTCATTCATTCATTCATACATTGTTCTTTTTTTTAATCAATTAAATTAAGTATTTCTTCAGCAAGTTTTACTATATCTTCATTTTAATGATTTAATAGAGTCTCTAATTTTAATTCTAATTCAGTATCATCTATACAATAAGCTTAGTAATAGTAAATTAAAGTGTAGAGTATATTTAAATAGATAATTATATTTTCAATTTCTTCTGGTTCATCTAATAGAAATTTAATTTTAAGTATTTAAAATACTCTTAAATCTTATATCAATTCTGTTGATGTATATGTCAAACAATTTGATATGATTCCATAAATTAGTCTTAAGTAATTTGAATCTGTCTTATCTAAATTCTAAAAGTTTTAAACAACTTCTGCTATGAAAGGAAGATCTGATACAATCTCTTTTTATAAATTTTCAGAATCTACATTAGTAAAATTAGCAAGTAATTTGATGGATGCTTATCTTATAATTACATTATCATGATTAATATATTATTTAATTGTGTCATGTCCTTTTAAGAAAAAGATTCTTTAAACAAATTTTTCATCTTTGAATGCACTAATACCAATCATAAATCTTAAGATAGTTGATATTAATATTTAATTTTCACTATATTCTAATAATTAAACACAAATTTAAATTGTTGTATTATCTAAATCATTAGATATATCAGGATCTAATGATATAATTTAAATGAGATTTTTAATAAACATAAAAGTGACTTTTGGATATTTTAATTAAAGTGGTAGTAATTATTTCATTAAATAAAATGTATATCTAATCTATAATAATAATAATAATTATGATTTAATACTTCTGGTATATATTTTTATATAATTAAATCTAATTCTTCTTCAGTAAATATTCTAAATTAATTAAAGAATCTACAAAATAATTCAGTTCCACTTTTTATCATCTTAAATTCTATATCAGTATAGATATCTCTTAGATTTTCTTTTATTATTTAATTTATTATAGTTATAAGATTATTATTTAATAAGTATTCTAATTATTTTCTTGTTAATTCTTATGAACATACACTATTAAGGGCATCAAATAACTAAATGATTTGGAATGTATTATTACATTATCAATCATTCTAATATCCATTCTTTATTTTGCCAATTTTAATTAATTTAGAAATAGTACTTCACATTCTGCAAGATTCTTTTTTGTACAAATATTACTCAAAATTGTTATTGAATAATAATCTGATGTTTATGCACTAAGAAATAATTTATTTAATAATTATTTATCATTTGCAGCTTTCATTAATTTCTATTAACTATTATCATCATCATCAATTAGATATTTGTGAAGTTCTTATGATTAAGAAAAACTTGGAATCTCAATTAAGGGATCAACTTCATTATTAACACAACATCTTTTTCGGTTTTGGTTGAATATATCTTCTAACCTCTCTTTTCTAATTGAAAATCGAAATTCCTCTCTTTTTGTAGATAATAATGATTAATGTTCACTTTTCATAATTATATTTATATTCAAATTATTTATGCCATTCTGAATGTTAACTCTAACTTTCATCAAATAATTCATGAGGATACTATTTTCTTCTCTAATAACTTTTAATAGAATATAAGTTTAATACTAATATTCATCAAGTTTTGGATCTCCTTTATTATCATATTATTTTAGAGGATTCAAATGAACAAATATTCTTTTATCATCAACCATAAATTCAATGAATTTGTATTCTTTTGATTCAGAAGATTTCTAAAGTAACAATTTGCAATCTAATATAACAACCATAGACTTAGTTTTAAATCTGATCAATTTCAAATTTACTCTTAATAAATATGATATTGCATATAATCTGGAATCTTCATTTCATTCTATTATAATCCTTCTTAATATAGATTGGTAATAAAATCAATATATTTTTCACCCATGTTTTTGTCGATAATGATAATATTCATAAATATATATTATTATTATATATTTAAAAATTAATCTGAATTCTTAGAATATTCACTTCATTATATTCATCTTTTTATTCATCCTTAATTTATAATAACATAAACTAAAATGCAAGAGGATATGATTTTAGAAAAAAGTTCATAAGACTCTCTTAAACTTACATAAAGATCCTCTATATTAGATAGAAAATATAGTGGTCGTTATATGTTCTAATAATCACAATAGGATGAATAACAAACCTAAATTCAAAGCAATAGAAATAGAATCAAACAATAACTAAAATGTAAATCCTTTTTCATTTTAGGTTAATTGAATGCCATAATCAATAAACAAGTATAGCCCTTATATATGCGTGAAGAGCAGTTGATTGAATTAGGTAGGAAATTAGACTTAGAAATAACCTCTATTGATGTTGATAATATTATACCTAATACAAAGGAGTTTTTTGAAGATTATGAAATTCATGAAAGATTGGGAGAAGGATGTTTAGGCTTAGTAAAACGAATAGTCTAAAAAAATACAGGCTTAGAATTCGCTGTTAAAATTGTAGCCACTTAAGATGAAGAAATTATACGTAATGTAAAAGACAATGATAATACATTTTCAGATGATTATTGAATTTAAGAGATTAGTTGAATTATCACATGATAATATTGTCAAAGCTTACAAAATGTATTTAGATTTTGATACAGGATTTTAATCAGAAAGCTAAGCATTTGTTGTTATGGAATTGATTAAAGGCAAAGAAATGTTTGAAGTCATTAATGATTCTGGACATTATAGTGAAGTTGATGCAAAAGAATTATTCAAATAATTACTTAGTGCAATCGAATATATGCATCGTCATGGCATTTGTCATAGAGATCTTAAGCCAAATAATATTTTATGTCTATAAGGTAAATTATTTATAATCAATACATTAATAGATAGAAAGTAAATTAAAGTAACAGATTTTAATGTTAGTAAATTTAGTGATTCATATAAATTATTTGGAGATCTAAAAGACACTGAAAAAATAGAAATGTGGACATATACTGGCACTGTGGCTTTTTCTGCACCTGAAATATTTACAGGAGAAGGTTACAAGTAATAAGTACTTTAATGATATATTAAAAGTTAAATGGTTGATATGTGGAGTGCAGGTTGTATACTTTATTCAATGCTTTCTGGATAATTACCCTTTAATGCAGACTAGTAATTAAATTTTTACCTTATTCTAGTTTGAATGATCTTGTGGAAAATATTAAATTAGCTAAATATGATTTCCCTGAAGAAATCTTTTCAGAAGTCTCTGTTGAAGCCAAAAATTTAATTTAATAATTATTAAAAAAAGATCCTTAAGAGAGACCACATCCAGATAATGCTCTAGTGCATTCTTGGTTTAGAGGCAATGTAGTCAGGAAAACTTTAAAACATCTGACTATTAATAAAAATATTTGTCATCTTTCATCCAAAAATTCAAATAAATAAAGATAGAGAACATTTCTATTGAAAAAAGATTGGTACACAGGATCAAGTGATGGTGAAGATGAAATTTATTACTATGATATTAAAATTAAATCCACCATTAGAAAGAGTTTATTTTACTCTATTAAACCTATTAGAGAATAGTAATATCATATGTACTAACTCAAAGGTACTAATGGATTGATTCATAAGTCTAATACTATTGAAATAGAAGATTATAAATATAATGATTAATAGTGATTAAAAAAAATTATTTAATTAATTTTATAAATAATTTTAGTTATCTAAAAATATCTTTTTTTTGGGCATTTTTAAACGAATCCATTTTTTTTATTTCTAATCATTAATTAAATTTGGCAATGTAAAATAAGACCGTCTTTGATAAATTAGGAGGATAAGCTAATATTGACGCAGCTGTTGTCAAGTTTTATCAAAAAGTACTCTCTGATCCATCTGTCAGTCATTATTTCAAAAATACAGATATGAAGAAATAAACAGAGATGTAATAAAAATTCCTTACTATGGCTTTCGGAGGACCTAATAACTATAAAGGAAGAGTAATAAAACTATATTATATTAATAGGACATGAAAGCTGGTCATGCTGGTCTTGGAATTACTACTGCTGCCTTCAATACAATTGTTAAACATCTTGGAGACACTTTGAAAGAAATGGGAGTACCAGCAGAAGTTATTGCTGAAGCTGCTGCTGTTGCAGAGACCACTAGAGCAGATATCGTTGAAATCAAATGATTCATATAAATATAAGTCATTTATTCATTACAATTCATTAACTTCATCTATTACAATTTATTTCCTATTGATAACTAATGTCAATGTATAATTTCATGATTATTGAAAATCATTCATTTCATTTATTTTTTTAAAAGGATTCAAAACTAAAAATAAGATGATGAATTTCTTATGATAAGAAAGCTAATAGCATTATGAATGCTACAGATCATTGAATAAATATAGAATTATATTATATCAGTAATATATATTAATTATATTTTATATTTCATATTAATTTTATCAGTCCTAATTTATTTAATATATAGTTAAAGTAATTGAATAATGTTTTTAGTATGAATATCATCATATATTGTATATAATAATATGTATGTAGAAATAAAAAAGAGTAAACAAAATTATTTATTTTCCATGTATATAACAGTCATATATATAAATATAATTTAAATTATTATATATATATAATATAATAAAATTATATATAATAAAATTAAACACTAAAATCACAAATCCTCTTTAAAAATATTAAGATCAAGACTATCATTCATAGGCTTGAATTACACATTTCCACTAATTATAGAATCAAGAAAATCTTATATATTTGAAAGTGTCAATTCTCCTTAGAGTTTAGCATATCTTTCTTTTTTAGGTTTAATTACTACTGCTGTTGGAAAACTACTTATATCATCAAAGAGTTCTGAATATATTAAGTTACTAGTAATATAAAATGATAATATTACTTCTTATTGATGTAATAAAAATCTATTTTATCTTTCATATAATGTTAAGACAAGGGATTTAATAAATCTAAATAATTATTATCTTATGTAATAATAATAAAACACATTTTAGTATCTTTTGTTGTACATGCTCCATTTTTAATTAATTAAGTTGACAATTCTCTAGGTACTTGATGAGTTTTCTTTACTTTTTTGCTAATATATGCATATTCTCTTAAGAATTTCATAATTTATTCCTTTTTAAAATCATTTTATTCATAGATAACTCCTCTATATTATTCAGGGTCAGTAACTACCATAAGAGTAGGGAATTTTTTGATTTAAAATTGTTCAATCAATTTAGTATCTGAATATCTGACTTATCCAAAAACTAGTTTTCCTTTTAATTCTTTAGATAGGACTTTAAGAAGAGGTGGTGTTGAGGTTTTATTAGTGAATAACAAGACTATATGTTATTCTTCTTGTTAAATGAATTTTTCATAGTTTTCATTAGTAACTATACTTACAAAACTTTCCATAAACTAGATAGCAAATTTGGCTAGTTGGTCTATTTCCATACTTTATTTATATTCAATTGGTTCTTATCTGATATTTGCAGGATAAGCATATACTTTAGGAAATTCATAGACTTAGAATTCATCATCACAAATTTCATTTTCAGCAGCACAATTTATGGCAGCTACTTAAAATATACCATAATATTTTGATGCTAATTCATTCCAAATATTTTTATGTTATCTACCATAATCATCATTTTTATAAAAGAAAATTAGCCAAACATGATCTCTTCTAAAAAATCTATTAATAGTAGTCATATCAATTTCATAAACATCACTTTTAGAAAATAAAGACTATTCAAGATTTGGTTTTTATTATTAAAAGCCTCCTCCTCCAAAAAATCTAGAGAAAATGTCATTATAATTAAAATGTCCTTGCTCTTAAATCTTATTTATAAATATATACATTATTATTATTATCTTTAAGTATGCTCTTTCAATCCCTCTTCTCCATATTTGTCATATATTTTTCTCTATTCTGGATCTTTAAGTATTTCATATGCATTGACAATCTTTTAGAATTGTTTTTCAGACTAAAATAGAGAGATTATATTTACTTCTTCTTTATTCCCTTTAGCTTTATCAGGATGATATTTGAGAGAAAGTTTTTTGAATGCTTTTTTGATTTAATCATCTGATGCACTACGCTGTACTCCAAGTAATTAGTAATAATCTTAACAAAGTGTTTAAAGGATGATACAGAGGAAAAGGAGAATAGTTTTCATTTTAATTATTAGAACACGTTTATATTGTAAATTCTAGAACAATGACTTAAAATATTATAAAATATTAGAAAAATGATGGCAAATAAATGATGTATATATATATATTTATGTTTTATATGAAATATAACAACTCAATATCCAGCATCAGCAAGATACTTTGCCATGTCAATGACACGTTTATTGCAATCACTAGCATTCTAAGGTGCTCCATTTTCTGCATTAATGGTTTGGGAGAATGAAGCAAAGACAGCGACTGTATTAGCCCAAGCAACACATGCTCCTCCTTTGTTCTATTTATTATTATATTTAAAAATACCTTCTTCAAATACCATGTCTTAGATTCAGCATCAAATTATACTGAATAATATTTTTGATTGTTGATTCTAACTCCAGCTTTATTTCCTGATTCTCCATTGTGAGTAAGAGCATGAACAAAAGCAGTCTTTTCATCATAAGCAACCTTGGTTGAAACATCTGGATTCTTCTCATCTGGTACATCAGCTTGATATGAAGGAAGGGCAGCAACACCTAAATTGCTTGCCCAAATGTTTCCATCTAATCCAATAATGGCAGCATATTCAAGTGCTCCATTAGCTGTCAAATTTGTCACATAAGCATCCCAAGACATTGTTATTTAATATAATTAATGATAATCATATCTTCTTTCATCATGAACATATATATTTAATTAATTGAAGATACTTAATAATTATATAATATTGCAGAATGTTGTATATAATTTTTATTGTTATTTCAATTTTTTTATGTAGACGAGAATGAGCTATTCGACTTGTTTAACAATTTGTGATAGTAACGTTCTGGTAAGCTTTCCACCTCTAAGGATTCCTCTATTTAAGGGGGATGAGATTCTTACCACATATTATATTTTCTTCTTTTTATACCAAAACAAATACACTGCACAGAACAAAGGCAAAAAATACCCAAAGAGACAAATAAATAAATCAATCAAAGGATTTTGTAATTAATTCTATATAATAGTCAAAATAACTTACATTTGAAAGGAACTCACATTTATCTTAATTATTATCTACATCTATTATGAAATAGATTAAATCAGAAAACAATTAAATTACTTATCCAAATGCAGTCACACAAACTAAAGTCCTTATTTAATTAATATATATTATATACCAAAATTTCAATTTTATATTTCTAGTCTTTATGTATTGAGTCTTCTCTTATCCTGTCATTCTATTAGTGAACATTATTTATTCAATTATTAAAGCATTCATTTTCTTATTCAGAAAATATGCTCCTGTGATAAATATAATACTTGCTAGTAATTCCACTAATTTAATCACAAAAATTGTAATGACTAAGTCCTATAATATTATATATACTTCTGCATTTTGAATTCCAGAAGTAATAGACTGTTAAATTGATGAATAAAAATGCAGAAAATAAACTAAATAATCCATATGTGCATCCTCTCACTAATTTTGATTTGCTTTTATTATAAACATTAAGATCTGTTGCCTTCTTTGTAAAGAAGTAAACTAAAAAAATCAAAAAGCATAAATCAAAGTAATAACAAAAAAAATAAGCAAATATGAAATCTCTATTCATTGTGAATATTAGAAAAACTATTTTATGAATTCTATACTATAAATATTAATACATATATTTGATGCCAAAATTATCGAAAATAAGAGTTGCTTCCTTTTGTAAATTCTTCTCTATTCAATCACTCGCACTGTAATCTGGTATATACATAATATCATCAATAACAAAGAGCATGTCGTTCCTAAATAGAGGCTGTTGAAAGGGCAACTTACTCCAAACATAAACTAAATTCCTAGCAATTCCCTTAAACACAATATATAAATCCTTGTTATTAGCATTGACTCATTAATTATTTTATAAGCAAAACTATTGAATTAAAAATATTGTAAACATTTGCATGATGAATACTTTAATAAACAATTTCTTAAATATCAAAAATAAATAAAAATTGATAAGATAAGTGTGTTTAAGCTCTTAAAAAGGAATACTTTTTTGATATTTATATTTATAATTTTATATATACATATAACAAATTCTTAAAACAATCTAAAAAAGGATGATAGAGACATAAATCTAGAAGAATTAAACTTAAAAAGGTTAATTAGAAGAATAATATTATATAATTAAAAATAAATATATATAAGATATATTTTAATTTTTGTTTATTAATAAGTTAAAGGTTGAGATTATTCCATTGATGAATAATAATACTTAATAATCAAAATAGTAAGAATTTTAATATAAATTAAAGATGAGCTTTCATAACTATTATTCTTATACAGAATTTATTTACTCTTCTAATAGATCTTTAAGTCTTTCCTCTAATGAATTATCTAAATCTTTATTTAATTAATAAATATATTACTATTATCTATTGCAAATTTAGTAGCTAAATTTTCAGGGTTGTCACCATTAAATATAGGTAATCTTACAGTCTTTGCATCATCTATTTTTACATCTATATACAAAATAGGAAAGTTAAGGAATATTGGTTTGCTTTTAATTTTTTTGCATTTTGGTTCTTAACTCATTGATTATTCAGTTTATAATTTAATCTATGTTCTACTTTCATTGTTTGTAGTGTTTCCAGTACTTTTCAATTTTTCAACTGTTTTTTATCTTAATCTAGCTTCTCTTAATCGTTTAGCTTATTAATCAATATCATATTATGTAGATGCAGTAGAAATTGGAAAATTTTTAATTGGATTAATTTAAGGTGAAAAAGTACAAAATTATTATTGACTTTCAAATTCTACATCAATAGTTGATTTATCTTATTATTTTTTTATTGGTTTACTTAATGAAGTTAAATCAATAGCAAGAGGTCTGATAGTTTATTTTATTTACTTAGTTTCTTCTGATTATTCTAATTAGTTTTTCAATTTCTCAATATTATCCTTCTTTTTCTATTCTTATTAAGCAAACCATTCATTAATATTAAGATTATTTTTCTTCTTGATTGCCATATCTCTTGATCTATTACTTAATAAATTGATAACTTAAGGAGGTGATTTTGATTTCTCAATATTTCTTCTTTATCCATTTCCATGATTTAATTTTGTGTTCAAATATAATTATTTGTATTTATTATGAATTTCAATACAATCTTAAGTTGATAATATTAGATTTCCATTTTCATCATTTTTATAATGTGATGCCATAGGAACTTATTCATCATCTTTAGGTATATAAAGAGGTATCTATTAAACTGGTACATTAAGTATGGCAAGTAAGACAATTAATATATTTCTAGAGAGAATATAAGAACCATTTGTAAAGTCATTCCATAATTCTTTACTTTCTCCAAATCCTAATCCTTATAGAATTTATTGAAAATCATTTTCATATATTTTTGAGTAATCCCAACTTTTTTTGACATTCTCTGTATTACTAAGAAAATAATAAAAATCTTTAATAAATCTTTAAATAAACCATTATTAAGATATTTCTGATAATTTACCTTCATTTGTAGCTAAACTTTGACTAGTTAATTAATTTTTTTATTGTCTTGTTCTACTATCATCATATAAAATTTAAGCAACATGTTTCTCTCTTCTTGAATTCTTTTATTTTTCTAAAATCTCATTATTATTTGTATCTCTTTATTATTTAGATTAAATAAGATTTTTTAATTAAATTGTTTATGATTATTCAGTCTTTTTTTGTTAATCATCTGATGTGAATAATTTATTATTATTATTTTGATCATTTGAATGTTCAACAGATTATTTAAGTATTCTCTTTTTATCATTTTATATTTCAAGTACTTTATTATCTTATTATAAGGATTCAATTCTTTCAGGTGAAAGTAAGAGATCTTAACTTTTCACATTAAATGCCCTTGATGATTTAATGTTATCTAAATGATTAGTATATAATTTTTATGATTATAAAGTGTATTAACTTTTTTATACATTTGAGACTTCTCTCCTAGATCCCTCAGTTTTTTGTTTAGGTTTACTTGCACCTCTAACTTTCTCTGGGCATACATTTTGAGTGTTCTCTTATTGTTTAGACTTTCCAAATAGATTTTGTAGCTAATTAAGTGAAGTGAGGGGATGTCTATCTCGAATAACTGACATATTATTAAATTAATATATATATTTCACTGTTTTGCCTCTTTCACTACTTCAATTGTTTTAGCTAAAGCTTTCAATTGAGCAATTGCTAAATCAAGCAAATCAGCTCTGGTCTCAAATCTGCATTATTCAGATATCACTTCTACTAAACGTTCTATCTCCTCAATTTAATCTACATAACATTTATAACTCAATTCAACAGTTAAAGTTGGTCTACGAGCCATAGGTCCATAAAATTATATTGGACCTGGATTTTCATAATGATCTTTCAAATACCAATTCTTAGAAATCTAACTGAAGTGTTTAAAGAGTTACTAAATTAATTTAATATTAATTACCTATTTTAAATCTACTTCATAACTAGCAATAACAGGTTATGCTTCTCCATAAGCACTCTTCTATTTTATAGATAACATTCCTAATAAAGGAATTACATTAAAATGCCATCTTTCAATTGGACCTGCAATACCTCTTGCTGAAACACAATAACCAGTTAATCCTCTTTAAATACTCAATCCTGCTAAATAACCATAAACCTCTCCTAACTTAGCATCAAATCGTGTTGGAAATGCACATCTACCTTGATATCCAAAGAAATGACAAATTGGTGAAAATGCACCTTTGTATTTTGATTCAGCTTTTCTAACTTTAAGTTCCTCAGCAACTAAATGTGCTAATAATCTTTCAGTTTCAATTTGTGATAATTAAATACCTCCATGAACTTCTCTTTCCATTAATAATTATTATTGAGTGAAATCAGGAAGTGATTAAAATAGAGCTGCTGACCAAGGAGTTAAATTATTCATTATCTCTTATTTATTGGTTGTAAAATGTTTATCCAATTCTGTAATTAATTATTTAAATTATCCAATATGAGCTAATAAACCTTCAGGTACAAGTACAGTACCAAACTCTTTATTTTTTTAAGATCTAAGTACAACAACATCTGCAATTTCTGATACTACTTCTTATAAGGTAAGTCCTCTTTCTTTTATATCTTCACTAATAAGTACTACATTTGGATGAGTTTAAAGTGCACATTCCAAAACAAGATGTGAAGGATCTCTTCCCATTAATCTTATAAAATACCAATATTTAACAGCACTGGCTGCATCTATCATGATATTACCAATCATTTAAGAATAAGTCTTAGATGCAGTATCAAAACCAACAATACCTTCTAAAAATGGATGACCAATATTATTATCAACTGTGCATGGAACTCCAATAACTCTAGTCTTAACATTCTCTTAAAGTAAATAATTGGCAACAATTATACAATCTGTAAGAGTGTGTGAAGCACCTACAACTACTAATCCATCTAAAGATAGACTATTACAAGTTTCTTTAACTTATTATAATTCTTATACTGATCTCATTTTATCAGCAGTACGACCTAAATAATGATAACCACCTTAATTTATGTAGTATTACAAACTATTTTAATTGATTTCAATGTATTCTTATTTGAAAAGACCTTATGTACCTCCAATAAATCCATATAATGTAGATCCACTTTACTCACACAATGCCAATAATCCTCTAATAATACAATTAGCTCCTGGAGATTATCGACCATTTAATGTTATGGCAATTCTTAATGGTTTATTATGTGTTTCATGAGCATCATCATGAACAAATTGAAATGCATTTATACTTTTGGCCATAAGAGAAGGGAAATGTTTTTCAATACTTTTCATAACATTATCACTATAATTATGATGTATAACCTTAAGACTTAATTTAAGATTTAAATGTTTAGGTAAAGCCAAAGGAGTATTGGTTCTTTCTAATCCTAATTTTGATAAATTTCTAAGATGCATTTCTTCATATGGTTTTTATTCATATATTTTATTATCTACTTCTTCAAATTCAAATCCTTTTCCATTAATAAGGAAAGGAGGAACTTAATCACCTTCAAATTAGATTGGTCCAACAGGATGATAATAATCATGAAATGCCCATTTATCTCTATTTTATTAATAGAATTTAAATAAAGGTCCATCAAGATCAACCAATGCTTTTTTAATGACAGGAACAGATTTTCCTTTTCTAGTTTCAACATCCATCATAGTTACTAATGGAAAACCAGCAGCATTCCATTCAGATGGATTTTTATGTAAATCACGAATACAACTCATAACTCCAGTGAATTTATTTTCAATTAAGATAGCTGCATTAACACCCAAACTATAACAATAATCACAATCAAATTTAGTAGGAAAAGCACATCTACCTTCATATCCATAATAATGACTAATAGCTGAAAATTTACCTGCATATTTTCTACGTTATAATTCAGCTTAAACCATTTCAATCAATAATTTTTCAGTTTCAATTTTAGCCACTTGAACATTACCATGTGGATCACGATCAAGTAATAATTAATCACTAATACTTCTAGGTAAAAATTATAATAATTTTGATGATTCAGGTGTCAATTTAGTTAAGATATTATTAAATACTTAATCTGCTTCCCATTTATTTGCTGCCAAAATTGTATTAATTTCTTTAATTAATATTTTTACTTCATCAATAAATTCAATCAATCCTTCTGGTACTAAAATTACTCCATGATTCTTATTTTATTTGTATCTTTTCTCAATTAAATCACTTAATTAAGTAACTATTTATGTTAATGAAGTCTTATTCTTCTCCACTTCTTCACCAATATAAGCCCAAGTTGGTCTTGTTAATAATGCACATTCCAAAGCAATATGAGATGCAGATCTACCCATTAAACGAATAAAATGATAATATTTTTTAGAGGATACTGTATCCAACATAATATTTCCAATTAATTCACTATATGTTTTACATGCTGTATCAAATCCAAAACTTACTTCAACAAATTCATTCTTTAGATCTCCATCAATTGTCTTTGGACAACCAACTACACTTGTTTAACAATTATTCTTTAAAAAATACTCTGCTAATAAACAAGCATTAGTATTTGAATCATCTCCTCCAATAACTACTAAACCATCTAATTTTAATGATTAACAATATTGAAGAGATTTCTTGAATTGTTCTTCTGTTTCAATTTTATGTCTTCCACTTTGAATCATATCGAACCCTCCTCTATTCTTGAAATAATTGATAGTATCATCTTTCAATTCTTCATACTTACCTGTGTAAATACCAATTGGCCCTTTCAAAAACCCAAATAATTAACTATTAGGATGTCTTCTCTTTATCTATTCATAAATCCCCACTATAACATTATGACCACCAGCTGCCTAACCTCCTGAAAGCACACAACCTTAAAAATCAAACTAAAAATCTTACCAATTCTTAATGGTGCTCTTATTGTATTCTCATTAGCATTAGCTGCTTAAAATGTGACTGCCTTTACTTCTTCTTTGCATAAGAAAGGAAACATCTTTAAAAGAATGATAATCGAAATTTACTTCTCGAATTTAAGGATTCACCTATATGGTCTCTGTTTTGGTGTCTAACTCATCTAATTACAATAATTGTGGTAACTCAGGTTAATATTTAGTTCTAAGACTATGAAAGTTATTGGGTTGAATAATCATTAATTGTATTAATCATGCATTCTCCTACATTAGATTTATATAAAGATTCATAGTGCGCTTTTAATTGTCATTATTAGTATTTTATACATGCATTTATTCATATATATTATATCAATATATGTTATTAAAAAAATTAAACAGTATAATAAAATATGGTTACTTTTCATTATCATTTTTGTATCATCTAATATTAAACTTTTTTATGATAAGATGTAAATGAAGTTTAATGTCAATAACCTATAAGAAGGAAAGGAAAATAAAAATTCTGATCATTATCAGTCTCAAATCAAATATTTTATCCATGAACTCTTAATATTTATCATAAAACTCATCACATATTATATCCCTATTAATACAATATAAGAGAGATCTAAATTTTATAATAAATAACCAATAATTTTTATTATTAACAGTTCATATTAAAAATTATATATATCTATTTATTCTTTGATAGATATATTTAAAATATTATGCAGCATAAATTGATTGAACATATAATATTTTCTATTATATTGTTTAATTAATATGTCTAAGATTTAATTTAATATTTGATTTATTTTATAAATAAATAATAAAATACTAAATTAATGACAATATTACAATTATTTATAAATTAAAACTTAATTATTAGGATATATCATTGCATGATCAAATTCTAAAAATTAGATACTTAATAGAATAGCATCTAAAATGTAAAGGTTTCATCTCCTAAAAATAAATTGTTATTCTTAATGCTTCCAACACCTGTTGACATTGAAATAAAGGCTTAGAATATTTTTTCAGGTTCATCAGAATTATTAAATGTTTTACCAAATTATGAAAAGGGACCTAAACTAGATATGAAAGGATAAATAATTAAGCATACAATAGTTGGATCAGTGCAATAATTTTAATAAGAAAAACAAAGAAGACTTAATATTAATAAAAAACCATATGTAAAAATGAAAACATAATTTCTATCTGAAGGAGATTCACAACCTGCTAATAATAACAGTTACACAAAATGTATAAATCATTTTTAATTCTTAAATTAGTGACAGAATTAGCTTCTAGTAAAGAATTGACCAAAAAATCTGCTTCGAAAATAAAGTCTAAGGAATTTTAATTTATATAATTAAATGAAGAGTAAGTATAATAAGAAATTGTAGAAGTTGAAAGAAGAGTTAAAACAAACTAAATTGAAGTAAACTTCTTCTCTAAAAATTAAGACAGCAAAGTTAAATTAAGAAATTAAAGGAAAGCTAAATAAAGGGGATTAATTATAGATGAATACTGTTGAAAGAGCTTTAAATAATTATTAAAGTACTTAAGAAGATTGGGAGTCAACTAAATTAAGAGTCAGTTCTCGAATACAAAGAAAATAAGGATAATCAATGAATGAAAAAATAGATTAATTTAGAGTGAAACAAGAAATTAAATAATTGTTAGATCATATAACTCCTATTGAATAAAAATTAGGAAATGATTACTGGGTATGTTTATATAATTTATATAGAAATAAGGATTAAGAACTACATAAAATGAATTAAATTAGAAATATCCTTATAAATATGTTGATAAATAAGAAGATGATCCAAATTATTAAATAGATTCTAAACCTCCAATTATTGAAATTGTAAGAAGACCTAATTAAAGTGCAAAAGGTTATCGTCCATTCTCATCATTTACATCACGATTTTATCTAAATAAAAAATTAAAAGAAAATGAACAAGTAGTTTAAAAATTAGTACCTTTAAATATAGAAGAATTTGAAGATTTATAATTGGAAGGATAAAATATTTTAGTATAAGAGATTAATTCAGTTAGAAATCCTAAAGATAGTTTTGTTAAAATTACTAATACAATTAATAATGGTGGCATGAAATCTTATGTAAAATAGATTCCTATTAAGTAAGAGCTCTCATTACCTGATGAAATAATTGAATCAAATTATAATAAAAAATTTGTAATAAATAGTGGTAAATTTGGAATTTTAAAAGGGTTTTATTGATATATTAAAAATCTTACAATTATTAATAAATATATAATAAACAAGTTTAACAAATAAATAAAATATTCAATTTCCTAATCTATTTATTAGATTGATTTCTGATAAAACTTCGTATTGTTTAAAAACATCCGATTTGTTCACAACATTTTAAATTTATTAACCAAATTAATCTAATCTAAAAATATAAATAATTAAAAATACTTTAAGCTCAATTCTTAATTTAGTAATTATTAAGTTTATAAATTTCCTTTTAATTTAATAAGTTCTTAATTTAATGAGTTTTCTTTTTCATCTAAAATTTTCTTAGTACTCATTAAATCTTCATTTTGTTAAATTTAAATTTACTCTATTTATTATTCATAATTATATTTTTATTCTTCGAATTAACTTTATAGTGTATTTTTAGTTTCTTATAATTCATTATCTATTTTTTCGAAATTTTCTTCAGCAGCTTTTAATTATGCTTTTAATTCTGTTATTTGTTAATCTTTTTATCTATTTTAATTTTATAAGTTAGTAATTTATCTCTCAGCATTTTATTTATCTCTTTAAAATGTTGATGACATTTATTATATTTTATGTTCTTGTTGTTTAATTTATTTTAATTATCTATTTAATTAATCTTCTTGTTCAGATACTGTTACATTGAATTTTGATTTGGTTTATTCATTATCTCTATATAAATCATTTAGTTTATTCTAATGATAATAATAAAATTGAATACAATTAATTGATCATTCATATTCTTGAATTATACAAGTGTTGTTTCATATTATTATTCTTTTAATTCAATAATCTAATTAAGATTTTAGATCTATTGTTATAACTATTAATTAAATTCTTATTGTTATTGATTATAGTTCAATAATTCTTTCTTTTATAAATCATAATCTTGATAATTTTATAATATTTAATCTTGATATCTATTTTATTAATCTAAAATCTAAGAAATTATTATTAATAATAAATACTTCTTTTTTTAAATTGTTTATAATATTTTATGAATTTTCTTAATCCTATAAATTATTTTATAGTAATTATTATCTTATTTTTTACAATTCCTCTAATTATTTTGTTTATTCTAAAACTTAACCTTTTAAATGAATAATTTAATTTTCAAGAATTTAACAAGAATTTTAATGATGTGATTATAAGGTTTCTACACCTATCTCATGTTAACTTCTTAAATTATTTTCCATTTATTGAGATTCCTCTTAAAATCTTTATTCATTTTCAAACATTTTTTCTTTTAGAACATGGAATTATAAAGTAATTGTTTCTATTTCTTTTTCATAATTAGTTCTTAATCTTTCATTTTAATCTATTAGTGTTTTAATTTCTTCATTCTTAATATCTAAAAGACCTTTCAATTTTTCTATTTCATCATCTAAAATTTCAGACTATGCCATATATTGATTTTTAATATTATCCAATTATCCTTAATTTAATATATCTAATTTTTATCTAAGATTATTCATTTCTATTTAATTATCCCTCTCTTATTCTTATAATTTAATTCTATATAAATCATTATCTTTAAGTAATTTAGTTTCAACATATTCTCTATCTTACAAAACTTTAGTTAATTTAGTTTCTAATTCATATATTTCTTTATCTCTTATTTCAGCATATTCTCTCAATTTTCTTAATTGATTTTCAAGTAGATCAATTTAAGTAAGATAACTATGTCTTTATTATTCATTTTAAACTGAAATAATTATTAAAATAATTTTACTTGAGAAGTTAGTTTTTGTTGCTTCAACTTCATGTGATCTTTCCTTCTCAAGAATAGCATTTCTTTCCTCTAACATTTTTAATTCATTACTTAACTTACGTAAATCTAATTCATATTGAGCCTTTACTATATATATTTAAAAATAATCTATATACATTAAACAGCACTATTTAATTGTTATTCATATTTTGATTTCCATAATTCACACTCAGTCTTCTTTTATGCAAAATTCTTTTATAATTTGTCTATGTCTTAACTTAACATCTAATTCTAATGTATCATTAACTCTGCCTTCTCATCCAAAGCTCCCTATTTACTCATTCGAATTATTGTAGTATCCAATTCATTTTTTAGTTATCTTGCATATTGTTCAAGATCAGCTGATCTATTCTTATAGTATTCTAATTCTTCGTTGAATTAAAAATCTTAATTATATTTTTTACCAGATACCTTTCAAATTGATTGAGTTTTTAAGAGATATGCTAGCCTCAGGATTATAAGGATGGGGTTTCTTATATTAAGGACTTTGTTGATATGGTTTATCAGATTTGATATGAGGTGATGTATTTAACATATTTTATTCGTTAAAAATTAATTTTAATATTGTTTCAATGCCAAGGAAGGTTTTCAGTATTTTGGTTACCTCCAGAAACTACTTTATCTTTCTTAGCTTTATAATTGGAATAATCATAATCATCTTCAATCTATAATTTAATATAATTAGTTAATACATTTATAGTCTAAAATTAAGTTGTCAATGTAGGTGCCTAATTCTCTTACAACTAATTAGATTATTTAAGATCAATCAATTGTTTCTATAGGTTTTAATTCACTTACAATTAATTTTATATGCTATCCTATAAAATATTAATAGAATGTTGTTTTTATGTTTATTAATCACTTAAGGATGTTATTTAAGCTTGTAATTCATCTTATTCTTTTTTTAAATAATCATAAAAGCTTTGTAATTTTTATATGGTTTGATTAAGAAATTCAATATCTTTTTTCTTATCTTCTATAATTTATTTTTATTAATCTAAATTGTTAGCTAATTAAATCTATTATGTTTAATTTTAAAGTTTATTCTATAAGTAATTGGACTGATGATTAAGTCCTTGAATTTCATTCTATGATCCAACTCTTTATGGTTATGGAGGTAGACCTGAAGAAATTTATGGCATAGTCTATGAAGTCGATCTAACTTAATTTTACTGTTGGTCTCTTCTTATTAATTATAGTAAGGATTCAGGTAATGATTAAGGCAAAGGTATGTCCTTTCTACAAAGAGCTATTAAATGAACAGCTACTATAAATTCATTCTTAAAAAGGTATCCTTTTTAACCAATGTCAACTAGACTCCAAAGTTGATTCAGAATTTGAGTAGGAAGTTAAGACTTTTAAAAAAATAGCTAAGCTTAATCACCCTTAATAAATCCTTAATTAGTTTTATCTTATTGATTAAAGCATAGTTCATATCTGTTATATTAATCATCAGGTAAATCATACTAAAATTATAGTAATTTTAAATACCTTTTAAACATCTAGTTTAGGTTCAACATAGGATTGAAGTGAAATTTAAGCAGTATTTAGGACTGGTTGAGTTTAAAAGTAATTTGATTAAGGTAATTAATTTTATGGTGACTAAAAATTATTGAACTATTCCTATTATGGTTATGAGATTGTTTATTAGGGTAATTATTATGGTTATTGTATTCCTTCTAAAACTGGAAGAGGGACAGGTCTATTTTAGTTCAATAATTATTCATTAAATTCAAATCCATTTTAACAATATGCAATAAACCTCAGGGCAGTAGCGAATTCATGATAATAAAGTTTGCCTTCTTAATTTTTCACACTTTCTACCCAAATTCTCTTTAGAGTGTCAACTGCAAGTCGACTTTTTTTGAAAAATTAAACAGTACCTTTGGCTTCAACAAAGCCTAGACCCTAAGGATCAAATGAATTTGAATTACTTATGGATCGAAGGTGGTCCAGAGTTGTCTGTAATAGGCATCTTCTTAAGGAGTATATTAAAACATTTGAATTGAATTAATTTTATTATTGATATAAAGTTTCAATACTTAATAATTGTATTGCACTTCTTAATTTTTTTATGAACCTTTCTCTTTTTCTTTTTTTGATGTTAATCTGTTGTTGTAGTGACTTCAATTGGTTTAAGGATAACTCTTTTCTTTTTCATTAATTTTCTAATTTTCTTTCTTTAATTATCTTCATCATTATAAATTTAGTCATGTTACTAATCTTCTTAAAGATCGATTAAATCATCTTGATCTTATTATAATGGTCTCATTTATTACTAAATTTAAATTAAATTAGACTGATGGACAAATATTTTGTTTAGATAAAACTATTTTATAGTTTATTCTATGGATAATCTTTAAGAGTGTGTAATAAAGAGAATAAAAAGAAAAACGATAAAATGTTTCATCAAAATTAAATTAATTATCTCACTACAATTAAGGTTCTTCATCTTATTCTTTAAATTTTTGAGGTACTATACTATCGAAAGCTTTGCTCCAATCTTTATATTTTAACCATCCTGATATCATTAAGGCAGCTGTACTAACATTTAAACATTTTTTATAATTCTTTTTTATTAATTATCCAATAGGTAATTTAGCACATCTTACTCCTAATTATCTACTTCTATTTAAAGTAGCATTTTTTAAAATAACTCTAAAAATATTATAATTTAATAAATACCTATCAACAAGTCCACCTATAACATATACTTCATCTTCTTTAATCTCTTATAATTCTTCTTCACCATCAGGACTTAAATAAACAATATTTGCTTATTAAAATTCTTCTATATCTGTGAATAACCTCTCATCTGATAATAATTACCATTATTTATAATTATATTACTCTAAATATTTATGCAATATTGGATAGATATTAGTCACATAGAGTTTTAGAGGAACATCCATTCTTCTATTTTCTGTATATAATTCAGATAATTATCTAGCAAGTGATCTTTACTCTTTATCTGACATATTATCTTCAAAACCACAATCAATAATAATCTTAAATGGACTTTAAAGTGATTTAATTCCATTCTCTTTCTTTTGATTTCTTATACCTTTAAATGAATGAACAAATTAATTCTTTTATTCTTAAGTTTCTAATGTTTAAATCATTTCATATTTTTATTGCTTTATTTTCTTTTTTTTATCTTTCTTCTTCTAAACTACTTTCTATTTATATAATTCATTCTTTATTTATTGTTTTTCTGATCTTAATTATTTGATCTTATCATTCTAATGTTCTGTAATTATATCCTCTCCTAAGAGATCAAATATTTCCATAAAATTAATTTTTTAATGGGAATGCCTTGTTCAAAATAATAACCCAAACCTACAAATTTAACTGTTCACCAATCTAATGACTTTTAAATTCTATTAGCTCAACCTTCTCATGTGTAACAAGAACCAGAAGAGGAGATTTAAGAACCTAAATAAACTAAAATTGATGTTGCCTAAAATTCAATAGATTTAAATAAGAAACGATATTCAAGTAAAGATGTTTCAGTCATTTCTAAATACATTGAGAATGAATTAAGTATATTAATTGAATAATGTAAGAAAATTAATCAATGAAAATTGAAAGATTAACAATTGATATGAGAGATGCTTCTGCAAGTTGCAAAGGAGGAGGCATTGTCTAACGTAAAGAAATATCTATAGAATAATTCAATGATGAAGAAAGTAACATATGTAATACAGTGTATACAAATCCAAAATATAAACGTCTTAAGAGCATGAATGAACATTCTATGATCTTATTACATTTGAATGAAAATAAATAGTATTCAGAATTACTTTATAGAGTGATAAATGATTATCATTTTAGAATTGAACATGAATCTGAATTTAATAATATTTTGATGAGATCTTAAGATAGTTTTCTCTAGAATCTTTTAATTTCAGATAAGTATATAAATGAATATGGAATCTTTCACATATTCAGAGAAACAATTAAATTCAGTAAACTTGATTTGATATTACAGAATGATTTCACTTTGAATTCGACATAACTTCATTACAATAAATGTAGCATTATCTTATTTTATTATATAGTGTTTGTTGAAATCAGCTATTTTCCTTTAATCCTAGCTACTTCACATATATACATGTTCTGTCTATATTTTACTTAATTCAATGTTCAATTTAAAAATTTGACGAATTCAAACTTTGAATTAATGAATTTTTTAAATTAAATTAAGCTATTACTCAAAATTTAAGTAAATTTCAATTCATATAATAGATTTCAATTTTGTCTATTTGTGAATAGAACAATTAAATCATATTAACTATTTTGATTGATCATAATTCTATGAGAAAAACTCAAATCATATCTCATATCAATAATTCTCTTAATCAACAATTCGGATTTATCAAATGTTCAACATAACCTTTGGTGAAGTATATAGGTTGTGAATTGACTGATATAGATGCTTGGAATAATAGAGAATTTAAGGAGGATACCAAGACAGATAGTCAATTTTCTACTTAATTTGGTTGGAAGTATAAATATACATAAATCTTAGATTATTCGGTTTAAATATAAAATAAATAAACATCAAAAATATTGGATATATTTATTATAATTTGAATTAGAATTATAATGAAGATGTAAGAATCTATTCTTTGAATGAAGTCAATAGATATTTAGCTGAATTTGAAATGATAGAGATTAAAGTATACTGTGAAAAAAAGTATTACAAAATGCTATTCTAAATCACTTATAATGATGAAGATATTATTATTAAATAGAATTAAGTAAATTTAAAATAATATATCATAGGCATATCTAACTACATTATTAAATTCGAGACTCACTGGAATAATGATTTATGATGCTGAGAAGCAGATGAAATATTGAATTTTATTTGCAAACAACTATTTATTTTATGATTGGATAGATGAATTAAATATATATAATGGTTATTCTTCACTTTTTATCTTATTTTTTTCGACTACTATTATTATTAACATTTATTTTCAATTAAACAACAGGTTTCTATGAATCACTTTTATCTTCATTTCCATTACCAATTTTCTTTATTTTTTTAGATTTTTAATTGACCTTTATATCTACATTAACTTAATCCTAAGAATTCAAAACTTAAGCTATATCTTATTAAGCTTATATCTCAGCATCAGTTCTATTAAGACATTATTCACATTTGCATAAATCACTACATTTTAAATTTTGACTATAACATTCACAATATTTCTTTTTACATCCAGACTTCTTACAATTACATCCTTTTCTTGTGATATTTGAGTTTTCCTTTGTAGGTTCTTTAAGAGGTTTATCTTAAATTTTTAACATTCAATATTACCTTATTATTAGACAGAGAATTAGGTTTAACTCTTTTATTAAAAACATTATGCAAAAGCATCTGGATTTCTTAATAATGCTTCCTCTATAGCTTTTGATCTTTCTTATGGATTATCAATTCTATTTTTACAATCCTAGCAATTGCAGCTTTGAGAACATACCTTTTTTTATAAATATTATTAATTCTCATACCCAATTATTAGCAAAGCATTCACAATAGAGTTTCAGACATTTGCTTTTTTTGCAATTACATTAAAAATCTGAAACTTTTTGATATTAAACTAATTGTAACACTTTGGATTACAGTTCCTTTGAAACTGTATTTTAACATTGCAGTCCATCATATTGAGATTATGGATAATAACAAAATGGAGGCATTAATTATTACTATGGTCTTGGATGATACCATGGATTGGGTGGAACCATATAAGCCTAACCTTACTATGGAGGAGGTGGATATTTCATAAACATTGGTTATGGTTGGTATTTCATAGGGGGATAATAGCCGAAAGGATAATGCATAGGGATACGATGGGGATCATCGTCAATGTGATCCATATGTGGAACTTCACCTAATAAATGCTTTGGATAAGGATATCTACTTGGTCCTTTCCTATCACTGTTCATTTGGGGATATTTCTGTGGATCATAGTCATGATAGACTTGCATAGAAGGTCATCGTGATACCTTATTTTTCTAATTCAAATGGAGGAGGACACATGGGAGGAAATAATTATTGATAGGGCATAGGTGTAAATCGTGGTGATGGGTTTCCTTAATACCCCCAATCCTCTGTAAAATCTTGTACTTTCTTATTGTCAGGTTTTGGTTATGGATCATTTGAAACATCCCTTGATTTATCATTTACAAGTTTATTTACCTATTCTGTTCCTCCGAATCAGCACTCATAAATTAAAATATTTAATCTCTTAAGATATTTAAATTAATGATCAAATATAATATAAATTAAACTGTATTCTAAATAAATGGTTTTTAAATATAGATGACATAGTAAATATAATAATATTTCTATCATTTTCATATAAGTTTACTTATTTTGAAACCTAAAATTAATTTATTAATTAATCAAACTTCTTTGGTCCTTAAAATTTTTTATTTAAATTCAAAAGAATTATTTAAAATTGAATAATTATATATTAAGATGTCTTCGTTGTTAGATAATAGAACTAAATTATATTGATAAATCAATTGCTCAGAATAAATCTATAACATGCAACTCCTGATATTATGGCCATAGAGGAATAAATTAAACCTTTGATTGGTCTATAATATAGCCAAGAAATTCCAATGGTACCTAAAGTTAATGGCATAGATATCATTCCACTCAAGATAGCCAACAAAATTCCAGTCAACTTGGATAAGAATCCACCCAATAATGGAATATAATATAATAAAGTGGTTATTGGAGTGAATACCAAAACAAATCCAAATAACTATAATAAAATTTAATATTCTTACAAATAATAAATAACCTCCAAATCTACATAACCATACTATTCCAACTAAACTATTTAATTAAGCTTTGAAGCATTAATCTAAAGTGAAACTTCTATTGAAGTACCAATTAATATAATTTAAAGGTGCTTCAAAAGATTTAAAAATATTTGATGAAACTTCTTTTGATGGATCAATTTAATTAAGTGGTTATTCTTCTTCACTCAATTCATGGAATTTATTTAAACTCTTTAACATATCTGGATTTTTAATATAATCTTAATTAACATCTTCTGAATATGAATCCTTAAATAAATAAGGTTTGAATGATTCCTTATATTATCTTGCTACAATGGCAGCATAATTACAAGGTACTTTTTCAAATAATACTCGTTAATCACCTATTGAATCCTAATTTTCAGATTTTCTAAAATAAATATATTTTCCATCATAATTGCTAGAAAATTAGATTAATAATATACATATATATTTAAGTTCTGCTTAAAAATTCCATTTTAGCTGATTCACAATGTTATTATGAAATAGAATCTACTTAAATGTAATCTACAGCTTTGCTTTTAAGATAATCAGTTAGTTTATAAGCACCAATATAGACATTTTCAGCTGTAAATTCTTAATCTTAGACTGTTAAATCTTCACGTCTATTTTCATGATTAGGATATGATCCTTGAATCTTTGATGACCATTCACTTTCATAGTAATATACAGTTCTTTTATTCTTTTTGCTTCCCTCTTCTCTAGATTTTTAAACCCATTAATAAGTTTCTACTTTTCTTCTCAGTTTTACACAGTTTTTAACTTCTAAATCAAATTGAGGATCAGTGATAACGTCATTTGTTGTTAATTTTCCTTTGACATGAATTAATTGACCTTCCATACGAGGGTCAATTTCAGCAGCATTGACTGATTAACAAGTCCTTCTTGCAGCTAACAACCTTGTCTCAGATATAGCCATTCTTATTATGTTGATATAATTTACCTTCTCTCATTAAACCATAAACAAGGGAATGCAGAAACTATCATAACAAAACCAATCAAAAAGGCAAAAATTGGACCAATTACGCTATCACTGTCACTTTCGTCATCAGAACTACTAGAGTAATTTCTACACTCTATTAACTTGACTAAAATAGTTAAGAGTAGCAATTTCATACTATTTTTTTAAATTAAATAATGAATTTTATGTTTAGTCATAATGGATTTAGGTACTTGTATTTTAATATTAATTAGATATATCATATTAATTATGTATCATATATATTAAAAATAGATAGAAAATTATAGTATAATTATTAGACATACTTTTTGTAATTGTATTAAATATATTTTTGAGGACATTTTAATAAAATTAATTTTAAATATTATATATTTAATCTTGTAATTATAATTATATATAAATTAAAAATAGGTTATTGAAGTTAGAGTATTTATTTAATAGAATTCTAATAAATTAATGTTAAACTTAAGATTTATTTTAGAATATGTAGATATATAAATATTTACAAATTCTTTTATTTATTAAAAAAGTATATATATTAAATTAGTTATTTAATACTTTAGATATGTATATACTAAGTTTAATGTAAAATACAATGAATGAAGGTAAATCTTGTAAAAATAAGTGTGTTTTAATAATTATTATAAATAAAATCATGTATAATTAAAATAATGAAAAGGTTGTCAATTCCCTTTTTGATTTGGTTGATAATGACTTTATGGTCAATTATTTGATGGATCCACCGTAAGCGATTTATATTATGTTATTAGTCATGCATTCCCTAGAACAAATAGTAACTAAAATTTTATTGGATTATAATAAAATTTTTCATTATTGGACAATTAATATGAATAAATGGAAATGAAATTAGAGGAGCCAATTGCAGATGCAAAGAAACAAAAATAGAAAAAAAGAAAAACACAAAAAAGCAATGTAATGAATTTAAATAAGAATGTTATTAGTAATCTGAACCTATAAAACAAAAAGATCCATTTTAATATAAGAATAACTTAAAAAATACTTATATCAATAAGATCACAAATCTGGTTTAGTAAGATAGTCAAAAATTGTTACAACAACAATAGGCAAAATTTAGAACATCGGAGGAAGATAGACATGATAAAAATAATAGTGTTTCATATTAGGATATTGAGGATAGTACTTAAGCAAAATTGTTAAGAAATAGAGAATGTGCTAGAAATTCAAGGAAGAGAAAGAAGATTTATATTGAATTGTTAGAACATCGAGTTAAATAATTAAATGATGAACTAGAGAAATAGAAATTATTGAATAAGACAAGTGCAGGTTACTTAAATAAAATGAGTTAGAATTAATAAGTATTAATTATTTATTAGAATATTTTAATAGTTATAAGGATTCTTTTTGGGAAGATAATAATTATATGAGAAATTGGAGAAATCAATCTAAAATAAAGCAGATGATAATGAATTAAATTTATTATTAGATTCAATGAGATTTAGAGTTGGTGGAGGTGGTAAAGAAAGAGTAAGTGCATCCAATTATTTTTTTAATTAAATATTGGAAATCTGTTTTCCTGTTCATGTTAGATATATGTTATGGGCTGCAAGTGAAAGCAAAGACTTATTTGCTGATTAATTAGATTAATAATAATAAGATGGATAACCATAATGGTTGTTGGATCTAACTAATGATCTCTAAATAACTGAAGCTTAAAAAAAATAAATGAAGAAATCTTAAAGAAGAATTATAAGTGATAAAAATAAATTATTAGAGTAATTAATTTTAAATAAAATAATAGAATTTTAAGTTAATTTTAAGAAATTAAAGAATAATTATATAATAAAACCTCTTAAGTAGAAAATTTTGTTGATGAACTTAGAAATATATTAAATCCTACACAAGTTGGTAAATTTTTAATTGGTTTAGAGAAAGTATAAAAAATATATAAATAAAATAGAACAAATTTAGAAGAGAAATGGCAATATCTAAGATATGGAATATATTTGATGATCATAGTGAAGATGAAGAAGTAGATGTTGAAGTTAAAGAAGAAGATTCTATAGAAGAGCCAGCAAGAAAAAAGATATAAATTTGATATTTGTTATGTTACATGTCTCACCAATACAATATTATAATATTTATATTATTTTATTCCAAAATTAATCATAAATCATTAATTTTTGTAAGCATAATAAAAAATACCTCCTCCTAAAATTATAGATATTAATAGCATTAAAAATCCAATCTTTGGGCGATAGTATACCCAAGAAAAGCATATAGAAAAGATTGTTATGGGCAATGCAGCAATGCTACCAAAAATAAAAAAACTCAATCCAGTCAATTTTTCGGTTGGAATAAAGTCTGTTAGAAATGATACTGGAGATAATAAAATGATAGTTCCAATAGCCTAATATAAATTTATTTTTTATTTACTATTAAAATATATCCAATACTTCTGAATACCCAAAATAACATAGCATTTTCATTAACAACTTTTGAAAAACATTCTTCAGGTGTAAATAGACCTTAAAAGATCCAATAAATTTCTTTAATTGGTTTGCTATCATTAGGAACAGGGAGATTACAACAAGTTCTTTCATGTTCATCATAATCTCTTGCTACTGTTTGATTAAAAGTATCTTCAAATTACCATACTACTAATTTAGTATTATCTCCTCTTGCTACTATTGTAGCATCACTACAAGTTACTTATTTAAAACATATTCTTAAATCTCCATTCACAATTTGATCTTCAACCTAATGCATATATATGTAGTCATCTTATAGTAAACTTTATAAGAAAACAATTTTACAATCTACAAAATCCACTATTTTTATATTTCTATTATGCAATCTACACATTTGCTTAATTCAATTTGACATTCTATAAAGGAGTTTTGAGTTCTTTTTTCATATCTTCTTCCAAATGAAATTGATGTAATTTAACAATTTAATTTAGAAATGTTTCTGATTTCAAAACCCATTTAGATTTATCATTATTATATCCAAAATGATTCTCAACATGATTATCCATCCATTTTTATTCTTATTATTTTTAATCACCTTATACCCATTAATACATTTCGACATTTCTATACAATTTTACACAATTTATTTAAGAAACACCAAACTCTTTATCTGTTACTAATTCATCACTCATTAATTGACCTGTTATGTGGATTAAATCTTTTGGATTTGATTCTTAAAAAGGTGTTAATGAGATGCAATGTTATCTAGCAAATTAAAGCCGATATGAATTTATAGCTGCTCTTCTTTCATTAAACCACAATAGGAGAATTGAGAATGATATGCATACAATACCAACAACAAATAATTATGTATCTAATGGTCCTGAACCTGAACGAAGATGATTTATATGCTTATGAATGGAAGAACCTAATGTTATTGAAATAAGAGTAAATAATTTCAAATATTTCATTAATTAATATTTTTAACATTCACTAAACCATTATACCAATCCATCATATGATCTTAAGAATGGAACAATAGATCAATTTATCCCTGATTTAAAGTGAGAATTTGCATAGGCCAATAAGAGAGACTTGGAATATTGTTTTCTTTCTCCTATATTTTGTTTGGCTTTCTCTTTAAATAACCTTGAACTTATTTTGGAATGATAACTCTAATAATTTGAGATAAAGGTAAAGAAGAATCAATTAACTAAGGTTTCAATTGATTTCTAAATTCAATTCTATCCTAAGTTAATTATGCCATTCTTAAACCATAACCCAATTAAGTAGGATTTTAATGTTGAAATACATCAAATTCTCTTTTTGAAGGTTTATTTGAGAATTTTTTAAGTAATAAAGTTCCTTTAGTTAAAGATTTCTTTAAAGTAGTCTCTTTAACAAAGTAAGACTTTGACATTTATGGACTGATTTAAGCAGTAGAATGTTTATGACTAAATATAGTTTTACTATGATGATGTTATCTAATAGGAAGATTATTATTATTATTATTTTGTTATTCTTCATATATAGTTTATAATTTGACAGGATGAGATGATTTAGTCATAATATTATTGAATTCATCCATATGTTAAATTAATGAATCATCTTATTATAGATTAGCAATTTATTTGGTGAACTCTATTTATTGGATACTTTAAATGATATTAAATTAGATTACATTTATGATAATTGAAGAGTATCATCTTTCTTTTATAACATGGATTGATTTGTCTTATTTTATTACTAATTTATTTGATTTGATAAATCATTGTCCACATATGATATATTATATTGTATGGCTTAGTCTATTTAATTGTATTATTTATAAATTTAAGTAATTCCTTAAATCTTTTTGTTATATTATGTGTATATCATTCCTTTTATTTACTTTTATTATTCAAGTAATAATTGTTGATACTTCTCCTCACCATGTATAACTCTAAACCCCTTAAAATCACTAACTTAATTTAATCAATACAATTACTCCAATTAGCTATATATTATTCAAAAACCTGTATAGTTTATTCTTCCATTCTTTTATTTAGTTCTTAATATAAGGTTTCCCTTTCCTTAATCAAACTCTTAACCTTTTGATCTGAAGAAAAATTGTTTTGAATTTCTTTATCTAACTATTCAAGTTTAATAGCAAAACTATATTCAAAAGTACTATTGGCTTTATGAAACTCTAATAATTCTTCAAGTTCCTCATAATGCCCTATTAATTCTGCACGTTAGAGCAATTTGGCATTCAAATCTTCAATTAACATCTATTGCCATTCTGAATTCATTTTAAAATATTATATTTAACTGTTAGTATAAAATAAGAAATATAATTCATTCATTTTTTTATAAAGTAACAATATGACTTTTTAATTCCTATATCTATTTATTTGATTTTTGATATTGTTCATCCATAAATTAATAATCATGATGTTTATTCTTATAAGTAGCTAATTCTTATCTTAATGAAGCTGTTTAAGCATTCAATCTCTAAATTTCTTTTTAAAGACTATAATTCTTTTCATCATTCAATTCCAAAACCTTTATTCTATTTTTCAAAGCATAAACCTCTTCTTAATCTACATTAGGTTTATTTGATTAATAATTAATGATTTATTCTTTCTCTCTTAATTTTTTCAAAGTATCCTATAAAATTCTATTTTATTATTGTAATTCTGTTTCTTTTTATTACAATTTTTCTTATAAATCAGTTGTGATTTATGTTAATTATGTATTTTATTCTTATAAACACTTTTATTTAAATTAATCTTCTTTTTTACTATCATTAAAAACTTATTCCATTCTACTTTATTTTGATTTCCATTATTCTATTTCTAATTTAAGTTCATTAATAAGAACATTATTAATTTAATTTTATTAGAGTCTTTAACTGTATTACATATTTGTATTCTTATTAACCTCTAATTCTATTTATTTCTATTTTAATAGTTCATTTAATTTATTATAATCATTTTCAATTATGTTATAATTTTATTTTAAATGATTATATTACACATCTAATTATGCTTTCTCATTGGCAATGAATTCTAATTCATTAATTTTATTAGCTTAATCTTATATTTTACTACAAGCAAATTCTATTTTAGATCGTTATTCATTTAATTAATCTATTAATTAATCAATATATGAATCAATTTATTATGATTTATTTAATTCCATTATTAGATTTTAATTTAAGGCTTTTTATTATTCAAAGTTTCTCAATAATTCTTAATTCTTTTCATGCAATTACATATTCTCATGTCTTAATTACATAAAATTATTCTATTCAACTTATAATGCAACAATTTCTTATTTTAATTTTAAACAATTTCTTTTTTAAGATTCCAATTCTTATTATAAAACTTAATTTTATCCAATCACTCTATTTATTTCTAATTATGCCTATTATATTTCCTATGCCTTTTACTAAAATATTTATTGATAATAATCTATCTCTTATTATAAATTTCTAAATTACTCTTACTTTTATTATAATTAAATTTCTTATGTCTGAATAGTTGAATTCAATTGATATACATAAGTTTATTAATTCTTATATTCATTAATTTATTAACACAAATGTTGGTTCTCTTAATTTGATAACATTAATGCTTCATTAACCTTTTCCAATTAATTTGTAACAAGTGTTAACTTCTCTTATAATTCATAAGTATATGTTAATTATTGTCTGAGTTTATCATTTTCATTTGCATAATGTTACTTATATATATATGAATGTTATATTACCAATTTTTAATTCAAAAGTTCAGTCTAACCCATCTATGGCCTATCTGACAATTATCTTAATAATTGATTATTTTCATTTTATAAATCTTGCTAAATAACAAATCACACATAGATGCATACATATTTTTTAGTTAAATCTTAGTATTGATGTTAAAGTTGAGAATCTCTATAACCATAATCTGTGCTTGGAGATTATTGATATCTAATGGGTTACTAAATAATTGGCTATTAGTATTTGTTAGGATCAACATATATAGTGGTAGTAGGTATGTTCTAATAAGGGACATTCCTGTAGGGACTTTGATTGACATACATAGATGTATAGAAAAATTAGTTGTTACAAACAAAATTTATTAATAATGTTAGTTATGTTTGATAAATCAAATTGAGAATATTATTCATTTATTCATTCCCATATTTTATAATAAATAATCTTGTATTGTAAACAGTGAATCTTTTAAGTTTCTTATTTCCATTAGATAACTCTGAAGGTACTTCTTTAACTAATAAATATTAATAATCCTTATATAAAAAAGTAAATTAAATTTTGATATCTTATATGGTTAAAAATAAAAATTGGATTGTAAAATATATGTTTATAACATTTTTGTTATTACTTAAAATATACTATTTCAAGAAAAATCTTGGATGCTTTAAATATTTTTATTATGTGATTTTCACTCATTAGTATTATTTTTAATTCATTATTCAATATTTCTCTTTGGGTGATAAAGGTCGTGTATAATCGTTAAATTTTTTATCTGAATTTTTTACAGAAAGAGGTTCTCTTATTTCATTCTGATTAGATTTTGAAAATGCCTGAATCTATTTATCTTCTAAAACAGAATTTAGAACTGAATTTTTGATTTAAATTGAATGGGGAGGCATAATTTAACTAAAATGAGGGAAAATACGATTGAATTTATAAAAAGTAACCATCCTTGTTTGTAACGATTAACACTATTTTTATTAATATTACTATTTACTTCTTTGTAAAGTTCTAATAGTTATTATTTATTAATTATGAGGTTTGGATTCTTTTCTATCAAATACTTCACATCTTTCAAGATGAAGATGTAAATATCTTATATATCAAAATACAAGAACTTAACTAAATGAGCAATTATATCATTTGGTACTTGTTCATTATTAATTGTTTCAATTAATCGTTACATATTCATTCCAATATAGCATTAATTTGAAAGAGTGAAGTAAATCATTAAATCATCTTAAGGCTTACCAAAATCTTCATTAATTAAAGTTGTCTATGATGCCAATTTGTAAATATAACAATAATATGATTGACACAATTGACCAATCAAATTATCTGTTCCATCATTTGCTTTGATATTTATAGTTAATTTTGTATTGATGATTATTTTCGATAAATCTGCTCTTGCTACTTAAGAACTGATAATTATATGGACTAAAAGCAGCATTTTCAGTTTTACATAAAATTTTTCTTTTTATTATAAGTGATCTCCTACTACTTGTAACAATTAGTTTAAAAATAATATCTAAATGAAAATATATAAATGTACTTTTGTTTGATCATTTGTAAAGAAATGTTTAAGACGATTGCTAATTTATAGTTAGGACATAAAATTAGTATCATTAACAATAAGTTTCAAATCAGATAAGGCCAATGTAAGTTTATTAATAGCTGACACTGAAGTATTTTCATTAAAAAATTGCTTTATTTTAGTAATCATAATATAATTATATATTATCTGTTAAACATATATAAATCTATTATAATCAATTAACAAATGACATGCTTTTATTCATTAATTTATGATTTAAAGCATTGGCAATATTTTCGATATTATATGAAGGATAATAATATTCATAACTACACACTTAATCTAAATTATCCTCATTTTCTTCTTATTATGGTATAATAGATCCAGTTTATGATTTTGGTTACTACATGATACTTGTGGATTACATCTTTTTATTTAATGAACTTGAAGAACTTGTTTATCTATTCTTTTGAGTTCTTTTAACTTATAATTCATTTGAGTTAGTAGATTTAACTAAATTCACTTTAATCGAATTTTAAGTGTGTGAATAATCAACATGTTTATGTACAAATTTTCTACTATTATATGAGGATTCCTTTTCTTCTAATTTTATAGGAGGCATACTGCTTTATTAATGAGTTTAACTACTGAAAGTATTTTAAGGTGAATTAATAGTTTTAGGAACTTCAACAGTACCATGTTTTTGATATAACGAATAACGAGATGATTTCTCATCTTAAAAATCATTTAAAATAGAATCTTCAAAATTATTAGTACTACCTTATAATCTACCCATTACTTCATTAGTTAAATCAGTTTCTAAAGATATTTTATTTGTAATAGCAAAACTAATGGCTGTAATACATATAAGATTTTTATTTAATAAAGCATTAATTCTATTTCTTCCATTATCTCTATAATAATTAACTCTATCATTTGGTTCAGATGTATTATGAATAAGAATTAATTCTTTAAAATTTGGAACATAAAATACATGTTTACATTTAGTAAAAGTATGATTTCTATATCCACAACATGGACAAACTTCTTTCATATTATCTTTTAACATACAAAATTTCTGAAAATCTTGACTGTGCATTTTAATTAACTATAAAAAATCATTAATATCCACATGAGCAATTAAAGATTCACTTAAACATCTAAGTGTTAAAGGACATTAAATTTAACGATAAAAATATTAAATAGGAAATATATTTGTTGTTAATACTTTATTACCAATACATTAAGCAAAGTTTCCCTTCATCAAAAAGAATAATTTATCTATAACTTAATATTATTGATGTAATATTGTTCCATGAGGATAAGTTAATGTTTACAATTTTTAAGACAAATCTTACAAAAATGCTCTATTAAATGGTAGACTTTCCAATAATGGCATAAATAGTTCTTGTCTCATTTGATATTATAAATCTGGTCTTAATCCACTTAAATCTATAGGTTCTAACATATTTCTATTTTGATATCTTTATAAATTTTAACTAAGTTAAGCACTAATCTTATATTTCTATTATGGCTTATATTATAAGAATTGTTTAATTAAATATATTGTAACTAAATAACCAATTATTGTGGCTATAATTGAAAGTAATCTTTATGATATATTTGTATCTCCATTTATTTCTAATTATCTATCATAAGGATTTCCACTATTGGTCAATTAGAATATTGTCCATTAAAATGATGTTATGTAGATAGAAATGTTACTGTCTGAAAATCTAATTATGCATGAAATTTTACTAATCTTGAGTAAGTCTTGATTAAAGAGTTGAAAATATATGAATTAATAAGATAGGAATAAAACAATATGTTACTTATGAATTAATCATGTAGAGTCTTTGTACTCTCAATAATATTAACATAACTATTAAAGATTATTAATAAATATTACTAAAGTAATCAGATGCAAATAATGTGAGTAAACAACTTATTAGATAAATAATATCTTAATATAAGTACTATTAAGCTATATTCCATCTATTCTCTGTGTACATTTCATCAATGTATACTCCAATAAAATAGTTACTCAAACTTTCTAGGATTGATAAAGTAACTTCAATTAATTGATATTATTTACAAAAAGCTAAAAATAATTCTCGAGATTCACTGAATGCAAATTCCCAGAAGATTATTAAAAATCCTATCATATACAATATTAACATGATATAACGAATCCATAATACTTTTGGTGTATAAGGATTAAAGATAAAGCAATTCTATGCTATAATATTAGCCTTATCATCTATTAACATTAAATGGGATTATTTAAGAATGTTTGGTTAAACGCACATAATTTTGCTTAGAAACTTAACAATATAAAACCATCTTTTAGGCCATTTAGGTATTAATAATAAGTCTCCTTTAGGTAAGAGTGGACTTCCTTAAACTTTGAATTTTGGAGAAGGATTGGGGAAATATGAAGATGAAGCTTTTCTCAATTATTCACTATGTTTACGCAAGCCCATATCACTTTAATCACTAAATTTTCGACTATTTTTAGAAATCAACTTTCTTCCATTTATATTTTGCATTTCTATTTGAAATAACTTTAAGGATTTATAATTTTCCTCAACTTCATCAATTTTATTAAATTCTCTTTTTTCCATTGACAATCTGGAACCAAAGATTTCACCCTCCTCCAAACTTTCTTTATGTTCACTCTTCTACAACTGATTAGGATCTTCAAAATTAACATGCTTCTACACTCCAGCTTGATAGGCTTAAATCTCTTATTAAATTAGACGAGGAACTGCCAAAAATGTTTAAGATTGTTAGGAGGAATGTTGAGAGTTGCTTTAATCCAAACTATATTACTAATTAAACATTTTTAATTGTATAAGAAAAGTTTAATATTTTGAAATTAATGTATAGTAAGTGATATATTAGATGTTTAGAATAAGAAAAGGTATATAATGTTGCAGAATAGATGAAATAAATTATAAAGAAATATTTATTAATAAAATAACAGAATTATGTTAAATAAACCAGAGTTGTCAAAAGAATTGAGTGTTTTCTTGGAATTGTTACATTAAGATAATGGAGAGTATAAAGGATATGAGAATTATTTAATTGGTAGTGATCTTGATGACATGGATAGTAAGAAGGGAATTAATAAGGATCTCTCAATTATATATAGTTAACCTGAAAGTGAAGTATCAACTTAGAGAGACAATACATCTCTTAATATTGGAGATTTGTTTTCTTTAATTTTTAGAGATCTAGAAAATCAATTGTATTCTCCATTATCTTAGCGAATCAAATAATTATAAGTAAGATGGTTATTTAAATAAGTAATAAATTCATATTTATATGATGAGAGTATCTGAGAAAATGAATGAGTTCTAATTGTAGAACTAGAGTCTTTAGACTAATAATAAATTATTAGTTGAAGCTCTCAACTCATCTTAACAGGAGATACAAGTCTTAGCTATAGCACATGAAGAATCATAACAAAAATTGAAGAAATCTATTTAAGATTTAAAGAAATAATGCGTAAAATTTTAATTAATATATCATTTTTAGGATGAATTAAATAAATCTTTAGCTTACACATAATAAATCAATTAAAATTTATTATAATAAATTGATAAAGAATAATAATCCTATAAAAAAAATGAAGAGGAATTTAGAGATGCTTCTTAAAGATTAATCAAAAGTAATTAAGCTTTACGGTATTAAATTTATTATTATAATATAGTGAAATAATTGTTAATATTGGCAATATCTCTCCTATGCACAAGAGTAAATTGCAAGAAGTCATTAAATATTTGACTGAAGGAAGAGATTAAAAATAGACAGAATTAAGAAGTGGACGTAGTTAATCTAAAAAATAAAAAGAGAATAATAGTCTACATTATTGTATCTCAAAATTATCATCATATAGCTACTTTAAACATTAGCAGTTCAAGAAACAAAAAATCTATGTCTCCTTAAGGATTTACATCTACAAGGAAACAATAAGGTGTAAATGTTTTGGATACAAATTATTAAATATCTTATAAAGAGTTATTTTTAAAGAGTTTAAAAGTAACAAAATAAAAATGAAACAGTATTAATTTATTTTATTACTATTTTCATATCTATCCAAAATGTTATGTGATATTAAGTTGATCATTTTCTTAATATTCAAATTACTCTATGTAAAATTATTAATTCTAATAAGATTCTTAAAGCTAAGTGTTTTCAATTATAAGATTTTCTAATTTATTAGTTAATTAAGTGATTTCATCTTGAAATTATTTTAAATTCACTTAAAATTAGATTGATTATTCTGTTTTATCACTTTAAAGTTTCTAATTAAAATAAGAATGAGTACATTTAGTTATTTTTAGAGAAGATTATTTTTTCGAATGGCTTCAGATAAAATTTAAGACATGTTTTCCTTTTATTTTGTTAATTCTTAGATCTAATTTTGTATTTCCTTATTAGATTAGTTTTGAGAAAAAGAGTTGCCATGAACTCTATTGATAATGATAGATTATGGATGTTTATTTTCAACGATTGGTCGAATAGGTAATCTTTCATCTTATCTTTATGTGAGATTCAAGATGCTATTATGATTGGAAAATTGTCTAGTTGGAGTCATGTCTAGACAAACATGAATTGGTCGAACATTAGTTGGAGTAATGGCAAATCTAGTTCGAGGAATAGGTGCTTATATTAGCATTTTTAATTAAATAACAGTCACTTAAATAAAATTAAGTAGCTAAAATGAATTATTAATTGATAATAATAAGAAATTAATAAATAGAGAGAATGAGAATTATTATATAGAGATTATGAATTTGGAGAGTACCATATAAATAGCAAAGTAATTTGGTTAATTTTGAATAAAATAAATAAAATTAAATTAATGATGAGATTTAGGCTGATTCATCTTGTATGATTTCATGATTCCAATTCTTTCCCCAACTGATAGATATATTTTCAATATATTATATATATATATATAAATGAATTAAGAGAAAGATTGCTCTTATATGTAATAGGTTAAATTTGATTTGCGTCGACGAAGAATGCATAATGTGCCTTCAGTATTTAATTGTGAAGCTCAGAAACGTAGGAATTCTTTCTCTCTGAGTTCTGATGCTTGTAAGAGTCCTTAGAGGAAGGCAACAAAATACTTCGAAAATCAAAATCCAGGATAGAATGCTTATTTTTGGAGTTTGATAAAATCAAAAAGAAATGAAAATGAATAGTTTGTTTAAGTGTTGAAATCTATATGTCCTATTTAAGTAAATGAAGTTGAAGCAAGATTATAATTTTTGTTAAGAAACTTTGGTTATGAAGATGAGAAATCTATGTTTGAAATAATAGAAAATATATAATAAGGATAAAGATGTTAATAATGGACATAGGAAGAATCACGTATTTTGATTTGGGCTATTTGTAAATTGGGAGTATAACATAATTAATGGAAGGAATTAGGGAATTTATTGAATCGTTCAGTGAAAGAATTGAAAACACATTGGACTGAATTAATTCATCATACATAAAGAGGATTATTATGGACAGGATAGGAAGATTAAACATTATAAAATATGATAATGACTTATTTGAATAATTCATAGACAATAAATTGGAAATGTATGGCAAATGTATTAAATAAGTCTGATAAATAATGTTAAGATCGTTGGTATAATACACTTGATCCATCTATTTCAAAGGAGGCTTTTAAAATTGAAGATGATTTATAATTATTATAATTAGTTTAGAAATATGGAAAAAGATGGAAAAGAGTATAAAGAGAGTGGTCATTAAATAGAAAGAGATCTCGTTATGATTTGAAAAAGAGATTTTATGAATTATTAAATTAACCAGATTCTGGTTATGATAGTGATACATCTTCAAATTCATCATCAAAATATAGGAAATTGAATTAAGATGATATGGATAAAATATAGAAACTGATTTCTGAAATGTAAATAAGTGAAGGAATGTAATTGGAAAATAAATTAGGAAAAGATAAATTATTAAAAAATAAATTATTAAGTATAGCTAAGAGTGATCTTGATAAGATGTTGAATTAATAAAGAAAAATAAAAATTTAATCAGCAAGTACACCAACAGATGAAAAAAAAAATGATATTTAAGAAGAACCTGATGAAGTAATTATGAATACTCCTTCAATTATGAATTCATTATCAAGATGTTTATTAAAAATTAATTTAGAAACAGAAGATGATTAATTATCAATTGATAAATTAGCTATTCCAAAAGTTTAATATAATGTTGATTCAGTAGAACATCTTAAACATGAAGATATTTTTGATATCTAATTTGCATTAGTTAATGATAAAACAAATACTTTATATTATGCTAATTTAGAATTCATGTAATAATTAATTAATTTAATTACAAATCAAAGAAAATTGATGTAATTAACTGATATGAATAAATAACCATAGAAAACTAAAAAGAAATTCAGTTCTTAATAATTAATTCAAGTATATCCTAATAAAGTAGGATTGTCATAATTTAGTTAAGATGATGCTAAATAACAATGAATAATTATTTCAACTAATTTTCAACTCTTATTTTATATATATATATTTATAAATGGATTTTTAATTGCCTAAGAGGTATGGACTAAATAAACCTACTTTTAAAATGATGTACAGTATATCCTAATAAGGGCTGGCTAACATTTTGCTAAATTTGATTCCTCACTCAAACCACTCAAAAATCTAAACACATTCATTGATCTCTCTAAACCTATTTAAGAACTTAATTATATAGAACATAGGAAGGTTCGTCAGATTATGCAACATCTCAAATTCTAATCTTAGAGTCGTAAATTCATCAATCATTAGGATGAATAGATTGCAGCCATAAGTTAACAATTAGAAATGGAATTAGAAAATCTAGCAAGAGAAGATTCTCCAACACCTTAAGTAGATTTAGTCAAACTCAAATTTCCATCAGAAATGCAAACTAAATTTGTACATGAATCAGCAGCTACTCTCGAAACTCATTATAATCTACATCGAATCAAAGAAAAAATGAATCATCGTAATATTACTTTAACAGAAAGTGATCTACTTAATAAAATTACACAAATTAACTTCTAAACTGCAAGAAACACAGACACTAAAGAATTTTATCATAATTTTAGTAGTTCTCATCCTAGATTAAAAAAAGAATAGAAATAATTGAGTCTTGATCAAAAATACTAAATACTTAAGGAATATTTAAAACAAAGAGGTATAGTAGTAGGAAGAAAAGAATCTATTCCTAATGAAGGATATTTACAATTTTATCATGAAGCTACTAATAGATTAATTAAATAAACTAAAGAACAATAACTTTTAAAATTTAGAAAGAGTATTACTTTAAAGACTGCACCTGATAATTAAGATCATTCTCCTAATAAAAAAATGAGTGTTACAAAAATAACAACAATACCTACTACTGTAGGAACAACACCTGCTTTAATTGGTATAACTCCTAGTAATTTTACTATGCTTCATTAATCCTTAATTAAATTGAATGCAGGATAGAATAGTTCTCCAGTTTTTATTTCTCATAGACATAGAACAGAAAGAGAGAAATCACCTGAAAAACCTTATTCAGAAAAATGGTAGGATTTTTAGAATAAAACAGAAGCTTTATAAAGTTATTATCTTCATGAAGGAAAGGAATGTTTATAAACTTTAGAAGATTTAGAGAATACTATAGAAAAACCTTACTTGAGACATTTTAATTAAATTATCAAAGTTGAATAAGAATAAGGGAATTTAGAAGAAGAATAAAAATAAAATAAAATAATGAGAAAAAGAAAATAGAATTTGCCAAAAAAAATAAGAATGTAGAAGATCTTCAAATCTGAATTATAGTGATTTATGTGTGTGATTCTATAATTAGTTTCCCTAAATTAAGAAATTTGAGTATATATATAGGCTTAATACTTCAACATCAAGGCAAGTCCCATTAGTGTAATGGTAGCACGTGAGATTCCGGCTCTCGAGTTCGAGGTTCAATTCCTCGGTGGGACGATTTTTTTAAATTGATTATATAGATCATCAAATCAATTTCAAATAATTACAAATTGAATAGAAAATCTATAATAGATTTATAGATCCAATTAGTATATACACTTCAAAACTATAATAATTTTTTATCAATTTAATAACACTTCTAGTTCAATATATTTAATCATATTTTTATTCATTCCTTACAAATATTTAAACATCATATTAGAAACATTCCAATTAAAATTTAGATGCAATATTCAATAAATCTAATATAGTTATAATTCATTTGATATGATTTCTGATATTTATTGTAAATATACAATAAATATTATAAATAATAAATATAATGTGTTGCCTCATTTTAACATTACTCTTTGTCTTAATATACAAATATGTGATTTCTTATTTAAGAAAACAAGATGAATTAAAATAGTAATAATTTGCAAACAGATAATCTCCATAAGTTCCAGAAACAGAATTATCTATATAATATCAATCTCTCAAATTAGAAGTCTAAAAGATGAAGTAGGATGCTGAGACATTGAATACAACTGAGACATTTTCAAAATATAGTAAACTTTAACGATAATTGATTCCAAAAGAAGAATTATTAGAATAATTAAAGAAATAATATGAAGAATATTAGGAATCATTTCTAAAATAATGGGAAGCTGAATAATCAAAAATACCAAAACCACCTTCAATTTCTAAATAACTTAAATATATTGATTATTTGATTATAATTATAATGATATTAGGATCCTGGCCAATTTATTATGAATTAAACAATGTTACTATTGATCAATTTTATCCTATTTTAGGAGCTATTGGTTATAAATAAAATGAAATTAATAATAATTCAACTTAACTATGGGGTACTAATTGGACATTCTGTTGTCTTATTATTGGATAATTAATTTTTGGATGAATGAGTGAGTGTATATTAATATATAAACATAATTATTTTTTGATCTATTTTAAAGAAGATTATAAATATAATTTAAATCAATTAATATTTTATTAACAATATACAGATTATAAATATATGTATAAATCTCCAAAATTCAAAATGGTTAAATTATTGTATTATGAAAAATAATAAAATCTTAATAATATTAAGTCTATGTTCCTAATATTGAAATTATTTACAATATTTAGAGCATTATCAATAATTTTTAGAGAAATTCAATTAAAATATTATTGATGAATTTATAAAGAGATGTAATTATAAGAATCAATTATATTTTAGTAATATTTTATTAATTATACTTTTGGAAATAACTAATATGATAATTGATTATCATTTGTGAACTATATAATTAACTAGTTGAAAATCCTAGAAAATTTATTAAATCTAAAATTATATCTTGAAATTTAATAAGTTTTCAACAAATATACTAATGAAATAATTATTTAAAAAAGATTGATCCTAAGATTGCAACTGAAATAACTAATTTAAAAATAAAAGGTAAGTTGACTATATTAAGTTATACACAATTTAAAAGGAATAATCAAGTCCTACATTTTAAAGTATGAATTCTGGATAAGAAAACAAAGTGTATTTCTGTAAATATATTATGTATATGAATGATTTGTGTTGTTTATATAAATCAATATAAGTATTTGATTGATAGATATGATGATTTAATTATAAATACGATAAATATTTTATAATTATTGTGATTATATAAATTATGAAAAATATAGGACTTATTTATATATATGTTTAATTGGTTTTAAGGAATTATTAATAATTTTATATTGGTAGATGGACATATTGCCATATCAACCTCGAATAGCTTTCACAAGAACTTAAAGAGTAAGATCTATGCTTTAAACTCCTATAAGTTTACCTTAAACTAGCTCGACTAATTTTAATCAATAAAATTAAGGATAAAATCAATCTAATATCTAATTCAAAAGAAATCGATAGCTTCGTAATAGCTTCAGTGAATTACCAGGATTTTAATTAAAGAACTATTAATTTTAAGGAACTTTAGGGAAGGGTTAATTTGCAAAAGTTTACAAGGCCTAAAGAAAAAGTGATGGTTTGATTGTGGCTATCAAAGTTTATGAGAAATGCTTTTTGAATATGATGAGGAAGTAGAATATATAGAGAGAGATTAATATATTAAATCAGTTGGAACACACAAATATTATAAAGTTGATTGAAGTGGTTGATAATTTGAGAGGAATAAATTTAATAATGGAATATGGTGGAGATGAGAATTTAAGAGATCTTTCTAATAGATCGGAAAGTAACATTAAACAGATAATTAGACAAATGATAAGAGCATTGAATTATCTTTAAAGCAAATAGATTATACATAGAGATTTAAAGCTAGATAATGTTTTAATAAACAATGGTGTGGTTAAAATTATTGATTTTGGATTTGCAGTATAAACAGATGGTAATAAATTATCTGTTTTTTGTGGAACTCCAAATTATATGGCACCAGAATTATTATTAAAAATTGTTTGTTATTCTTATGAAGTTGATATGTGGGCATTAGGGATTATCTTATATCATTTGATAGCTATTGCATATCCTTTTAAAGGGAAAAATGAATAGGAATTATATACTTGTATCAAATAGGGATTTTATTAAAGACCATAAAGCATTAGTGAATTAGGATTTTAATTTTTAGATAAATTGCTTACAAATAATCCAAAAAAAAGAATAACTGCTAAAGAAGCTCTTTTACATAAATGGTTAATCGAACCTATGATAAAATATTATGATTGATTTTAATTTCATTCCTCATCATTTATAAACTCTCTCTGGGTTATATTCCCAAATTGTTAGTTATGGTATTTTAAATCTACAATATATTTATATATTATTTATCCATCCATAACTAAATGGAGATCCATTCTTTCTTTTTAATTCTTACAAATAAGATATCTTATTCCAACTATAAAATTCCCCTATTTTTATATAATATTATAAAATACAAGTAGTTAAATTTTAAAATGAAAGAAATGTTTAAAAACATAATAATCTTGTTACTAAAACACCAAAAAATATTATTATTGTAAAAAAGTAAATTGAAAAGAATTTTAAAAGATGATTGTAATTATCAAATTCTAAATTTTGTAATGTCTAAAATCTAATTTATTAAAATTTAATACACTAATAAATGCATAATAGATTTCTTAAATCTAAAATACTAAAAACCAATAATAAACACATCTATTTCTTTCACCAATACAATTACCAGCCCAAGGACAATGATGATCATAACAAGCAACACATTTTTTACATGATTAACAATGTTTTGCTCTTGCTAATTAATCTATTGAACAAATTGGACAATATCTAATCTATTATTAAAATGTTGAACCTTTTTTCTATTAATATCTTATTGACTGCTCTTGTTGATTAAGTTATTTTGTTTCTCTCAGACATTCCTGGTGAATATTATTCACTTATAAATTCATTTTAAACAGAATGTACTTATATTGTAAGAGATGGTTAAAGATTCTTATTCATTATTTTCTCTTCATTTTTATTCTTTTAACAAACATTCTCCTCTTATTTCTCTATATCAACATCTTTTTATTTATCATTATTGGTAATAGGAACAATAGTTTCATGTTCATTTTAACTTGTTATTGAAAATGCTTATGTTGATGCCTATTTGGTATCAAAATCTTAGAATATTTTTTGTTGATTATTTTATTTATTAGGAGATGGATATTTATCTGGAGTTTTAGTAAAAGATGGAATCTAATTCATATCAAATTCAGGTAATTGATTAATATCTAAAGATGCTTCACATGGTAATTCTCTTTCAAATATTTTTAAATATATACTATTCGTTTTCTGATTTTTATTCTTATATTGGGTTTTGTTATTCAATTATAGGATAAGTTCTAGCATTAGAAGGCAAAGTTGAAAATTAAAATATTTTGCGTTTTTATGTCATTTAATTAGAACAATCAGTATTATTAGGACTCCTTATAATCAGATAGCCAGGCTAATACTTATAATATGTTATTTACATCTTTGAAAGAAGTCAAACCATAAAATATCAAGGACAATATCATGACAAAAGCAAAATAATAAAAAGAAATTGTTGAAAAATCAAAGAATTAAGGATTGAGTATGCTAAAAATCAATAAAGTACTTCCTTAAAGTATCAAATAAAGAATAGGGGCTATTTAAATTAGTTGATTATATACCTATCTTCATAATTCTTAGAGTTATTAATTTATTAATGTTTGGAATATCATATATTGATATACCTATGATTTATTATGGTATGAAAATATAATATATATATATATATATATATATATATAATATCAATCATCTTCATCATTACCACATAATGCGACTACATGACAACGACCTGGAGGTTCTTATTTTTATACTTCAGGCTCTATTATTTATTATGCAGCAAATTGCATAAAGATCTATTCCAAATTTGGTTGACTTATTTAGAAATCTCTAATCAATTTCAATTCCTTTTGTAATTTTTCTTAAAAGAAATAAAAAGTCTAATGGAATTAAAATCCTTTCAAAGGGAATTTACAAATTATTTTGTTTGTATGTATATCATTCATAATATATATATTCCCAAAATATTTTGTGATCTCTTAAATAATGGCTTCTCCATTATCCTAATAAAAATAATTATATTTAAAATTACTATATTATTTGTTGGTTCAATTAAAACTCTATATCCATCTCCAAATTTAGATCTCAAATGTTGAACTGATCCTAAACATGCAAATCTACCATTAACTTATATAGCAATCTTATTACAAAGACTTTCAGCTTCATCCATAGTATGTGTAGTTAAAATAACAGAACTTTATCTTAATTTAACTCCTTATTAAATTGCATTCCATAAAAATCTTCTTGCAATTGGATCAACTCCAGATGATGGTTCATCAAAAAATTACATATTTGTTCCACCCATCAAAGCCAATGCAACACATAATTTTCTTTTATTTCCTCCACTCAATTATGATGCCAATGTATTTTCATAGGCTGTTAATTACATCACTTTCATAAAATATTCTATTGTTAAATTTACATCTTCTCCTCTCAAACCTTTTAAATAAGCCCAAATTTGTAGATGTCTTCTAACATTAACTATATCATATAGACTATCAAATTAAGGACAAATTCCAACATTCTAATAGACATCTCCTAAACCTTTTTTAACTTCTTAATGTTCTAATAAAATAGTTCCAGTTGATGGTTTTAATTTTGAAGTAATCATATTAAAAGTAGTTGATTTACCTGCTCCATTAGGACCCAATAATCCAAATATTTATCCTGGTTCTATTCCAAATGATGTTCCCTTAACTGCTTAGAATCCATTAGCATATGTCTTTGATATTTTTCTAGCAATCACTCTATCTTAGCAACTCTAAATTTCAACTCTTCTTTCTTCTTAAATTACATCTTCATCCTAATTCACACTTAAAACACCTCCAGAATTTGCACCTAACAATTCTCTGTTATCAATCAAATAAGTTATGAAAAGATAGAGACATGCTTACAAGATCATGATAATCATAAAGACAAATGGATAAACATTTTAAAATGGTGTATTTATATATATCTAATTGTCATTGGCAATTTTATTATATACAGTAATGAATCCACTAAATGTTGCTAATGAAGGACATAAAAATGATAAAATCCAAAGAACAATATCAACTTTAAAGCTAACTACATAAATTACTGAAGCAATCATAAAGAATCCAAATAATTGAATCAATATTAAGGATCTTACTGCTGATAAGAATTATGTAAATAACCATGACAATATATAACCAAGAGGTAAATATGCTAAATAACAACAAAATACAAGTCCATAAACATTTCCATTATTAATTACTTAAACATCACAAATATTTACTGCTATAATAAATATAACCAACACAAGGATACAAATAGTGATATCATAAAAATAATATCCTAACCAATATGGTAATGTTCTGCATCCCATCACATTTAAAGCATATTTCTACTTTTTCTCCCTTTCTTCAACAGGAGCACTACCAATTTAAGAACTAGCCATTGATACACCTAACAATATATAGACATATGTATCAATTAAGGCAAATTAACCATAAACTAATGTTGTATTTGTTGTACTATCTAATGTTGGTTATATTACATTATATGTAATTTTTGAAACGACAGGAGCTAGAACAGCAAAAAATGATGGCATAAATACACACATTAGATATCTTTTGGCTGTCATTGTATAATGTTTTTTAATAAAACATGCCCAAAGTTACAATCCAAAATTATATTATGGTGGTCTACTTAAACATTCTGGAGGTATGATTTTATTGAATTCTTCAGTTATGTCAATGTTGATTTTAGAATCTTCATTTGATATTTATTTTCCTGATGCTTTATTAAGAAAAGATTCTTCATCCATACCTATATTTATAAATGCTTCTTCTAGAGTATTCATCATTAAATTAACTTAAATAGATTAATCTCTTTCTAATTATTCAAATAATGGTAGGAATTTATCTTTATGTTTAAAAGGAACCTAGAATCCCATACTATCTTAAGATGTTTGAGTACTTAATTTAGCTTGAGGAATGAATTATTAAACAATATTTACAATTTTCTTACTTTTCTCATTCCAAACTTATGGATTGTTTGTTTTATCATATAAACTTAAATGATATCCAATACCAAAATTCAATTTTATAAAATCTACTGATCCAACAGTTAATAATTTACCCTTAGCCATAATAGCTAATCTTTCTGATAAGATTTCTGCTTCATCTAAATGATGTGTAGTCAATACTAAACATCTACCTTCATTTTTCACTTATGTTAAAATGTCCCAAATCTTTTATCTTGAAATTGGATCCATTCCAGAAGTAGGTTCATCTAGAAATACAACTTTAGATTATCCTATCAATGAGATAGCTAAACTTAATTTTCTTCTTGTTCCTCCTGACAATTATTTCGCTAATTTCATTCTATCATTAGTAAGATCACATTTATTAATAATCTAATCTATTTCTAATTGTAGTTCTTTCTCATCTATTCCTTTTAATCTTCCATAATAGTATAAATGTTAATCACAATTTAAACTATCATAGAGAGCATCTTTTTATGGACAAAATCCTAAATAATTTCTAATAACATCAAAATCTGTGTCTGTTCCATAATATGTTATGGATCCACTATCTCTTTTAATTAGACCTGTTAATATAGAAATGAGAGTAGTCTTTCCTGCTCCATTATGTCCTAATAAACAAAGAATTTATGAATCATATATTTATAATGTTACACCATCTACTGCTTTAAGATCATTAAAGCTTTTCTTCACATGCTTTATTGATATAGCTCTCTAAATTCATATAATTTTATAATTACTTTCACTTATTTAGGATTATCAAAAACTTCATGATATATAGCTGAACTATTGTCTTCCTATATTTCAGATTATCTTGAACCGATAAAGGGTTTGTTCATGTTAGGTAATTCAAACTAATTTGAAACCTACTCTTCTTAAATTGAATATTTTTTTCCAAGAAAAAACAAAGGATGTTTATTTGTTCCATATTCATTTGACAGAACTTATTCTAAATATAAATATAAAATCCCATAGAAAAATATTTCTGCTCCTTATAATCCAAAATACAATGAAGGGTCTAAGGCTGGTATTGTACCTTTATTAATAGTTCCTAGAATTTGATTGTATGGATATATATCAAATAAAAATGTTGGAAAAATAACACCAAATAAGATTACAATCCAGGAATGACTATAATAAATATTGAAGAGTACGCTTAAAAATATGGGATACTAAGTAATGCTGAACACACAGACCCAAAAATGTTTAATAGCATTGATAAATCAGCACCATTTTTTGGTTGGTCGAATAATGTTGTTAAGAAATATTGTTAAGCTGTTAATCCAATTGCATAAAGAAGATAACTACCAATAATCTAAATAGGACTAAAGTAGTAGATAGTCAGTGGTTCATTGTCTATTATGATTATCTCTTCTGAAGGTCCAAAGCATCCTGTAGGTACAGCTAGAACAAGAAAGAAGATAGAGACAGCCATAATTCTAGCAAAGTTGAATAGGAACCAACCTAATTAATATGCTGATTGTTTTAAGCCCATGATCTAAAGAATAATGATGAAAAATGATTACTTTTTAGATCTCCTTTTATCTATCACTCTTCTCTGATATCATTGATGTGACTATATATCTTGAACTTATCAAAAGAGTCATAGGTAAAAATTCAGCTCCAATTTAAAGGAGTGTTGAACTTGATGTTTCTTCTAAAAAAGGATATGCTGTATATTCTTACTTCCAACAAGGAGGATAATAAAAACAAGAAGAGCCACAAAGAACTCTTGTCTGTATTAACGCTCTTGTTAGTAAATAGTGAAGTTTTTTTGAAAAACAACGATAGCTTATTGCCAAATGGACATCATTCTTTTGATGGAATATTAATTTATTTAATAAAAATTTATTCTATAATCTGAGTTTTAAAATTTAATATACAACATTAATTCCACATTCATTATTCAATATTAATTAATAATCAATTATCTCAACATGTTCTAATTTTTATTGTTTTAGGTTACATTTTTGATAAGATGGAGAAAGTTGTGAAAATAAATTTTATTAAAGAATATTTGAAAATGGTTATTAATTACTATAATTTCAATGTTAATAATAAAATTTATATTAATTTATAATAAAAATGTTAAACATTTGAGAAATTAAATGATTTCAGATTTTTTCATTCATAAGTGCTACGAACTAAGAGATTAGTTTTGATTGCAATAGGATTCTCAATAAAACTTGAACAAGTCAAATATTTGACAGGATGTTATTAATTATTGGCTGATAATGCTCTTGGATGAGGTTTAATCAATTGTGTTTCTTTATAAAATTTAATTTATGGCATCTATTATTTAGATTTTCCATTATTACTAGGACTATTATTATGTTTACTAATATCAATTTATTCTTTTTTAGATTATTAATCAGACTACTTATATACATTATTTACCTACTTTTTAATCTATTATACTGATTTTCTGATAATAACTTTATTTTTAATAGGGGATGGTTTATGTTAAATAATTTATTTTTACATACAAGGACATAAACTATCGAAAATGGGTTTTAATTGAATATTACAGAAATGATAATCTTAATTATTCTACAATGTAGTATATTTTTCTTTGATTAAATTTGGATATTCAGTTTCAACATTTTAAACTCTATAATATATATTTATAATACCTTTTTAAAGCATAATTTGTATAATCAAAAACACTCTATTAAATAAGATTATTTCTTAATCTAATTTTATCACAAAGACCATCATAATTAGTTTTAAATTCTTCATAATTTTGAGATTATCTCTTAATTGTTTGATAATCACATATTTAAATATTAAGATCATCTAAATCATCAATTACAGATGAAATATTAGCAAACATAGAAGTGAATGGTGTTTTTTCAACTTCTTTAAATTTATTTCTAAGATATAATGAAGGAGTTTCATTAGTTGGAGATAAATCACATGAACTGTTTTACTTATATATAATTACCTTTATATTTTAGAAATAGTCATCTATTTTCGTTTAATTCTATCAACCTTATTAATCATAGTTGTTGTAAGTGGTTTTTCAACCAATTTGACTTCCTCAATCTTTTATGTTGAAGAACGAATACGTTGATTTTCTATTCTAACCTTCTATGGAGATGGTTCTTTCTTAACTTGATTACTCAATTCATCAACAAAGTCTCTATATTGTTTACGAGATGTTCCTAAAAGTGACTTAATTAAATCAGTCACTAATGAGATGTTACCAGCTCTGACTGCTTACTTGAATTGAACCTTTAATTAAGCATCTTGATTAAGATGCTTCTGAAAACTTGAATGAAGTATATAATAATTTTCCAAGTATTAGTACAAATTACATGTAGGTGTATATGGGATTTCTAAAAATTAATTGCTAATTGCTTTCATCATTTCGTTTGTCTTTACATAAATATGACTAATGATTATATTTAAAATTACCACATTTATTCTTCATTATATGATTTTGTGTTTCGAATGACTCCTATAATCCAATTTTCTTTTTCTGCCCTTATTTTCTCCTCTTCTTTTAACTTTCTTACCATTTAGTATACAATCAATCTCTCTTACTACTAATTACCTTTGATCTAATAAATTGCTTCTTAAATCTCATTTATTTTGGCTTTTCTTTGCTATATAGCTCCTAATAGTTCATCCATTTTAAAGTAAAATAATTTTTTATTATTAGATGGCTTAAAAATTTAAAGAGAGATTACTATAAGGTATAACATTCTTTAACATTTTTATAGGTACTGGAGTCTCAAACAAGAAATTTGAATCTGATTATGCAATGAAATTGATGTAAAAGATGGGATGGAATCAAGGTCAAGGTCTTGGTAAGAATAAAGATGGTCAAACAGATTGTGTATAAATTGAAAGAAGAGCTGATTAATTGGCTGTATTTTATTTGTTTTTATTCATCTAGCTTGGAGCCCAATAGTACAGTTTGGGATAAAGTTGGAATGATTTATGGTGGGAATAGAGTTATTCAAGTAGTCTCAAGAATCTTAAACCTATATCCACTAAAAATGTAATTAGTATTACTATTATTCATTTAGCTTCCATAACCAATCTCATCAGATGAAGAAGATAAATTCTCAGATTATGAAAAACATAAAATTAATCGTTCCTAAAAACCAAAAACATATGCTTAATCAGTTAAAGTTTTAATTGAATAAGATAGTGACTCAGAAAATGATACCTTCATAGCAATTCAAAAGAAAAAAATTAAAAAGACAAAATGATCATAAATAAATCACCATTCAGAAATCTATAACTTATTTACTCTTTAACTAATCCAACTCGTCATTCTCTAACCATTATGTTCTTTTCCCATCCTACCAAATTCCATATTTTGCTTATTAATTAGGCAAATAATAAGCACCATAACCTTCTTATTTTCCAAAAACCCAATTACCAACATATTTTCTACCGTCAGGCCACAAAAACTTTCCTCTTCCATGTTTCAAATCTTCTTAGTAATTCTTTTAATGGATATTAACAGTACTCCAATAAATTATCGACCATCACTCCATTTTATTTCCCCTACTCCATTCATTTTATTTTATTTCCAATTTCCCTTATAAACTCTCCCATCCTACCATTCATAGATTCCATATCCATGTATTTCATTTTAAGCAAAAAACCCTGTATATTTTGATCCATCAGCAAAATAAAGAGTTCCATGACCTTCCTTTCTCCCCTCATGATATTCTCCCTCATAACGAGCACCATCTGGCCATGTTTCAATACCCTTACCTTATTATTTATCATTAAACCACTAAATTAATATTTTACAATAATACTTATCCTTCATATCTAGCACCATTTATATGTAAATAAACTCCTATTCCATGTGCTTTATCATCTTGCCAATCACCTTCATATATATCTCCATCTCCATGAATAAGCTTTCCTTTTCCACAACAACGCCCTTCTAACCATTGCCCTTCATAAATTGATCCATCAGGCCAAACTTATTTACCAATTCCATCACGTTTACCTTTCAACCATTCCCCTTCATAAACTGCTCCTTTATCAAGAGTTTTAGCTCCTAATTTTATTCTCACATCACTCATCGTCTCATCTTGATCAGTATTTACTACTTTTTAATTATACTCTAAATTCTAATTCTTAGGCTTAGAAAAAACAGAGTTCTTACTTGCTTTATCTTATATTTCCTATTTATCTGTTTGATTTTACTATTCTTATTCTTTTGATTCAGGAAGAGGTGTTTTATGTTCTTAAATTTTATAACTAATTTCTTTATTTTTATTTTTTTCTGAATAATCCTCTTTTTAATTATCAACACTACTGGAATCTTTTGGTTTATCTTTTTTTAATTTTAATTTTTGGTCTTCATGTATATGATCTTCTTCAAATTTATCTCTATCCTTTTACATTGAATTATGTGATTCCTTTCCTTTTGAATCCTCAAATTCAGGATTACCTTCATCAACATTACTTTCACTCTTTTAATGTGTTTTCAATCCAAATTCTTAATCTTTATTACAACAACTTGCTTAACAAGTACCCATTTTATAAATATTAATTATTAATGTTTTTTATATATACTATACTATTTATCTGACCAAATTGGATATACATATTGTACAATATATTAAAATCAAATTAAATTACATATATGTATTAATTTGAGGATATTTCAACATTTTGGTTCTTAATATTAAAAAGTGATATATTAAGTGAATTAAGAGAATAGTGTTTTCTTTATTGAATTCTTTACAAAAATAAGTTTAAAATTAATATATAATAATATTTTATTTGAAATTTACAATAAGAATAATATAATTAGATAATATTATTTCGATTATTAATAAAATCATTATGATTGTTGCTATTAAGTTTATTCAATTCTATAAATAACACACATTCCCTTCTCTTATCCAAATGCAACATGATAGACTTTATCAAATTCTCTGACAGCACAACTAGTGGCCTTTTATTCTTGTAATTTCTCTGAAGAATCCTGTTCATAATTATATAAACAGATTTTCTATTGTTATTACTATTAAAATATATATAATTTTTAAATACCTAAGTACATGAAATGAGTACAATGGGCCATTTTTTAAGTATATGCATTGTACTGATATCTCCAAATCCTTATTCATGTATTTATTAGTAATCACTATTAGTTTTTCTTTCAAATATTTTAATTTTATCCTATAATCCCACAACTAATTTATTTTCATATGTTTGAATAGATATAACCTTTAAATTAGTATCTGAAACTGGAATAATTTTCTTGGCTTAAGTGACTGTTTCCCAAATGAATAAATATTTATTACCACCTACATAAACATATTTTTAATCAACATGAAGTGCTGTTCCCACTTCTTAAATTTCACATTTTTTTTACTCCTTTAAAGTCTTCACTGGCAAAATTCTTATAATTTTTTCTTCTCCCAAAGTTACAAGTTATTTCTCCTATTGATTAATTTAAATAAGTAAATTGCCAAATTTATCAATAAGTTGTGATGAATTACTTCTAAAACTGAAAGGAGTTTCTATATTTGATTCTCTAATAAATGTTTAAATTTTGCCATTTTTAGTAGCTAAATATAGAGTTCCATTAAAATCATCAGTTTCTAAATATGCAACATCTGTTATATCTGAGTCAACATTTAAAGTAAATAATTTTTGACCTACCGGACCTGCCGAAATATCGAATCCTTAAAATTGATTTCCACCACATCCTGCTACTACTGTTTTACTTAATATTAATAATTTAGTTATCTCCTTTCCGTTTTACATAAGTTAAAAATTATGATCTTAAGAGACATTCAAAACAGTCTCTACTTCTCCTTGATTATCTTCTTAAAAAGTATCTAATTATAAAATAAAATGGTATACCTTTGAGTGGAGATTATTATAATGGAGCAGGAGGAGGAGGAGGAGGAGGTTGTTTAGGAGTAATAGGTACAGAACCATTAGTTGATGGTTATTTTTAATAGGGACTAAATTATGATAAGGGTTATTGAGTTGGAGGAGGTAATTATTTTGCTTATTTATTATTTTATGAAGTTTATTTAAGATTATTTGTTAAATTAGATTTGTTATCTTAGGTAGGTTATTTTTTGGTGGTATTACTATCTAATATGTCAGTAATTGATATTTATGAATCTTATGTTTTTTAATAATTATTTTAATGACTTGGATTATTATTATTATTGGATATAATATTATTTTATATAATATTTGAACTATTATTAGTAATAGTATTATTATTATTATTGTTTTATTTTTTAACTTTATTATTAGAATTCTCATTATTCCGATTATTTTTTTCTATCTCTTCTAAATCATCATCAATAGCAATTATTGATTTATCTTAGATATCAAAAGAGGGTTATTAGAATAGTGAGAGTAAATTTGGTTATTTAGGTTATTTGTTTTCATTTAATTCTTGTTCAAAAGGTTTTTAGGGTGCATTTAAAAAGTAATTCTGTAAGTTTTTCTTCAATGCTTCATGATGAGTTACAATTTAATCAATAAAATTCATAATGGTGCTTTAGTATGATTATGAATGAATTTTGCCATTTGCAATTCTTTCTTAAATCTATCCAATTTAATGTCCTGAATTTTTTTTTATTGAGAATGAAAATCTATCAGGATTTGGTCTAAAACTTTCAATTTCTGTAAGAAGTGAAAAAAAGTTTTCTTAATTTAAAGTTGACTCAAATTCTTTTAATTTCTACATCTATACTGATTTGGCGGTCTCTTGTTAAGAAAACTATCCAATCATTTTTTTGGTACTAAAATCATTATAGAAACATACTCAAGTATTGTTTATTTTGATTTCTCAAACATTTCATTCAATTATTTTTATGCTTGTTCCATTGTAATCTTAATTTAATCATAATAGGCAATAAGACTAAATAAATTAAATTATAATTACTCTTCTATTTTAGGATTTGATTCTACATTTTAAGATTGAAGCTACGATTTGAAGTCCTTCAGAAATTTTTTTACAGGATGTTTAATACATGATTAATGTTCCTCCATACAATAAACGCATAAAAGCTGATGTTTATTGCATTTTTCATCAATACAAACCATATTCAAGAATTCTTCTTCATGTTCTGCTATATTACAAGATTGATAATGAAAATTTTGCATTTTATTAATTAGCAAATTTTCAGTCATGCAAATTTTGTTTAAATATGTATTTATTATAAGTATTAAAATTGTACATTTTATCAATAAAGTCCTTTTAAAAATGTTACACTTGGCTCATTTGATTTTTTATTACCTAAAACAGAATCTGTTCTAGCAACTTTATTTAATGGACTTTTAACACTAAAATCTTTTGGAGTAGTAGATTTTGTATTTATTGAATTTCCTTTTGTTGGTTTCCAATCATAATCTTTTAATGAGAGTTCATTATTATTTAAAAATGTCTTAATAATTTGATTCTCTTTTATAGCCTTATTAGTAGTTGGTTCTGGTTTCTAACATACTTATTTATGATTGTAAAAATATTAAGGTGGATTGATTTCTTTTGCATCAATTCGAGGTTGAGATACTGCTTTATAGAGATTATTGATTCTATTCAAATTATCCATTAATGATAACTTTGGTTATTCTTCTAGTTCTTTTGGTTTTCTATTTGTATTTTACTAATCACTATACTTTGAGTTCTATTATGTCTAATAATCCTTCAAAGGTTTCAATTCAGTGATATTAGGATGATTCTTATGGTACTATTACACAAACCCTAAACGTTATTATAGACTAGATTCTTATGGTTATCTTTGCATTAGTGAACGTTAAATTAATAAAAATTTATATTTCATGAGTTTGTAGAAATCCTCTATTTCCTCTAAGTATTTCCAGTATTAATAATAGTTTTCTTTTGTTTTAAGAAATTTGTATCTAACAATGAGTAATTATTCCTGGCTGAAGAAATCAATTTAATTTCTGGTAGAGGATAAGTAGGTTTCATTACTTGACTCCTTCCTAAATTCAATTATAAATTATTTTTAATTTATCCATTCAATTCTGTAAGACTCTAACAACATACATAATTTATAAATGGATTTGTTTAATTTATAGTTTATGTTGTTGTTTATGTTAAAGCTTTTTCACTTATGTAACTTTAGATAGAAGCAAATGCCTTTTTAGATTTTCGAGAAATATTTAAAACAACTTTAGGTTTTTCAGATTCTATAACAGAGGATCTAAATTTATTTTTTTTAATTTCTTAAGATTATGTAATATTGTGTTCATCATTTCCTTATTATTATTATTATTATAACATGAGTAACTATATTTCACTATTTCTTTAATTCCCTTGAACACTAATATTACGAATAGTTGTTTAATGTTTGATGAGTATACTAGACATTCTCTTAAATAGAGTCCTTTTTCTTTCCTTTGTCCTTTGTATTTCATTGGATATTACTTCTTATTATTGTATAATTGTATTAGGATACTAACAATCAATATGTAGCTATTATTTAATATTATATGCTTTACCTACTTTTAAGATAGTTGTTCTGTACCACTTTTTCTTCTTTATTATTTTTTCGAATTCCTTACATTTCTCAATTCAAAACTCTTACTAATTCGTTTTAGTATTACTTCTTATTCTTTGATTCTTAGACTTTTCATTGTTCTCACCCTTTTTGATGGTGATTCAGTTTTATGTAATGTCATAAATTATAGACTTAGATGAGGTAAATGATTAGAAGAATATGAATGCTCCATATTTTATTTGTTTAAACTACTAATCTTGGAATAATTCATAGAGAGTATCTAGTTTTAGGTTGTATTAATTCTAATTTAAGAATTAATTGAAGATTCCATAATGAAATATTTTACAAATTAAATAAATTTGATTATTTTGAGTCCAACATTTTGGAAAAAATAAATATAAATTTTAATTAAATTAGAGCCTTATTAAATTATTTGATGAAATAGAGGCTATTCTGATTTTTACATATAAATAAATTTAATTGATATCTTAAAAATTTATATTCCAATTAAATTATCAAATATATATTAGATAATTTAATTTTAATCATTAAAACAAATTATATAAGATGATGAATAATATTTAAATTCAGACTTCAAAAAATTTAACTTAATCGCCTCTTTTTATTAAATTTATAAAATATTCATATTATTATATTCTTATATGAATTATAATTTATATTAATAGATTATTGAATAAGTATAATTTAAAGATTATTTATCTATAATATATTTATATTATGTATTTTTAATATAATATTTCTTTGATAAGGATTGTTTAATTAATTTAAAAAAAGATGAAAGCTTTCTTTTATCAATTGTATTAAATATAAATATATATATATTATAATTGTTAGATCAACAGGAATCATCATAGTTTTATCAAACATCCATTTTTGATTATCACTAAAGAAAATTCAGAATCTAAACTCAAAAATTCACAAAAAGAATATTCTTGAGTTAGAATCTTTTTCGATTTTTCTTAGAGAATCTCTATTTTGGATAGAATCATATCAATTTCCTGTATGTTCCAACGAGGACTGATTTCGAAATCAGTCTTGTTTAGTCTTTTAGCTTTGTGACCTACAATATAGAATAATTCAAATACCATAATGTTTCTATAGCTATTTGAATTTGTGTTTAAGAGCAAATTCTGTTCTTCTCTTGTATTTGGTGATCATTGACAATTTTAAAGATATGTCAGCCCACCTTCGTCCATTCTGAAGAAGCAATTGAAGAAAGTGTAACTCCTCAGATTTAGACCATGGTTCTCTAATGTTTGATTAGATATTTATAATTACCTATTAATTTATGGATCAAGTTTGTTGTTCCATCTCTCTCGGCATTGTTTAGCATTTCTAAGAATTTCAGATTTACAGATTAGATTATATTGATTAGCAATAGAGCTCCATTTTTTCTTACAACGACTGGTGTTATCCCTACGTTATAGTTAAATATATATACAAAATGATTTTCAACAAAGTTTTATCTTCAAAAGAAGACCAAGGTTGTCTGGGAAGTTGTGCTTTATAGAAAGATTAGAATTTAAAGCACAACTCTGACAGACTCCTTTACTTTGGCATCAATTTTTGGACTTTCTCCCAGTCGAAGCGATTCTTTAAATAATCAATTATATAATACCTTTATGCATCTAGGATTTAGACTCAAGACAACAAGTTATAAGAAAATCTCTTCATTTTGATTCCACACTTCATCACATCCAATCTTAGATGACTCATAAAGTTTGATAAAGTCATCAAAATTGGGTAAAGTTTTGAAATGTAATTTGAGCTTCAAAGATAGATATTCTGGTTCAATGGTTTGAAGATTTTAGTATACTAAAGCCCAATCGTTAAGATCAGTAAATGAGCTTTGTGAAGAATTCATTTGTTTGATAAGATTAATAATGTTTTATCTGAATGAATATTTTATGATTTAAAAACATGAATTTTAATACAATAAACAGATACAATCAATAATTTATTAGGTAATATAAATGAAAGTTAAGTACATCTTTTGGAATTTCTTAATTCAAACCATATTTGATATTATTCGTAATATAATGTTTGTATTAGCCGTTTCAAACTGTTAGATTACTTTTTATATTTATATATATATATATATTAATTTTTTCGTATTTTCCTACAGTAATAATATTCATAATTTGAGTGCTCTTCTAAAATTATTATATACTATTTATGGTAATAAAGGTTCATTCAAATATGTAGCACAGTCTTGGATTAATTTAATCAAAAATTTTGGATGAGATTTTTAATCATCAGATTCTACTATTTTTGGATTGTATTAATAAGGAGCATCAGTTTCAAAAAGCAATTTATTTTTATCAATATTATTTAATTGTTCCATTTTCATATTTAAACAAAGAGAATAATAAAAATTTGGATATAATTTATCCAAACTACCTGTAATTTCTTTTGGACATCCATAACTGTGCATAATGATTGAAGCATTATAATTTTAACCCTTTAATTATTTTTTGAAGATTTTTAGCATTTCTCCAGAAGCTCTAACACAATGAATACTCATTGATCTATTATATTTAATGGCCAATTATAATTAAGTTATAAAAACTTCACATTATCGTTTTTAATCTTCTTTTTCTTTTGCTTTTATGAAATCTAATCCAATTTCTCCCACTTAAATTCTCTCATCCAATTTTAATATATTTTCCATCTTTTCATACTCAATATTCTATTCCTTATTAATATACCAAGGATGTAAACCAATACAAGGTATTATAAATGGATATAAGTTTAGAAGAGATGGAGGTAGAAAATCAAAAGTTGTAGAATTACAGACTATATATGTATTATAAATAGTAATACTTATATGATTAATGCCTGACTCTACTGATTCCTTTACTATTTAATCGACATTCTCAAAATCTTAGATATGAGAATGAGCATCTGCATATTTTTATAATTCCATTAATAAAATAACAAAAAAATCATATTTTAGAAATCAATTTACCTTATAACCATATACCATTAAGTTTTTCTCCATTTCTTTTAGTTAATTATCCCATTCCGTTTCTACAATCATATTCAAAATTTCCAACATACATAGAACCATCTCTATAATACTCAATACCAGCTCCATATCTTTATCCAAACTAGAATTCTCCAATATATTTCATGGATTATGAATTTACATCATGATTATACATTATACCATTACCATTTTATTGATTATTAAACCATTATCCTTCATAAATCAAAATGCCTTATGCATTAAACAATTTACCAAACCCTTCTCTAACTTTTCCATTATAAGAACCTATATATTCTTATTATTATTCATCTTTGATATCCTTAATAATAATTTTATCTGAACTTTTAGAGTACTTTTTAGACATCTCTCTATTAGTTTTAATCAATTTAATCAATATATCATCATCTAATTTTTAAACTTTTTTAATTGGTGAATCTTGTATTTTGGAATTCTTTAGATGAGTAGTAGCAAATGGAGCATAAGTTGTAATAATCTAAAAGAGATATTTCTATTTAAAATTACAGTACGATAGGGTCCAATAGATTTACCTGATTTTATGTAAAATAAGTAATACTTGCAGAAGCAGTTGATGGTTTTTAGGGACTTGAAGTGTTGGTTGATTGCATTTTATTATATATTTATATTTTTGTGTTTTAAGTCTCAGAAAATCAATTTCTTTGGTGATTGATAATCCTATGGATCAACATAATAGTCTTCTCCCATCTTCTGTGTCTATGATGCTACTCCTCCTCTATAAATTAGGAATGAGAGAATTAATGTTGGAATTGCTACATGTACTGAATGTCTAAACCATTGTCTATTGTAAAGCCAGGCATCACTCTAGATACATTTATAAATAGATAATTACCAACACATAACGAGGAATTGGATATTTTTAAAAGCCTCCCATTTTACAATATATTAATTAATAATTATTATAACAACAAATATATATATATGATTTAAAATGAGGGTTCTGTTAGTTAAGAAAATATCATAATATAAGATAAAAATATATTAGCTATTATTAATATAAAAATCGAGAAAGATTTGAAGAGAATGATAAAAATAAATACAAAAGTTAGAATTTAATTATTAATAAATATTATCATTATATAATGTTCGAAATAAAAAAGATTGAAATTAATATCTTTTAATTTGATATAATTTTGTTACCGTCTTTAGGGAAACATTTTTGGTGGTGAATTTAGCTATCCAATAAAATATTAAAATCTAATTTGCTTTATTTAATATAATATTATCTTTTTTATACCGAATGACTACAACTTTGGGGCCCAAGTTAAAGTTTGTGATGCCTCCAAAAAAGATTGTTTTAAATGAAGAGATTCTTGAAGGCAATTATGATCTTGAATTGAGACAATGGAGTATTTCAAAAATGGAACGTAAAGTAAGTTTTGCATCTTCAACTCTCATATTTCTCAGATATTCAGAAGAAGAAATAACACATTTTAGATAAAGATTGAAAACATAATTACAATGTAGTATAGAGTCGATTGAGTCTTCATATTTAAATCCATAATTATGTAGTTTAGGCAAAGTACATAGAAGGAAGTCCTGCTTCAAGGAATACGATGATCAATTCAATTGATTACTTATTTTATATACTCAACAGCTCTATAATAAACTTCAGTAGATATTACATTATATTTTAAATATTTTATTCATTAATTTAATATATGTCAATCAATGAAGTTGAATGAGGATAGCATTATAAAATTTATAATATATTGAACTTGTGATATAAAACTTAACTATCATCAAATAATTTTCTATTTCATCGAATTGAATTATACTTAAAACTTATAAACTCTTTATATAATTCTTTTCATTAAGAATTTTTCCCATCCATCCAACCATCTAAATAATAATTACTAATTATTTTACTTGTTCATTTCATCTCTATTTCCCTATTGCTATATCCAATTCTCTAAAGTATTGTTTAATTTTTCAATTAAAGGTTGGAATATCATTTCAATATATGGCTCAATTTCATCTATCCATTTGAAAATTTCTTTTATTGGTTGTACATTTTAATTTTATGGGTTGATTTCTAAATTATGAAGACAAAATAGCATCTTAGGTAAAACTGACATGTATAATAGATTTTTCCAATTTTCTCCTAAATATCTAGCCCAAGGTTACAGTACACTAAAACCAAAGTCATCTCTATCTGTAAATTTCAATTATTTCAATTTCTTCTCTACTTCCTCAAGTAATTCCTTATTATTCAGTCTAGAATTAATCCAAGGTTACAACCATTAATGTAAAGAAATTGTTGAATTCATATTCCATTCTTAAATCTTAAGTTTTAGTTTAGACATAATTATACCCATAATATCCTTTTATACTTATTAATCCAACAATCTTATAGTCTAAAATTGATTAACACCTGTCTCTTCAGTTTCAACCAAAGCTAAGTCTTTCATCCATAATTCTAAAAATTCTACTAAATAATTTTCTTATGTTGGATCATATACTGTAGATAAATAATTTCTTAGTCTGATTATAATAGGAGCAATCAATATTCCAATAAATCTTTTTAATGTGTTCACATCTGAAGTTGAAATTTAATTATTTATTATAAAAACATCTAATTATTCAGCATATTTGCTTAAATTTTAAGATTTCTTCTATATAAATATATCCTTGGCTAAATTAATCACTTATGAGATTAATTGATGCTCATTTTATAAAATATCCATTTTTGTGAGAGGTCCTTTCCATTTAATTATTAAATTCTTAATATCTTATTCTGCATTCTTAACTAATAATCCAATTAAATTGAATTATATGAATTAATCACTAAATTTCCTAAAACATTCTTCAAATTTAATAAAGATAGAAAATTAATCTTTTTTAATTAAGATTTCATCATCTTTAAAAAACCTTAAATAATTTAAAAATTCTTCTTTTCTTTTAACAGAATCATTCCATTATGTATATTAAATTAATTCTTCTTTTTTTTCATGATCTAAAATAATAATTTTATCCTTCTCTTTCTTAATACTCTATTCATTATTCTCCCATTTTCCTAAACGTTTTTCTAAAATCTTTTACACTGACCAAGTAAATTCTTAAACATCCTTCAAATATTCCCTAACCACTTTATTATTTTATACTTATATATCTTAAGTCTTATTTAAATAATCATTAATATCACTACCTGTCATATCAATTATTTTATATTTATTAGTATTCTAATTATCTTTAATAAGATTCTCCATTATATGATTCCTATCTAAATTTAATATTTCTTCCTTTTTGTTTTAAACAATATGTTATCCATCTTATTTATTCTTCTTTTTTCTCCATTATTTTTCATATTTATTCATTTTCTTAGATTCAAAAAAAGGCTTTTAATGATTGTCCTAAGTAGAATTATTCTCATTTTCTTGTTCCTCTTCCTCTACCTTATTTTAATATTCATATTCTTAAACTCCTTCCCCTGTGAATGATTATTTCTTTATGGCAATTACTGGCTCCAATATACCTTATTTATTAGCACCTAATCCTTCTCCATATTTATATCCTAATTTCTACAAAAACTTCAATCCAACACCATAATCATGTTCTTCCACTCTTTTTTCTAAATTCCTTTTTTCTCTTTAACTTAAATTCTTTTTATTTCTACTATCTTTAAATGCAACCTACTCCACTGTTATTGTTTTCTTACCATCATCTTCTTTAAAGACTTATGGTTTCTTCTTCAAAATACCTTTTGGTTTATGAGATGGTGTTTAACACACTATATGAATAATTGAATCATCACTCTCATCATCTTAAGCTTCTACTTCAGAATCAGAATTGACTTTATATAATTACCAAGAACGCCTTATATTATTTGAAAGATGAAGCTTTTCTGCCAATGTTAAATACTCATCTTCATTTTTAACTATTGGATGAACAATGTTATTTTCAAGATTAAATTATACCGATCGCTTTTATTTTATTCTATATTCTGTTTCATTCACTTTTTCATTCTTTGGCATATTCTTATCAATTATCTTTACTATCACACCTTTATCTACATTAGACAAAAGTGAAGCATTGGATTTTTGAAAATTAGCAAATGCTTAATTTCTCTAATATTCCTTATATATTTATTAGTGTTAATTATTGGGAGTTTCTTAACTCTATTATTTTGGAGTTTATTCGAATTATTCCTAAAAGAGATTTAATCGAGCTCTTTATTGTTATTATTAAGCAATTTTTTATTTTGGTTTTTCCATTTCCACTTCATAATCATCTTCATTATTCAATTTAGATTTCTTAAATCCCAAGCCTGTATGAAATATTAAATCATCATCACTACTAAGATTGTCTAGATCAACTTTCATCGATTTTAATAATTTATATTATGTATTTATTAACTTCATCAAGAAGCATAATAATCCTTATTTGGTCTCTCATCTTGCTCTGTTCTTCTTAAGTATGCCAATTCATATGAAAAATATGCAAACCAAGAAATACCCATTATCAACCAAAATGCACCATCCTTTCTATCATAGTTGAGTTTTATTTGTACTTGTAATTAATAGTCCAAGGTCTGTAATCTTTTGGGTAAGTAAATTATTCATTATAAGCAATTGGTGCTTATTGTCCAGGATTGAAATTTCTAATTGTTAATAATATTTGAAATACCTTGGAGGTCTGGATAAGTTAACACTTTTGGTATGGCTTAATCCAACTTACTCAAGTTTAGAGATATTGCTTTATCCATAACTATAAGCTACCCTTTATATAAAATTCATTTTTTATATTAATATATGTATATATTAATAATTTATGGTAAAATTCAATACAATCTGTAGGTCTGGATAAGAAAGATCAACAAATGCTGATATAACTAAAGTATATAGGAATCCTAATCCAAAAGTACATCCTTTAGCACATGCTAGAGAATATCAACGTGCATTGGTAGCGACAAAAGTCGAAAAAATATATGCTTAACCATTCTTGGGAGCATTGAATGGACACTCAGATGGTGTGAGTTGTATTGAAGCATGCAGATTCAATTTATCAAAATTAGTAAGTGGAAGTTATGATGGTGAAATACGAATTTGGGATATTCCTAGCAGAAGAACATTAATATAATTAAGTAAAGAAAGAGTTAATAAATTAAATAGATGCACATTAATAAATGGTTAAGGGAGTTTCATTTAGTAGAGATGGAATGCGAATAGTTTCATCAGGTGAGGATAAGACCATAAATTTGTATGATTTTCCTTAATTGTTGGAATAATCAAATAATACATTTTAAGACCCATTAATGCGATATTTAAGTAAAGGAACTTTGGGAAATGTTGATCATAATTACTAATTATCATAATTTGCTACTGCAGGATAAGTAGTTTAGGTTTGGGATTATGAAAGACCAAAACCAATAATGAAATTCTAATGGGGAGTGGATTCAGTTAGTTGTGTGAAATATTCTCCTGCTGATAGTAATCTAATATGTGGAACTTCTATGGATAGATGTGTAATATTGTATGATGTTAGAGCTGAATCTGCAATTCATAAAGTAGCTATGTTAAATAAATCTTAATGTTTAGCATGGAATCCGATTGAACCATTGAATATTGTAATTGGAAATGATGATTCAAATTGTTATACATATGATATTAGAAAGATTGAATTACCTACTATGATTCATAAAGATCATATTTCAGCTGTCATGTCAGTAGCATTTAGTTCAAGTGGCAGAGAATTTGTTTCTGGATCATTTGATAGAACCATTAGGATATTCCCATTTAATAAAGGATTTTCAAGGGAAGTATATCATGGATAGAGAATGTAATAAGTAAATTCAGTTTCATTTTCAGCAGATGCTTAATTTGTATATAGTGGATCTAATGATATGAATATAAGAATATGGAAGGTAAATGCAAGTCAGAAAGTTGGGATAATTAATCAAAGAGAAACTAATGCTACAAATTATAGATAGGCTTTGAAAGAGAAGTTTAAGTATAATTCTGAAATCAAGAGAATTGCAAAACATAGACATTTACCTAAATATCTAATGAATAAAAAGAAATAGAGATAGGAAATGAAGGAATCTAAAAATAGAAAATAAAGAAATGCAGAACTCAATAATCCAGGTTAATATGAAGCACCAAAACCAGAAAAATAATAAAGAATCGAATAATTTATTTAATGATGTATAAATGTATTTTAACATAATTTAAAAGTTTAATAAGTTGTTAATTTAATTTAAATATGAAGAGAAAACTATATAAATTATCATTGTTTAAGGAAATAGATGAATTCAATTAGAAAGATGATGATGGAAATTATAGTGATGATTCATCTATATCTGATGAATTTATGAACTCTACACTCGAAGCTTATTGTATTCATTCATTTTTATTATTCAAAAGAATCATAGATATTTATAAGCAGTAATCAAACTTTTAGTTCAATTCATTCAGAACAACTTCAATTTATTTAAGGAGTATTTGATAAGTCTGAAGAAAGTGAATAATCATTTGACTTCAATATTACAAATGTATCAACTAAAACTTAAATTTAAGATTGATAGTGATAATAGAACCACTTTAATGATGAGAAACATACCATAAACTTATACTAAGGAAATGATTTTGATGGAAATAGATCCAAAATTCAAAAACAAATTTGATTATTTTAACTTTCCTTTTGATGGAACTACTAACCCAGGATATGCATTTATCAACTTAAAATCTAAATCCTACTTAAGAGATTTCTATACTTATTTCAATGGAAGAAAGTGGAAAAATATTCCATCAAATAAAGTATTACATTTCAATATATAATAGCCTTGTTATTTAAAATATGCTAAAATTCAGCATAAAAAATTCAAATAAATAAATCCTTAAATTTATTTACAATAGAGTAGTGTGATAAAACTAGTCTAGAATTAGAAGTTACAATGTAATTTGTGAATTAGAGTATCACTTTTTTTTCTCTATATCTATTTTAATATTGTATATTTATTTGAATATTTAAAGAAATATCAATTTAATTGAAGTCTTTCTCTTAAATATTCTTTAAGTGTAACAATCTTATCCTAAATATGATCAGATATTCTTGATATGAGATCTTAGGTCTAAACTCTGGATTGAGTTTCCATCTAATAAATGTCTTATTATTATCTACACCATTAATCTTGTCCTTCTAAATTATTCTATTGTTTAAATTATCTTTTACCTAATTTCTCTCTACTTCAGCAGCATGATATTCAACTTTCCCTTCTGATTCTTCAATAATGCTTTGATAATTAAGTATTGCTTATTCTAAATTCTATCTTTGATCTGATCTAATTTTATTTAACATTATGTTATTACAAGGTATTTTTCTCATTTGTTAAATCTGCCAAGAACTATTACCAATTCAAACTTTATTATTTCTCAATAGATTCATCATTTCCTTTACTTTCAACTATCTGAACTCTTAAATTAGCCAACAATTAAAGCACTTTCTTAGCTGTGTCTGAATCTGATTTTGAAGACAATTAAGTCATCATTGTTAATATTGGTTAAAATAATAAACCTGTAGATTGACTATCAATTAATTAAATAATAATACTTTTGTAATCTCTATAGAACTTTATTGAATCTTCCCTTAACTTAAATAAATGAAGAACCTCCAGATAAATGTTCAATAAGTGCATATGCTTCATCAATTGCTGAAATAGCTTCAGTATGATCCTTAATTTTTGATTAGAATTCTGCATATTATAAATCTCTTTCACTCTATCCTGCATTTGTTTTCTTTGTATTTTCTTCAATTTCTACTGAGACTTCAGCAATTTTGTTAAGTGATCTTTATAAATTGTTAGTGTTTTCCTAATATTATGATAATATGTCTAACATCAACTATTTTTTAGTGTGCTTTCAATTAGCTTTGATGATAAGCTAAATTAGTTGAAAAATCATGCAATAATCTATTACAAGAAGCTTATGTATTTTGAATGAAGAGATCTGCATCCTTTTGTTCTTATTCTAACATGAATCTGAAGTTATTATGCTTTGTATTTACCTTATATTGTTAATATAACTTTGAATTTCATGGACAGGTGATCCAGTGGCAAGACTGATTTGAATAGCATTCAAAAATGTTTTACCCAAATGATGGTCATCAATTTCGGTTAAGATTATCTTTGGATCTGTGCCTAATTTGCATAATGCCTATTATCCTATGTGAATACTACCAAGCCAATTAGAACTAATAATAGTATTTTCATTTTATTATTATTATTAAAAACGAATACAAATTATAAATACATTCTTTTGGAAGTGTACTCATAATAACATTTTGATACAAACATATATCTATAAATATATATATATTTATATAATAAATTATTTATGACTTCAATTATTCGCAAATTCTAGAATGAAACCCTAATCAAAAATCATGTTTTCTCATTTGTAGGTTTTATGGCTGGATTGAAATTGTGTGATTATTTGCTTTTTGATGATGTATTTTGAAAAAGCATAATAGAAATAATTTTAAGAATTGAAAGAAGATATGGAAGATGAATTTTGGGCTCATAATGGTGAGCCTACATAGATCTAACCTTATATAGTTGATTCTGTAAAAGGAGGTAAAAGAAAATCTTGGATTTATATTATGTATGAGAAGGATCAATTAATTAAAAAGAAAGATGAGTTTGATTGAATGAGTTGTTATATAATATTAAATATATATATATTAATATATATCAATCAGATTCATCATCACTAAAGGGATAATCTATATGATAGACATGATTTGAATTTTTATCCTTAACTACTTATATATGTTCATTTGTTTTAAATGAACTTATATCAATTGATTTGAATTTCTTAAATTCTTCTGAAAGAGTAGAGACTGATGAATGTTTTACTGAATTTCTTTTCCAAATTTCCCCTGCTCCAAAAAGGAAACAAAGTTATTTAATTTTTTTCTCACTAACTTATGTTTCTTAAGGTTTCCAATTCAAAAATCGAGCCATATTCTTTTTCAATCTATCCCTTGGTAAATCTGATTAGTTCTATACATTTTTAACCCAAGGGTGATCCAAAGCTTATTATGGAGTGAGTCTTTTTTAAGGATCAAATTATAATAAATTGCTTATCAACTCTTTAGCTTAATAAGATATCTAATCCCAAATGGGACCAATCATTTCATATTTACATTATTAAATCTTGTCGATCAAATCATTTAAATAATCAGAATTAAATGGTAATTCTCCACTTAACATAACATATAAAATCACTCCTGCACTCCATAAATCAACTTATTCACTAAATAAATGAATGTTATTACTTGTACAAACCTCCTGAAAATATCTCTGGTGCTGAAAAAGCAACTGTTCCTGTATATGTCCACATCTCAATTTTTCCATGTTCATTCAAATTTCCAAATTCTTTGTATCCATCTGTAAATTTGGATACCTTTATTAGATAATAAATATTATTTACATTGAAATCTGTTATCTTGATAGATCTACCATCTTCTGCGCATAAAATATTATTTGGTTTCAAGTCTCTATGACAACAATAGTTTTCATGCATATAATCAATTGCTTCTAATATTTACTTGAATAAGATTCTGGCAATGCACTCTATTCTTATTTATTCAAATACCACTATAATTCTTCTATTTTTAAATCACTTCAAACATTTCGCTACCTTTAACCTTCTCCATTACTACATAAACAGTTCCAGTTGATTAAAATCCTTCGTTCCATTGAATATATAATTCCTCCATTTTTACAATACGAGGATGACTCAACTTTTTTAGATTCTTGAATTCCAATATCATCTAACTCATATATGAATATTATCTACATTCTTCACAATTTCCTCAGCATCTGTTTTAACTGTCTTACATGCGAACTCTTATCCATCTATCTTTCTTGTTATACTTTTTACTAATCCTATACATCCTTCTCCTAATACTTCCCCTTCTACATACTTTTCTTAATATTCACTCAGCTCAAATTTTATATATTTATAATCATCCCCTTCCAACTCAATACTTATTCTACTTAAAAATTATTATATTTCCTATTCTTTATTATTTCCATTATCGTTCTTATTTATTAATTGTAACATCTACCCTAATCTATTCTACATCAAACTATTACCCTTGAACTTATTCTTTAATTGCTGCAATGTACTTGTCTATGCATTATCACAAATAGGAGCTCGAGAAAATGAAAATTTGCTCTTTCTTCTCTAATTTTATAAATCCATATTTTATTTAATAATATTTTCAATTCATAAAATAATTTGATCTTTTGAATATTAACGTATATGTTAGCTATTCATCATTTAATATCATTTATTTTTAAATATAAAAAAGATAAACAATAAAAATAGTAATGTAAATAAATTTTATGTTGATATAAATAATGTAATAATCTAAGAATTCTATTATAAAATCAATAAATTCTAACTTTACTACTATTAACACTATATCCAAAAAAATAGCTTAAATTTAATAATTGACATTTCCATTATCAAACATTTTTTTGTTGTCAATTATTAAAATAAATTAATATTAAATGAGAAACATATATGCTAGAAAAATTCTATTCATAAACTTATATTTTATAGTAATGATTCTCTATTTAAAAACCAATTTAATCAAAAAAGACAATTAATATAAACCTAAGGTTCTCTTAGTTAAGAAGTAATTCCTCTAAAATTCAATTAAGTATTAATTAAATACCAAAAAGTATAATAATGTAATGTTCATCTAGTACTGTCAAAATAACATATAAAACATTAATATTCTATAATTTATTTATAAAGGAGTAATTATATATTTTATAATATTACTCAAAATTTTATTTTATTCAAAAATTCCTTTTCAATCATCTTTGATATCTATCTTTCAATTACTTACACTTATTTATCATTTCTTTCCATAATCTTATCCGAAAATATAATCTCATTATTATATGTAACTATCATTTAATTTTCAATCTGTTCTTCAATTGTGAGTATTTGAGTTGATTTTTAATTACTTACACCTATATTAGAATCAAATTGTTTCTGTGTAACAATGTTGAAGTAATTTACTTGAAATCTATTTAGATGACTTTATAAAGTAGAATGAATTCTAAAGTCAAATATTATATATATATACCTTCTATATGTTGATTAATCAGAAAATACAAATATTTTTATTTAACCTTCTAAATCATTCATTTCCATAAAAAATTGATTAAAAGGATCAAAATATACAGTTGGAAATGATTTTTCTGATATTTTATTTGCTTTTAATTGAGCTTAGAGAACTATTTCATCCTCCTTTAACTTAAACTCAAGGTTCAATTTTCTATATTCATACCAATTAAATAAGGCTAAAGGAGCACATATTAATGGGGTATAAACAAGTAATGGTTTAAGTTTTATCTTTATTGGCCCTATTCTCATAATAAAATTCTAACCAACAATTATTTAATTAAATAATCATGTCCCAACAGACATAATAATGTTCAAACTGCAGAGCACTTATTGCAGATACAGTATTTGGATTGCATGAAATCTATTGCATAAGAAATAACATAAAATGTAAAAGATGTGGATAATTTTTTGATAAAAATGATCCATAATCTCATGAAGAAGAATTTCATAAAGGCATTGCATGTGAATTTTGTAAAGAAATATTCTAAGGTATTATAATAAAACAATATAGATATTTCAAAACATACTAAATGTTTAAAAAAGCCAGTTTAATGTATACACTGTGGATTAGATTAAGCTAAAGATTTAATATTTTATCATGAAAACATTTGTGGTAGTAGAACAGAAAAGTGTGATATTTGCAAACAATATATAATGATTAGAGAATTAACTAAACATGTAGCTACATGTGTACCACCCTCAACATAAAAAGAAATAGTTTAAGAAAAATAGCCAACTTAAAAAACAGTTGAAAATCGATAAATTACATAATAACCTTAATAAAATGTATAACCATTCAAGCCTGATTATAAAAACTTTGATCATAAATATAAGTATCAAGTTGAAGCTGAATAAGTTAGCAGACCTTAATAATAGTTATAAGCAAAGCATGAAATATTTGGTTATGAAAAACCATCGATACCTTATAATTAATAATAATAATAATAATAATAATAATAATAATAATAATAATAATAATAATAATAATAATAATAATAATAATAATAATAATAATAATAATAATAATAATAATAATAATAATAATAATAATAATAATAATAATAATAATAATAATAATAATAATAATAATAATAATAATAATAATAATAATAATAATAATAATAATAATAATAATAATAATAATAATAATAATAATAATAATAATAATAATAATAATAATAATAATAATAATAATAATAATAATAATAATAATAATAATAATAATAATAATAATAATAATAATAATAATAATAATAATAATAATAATAATAATAATAATAATAATAATAATAATAATAATAATAATAATAATAATAATAATAATAATAATAATAATAATAATAATAATAATAATAATAATAATAATAATAATAATAATAATAATAATAATAATAATAATAATAATAATAATAATAATAATAATAATAATAATAATAATAATAATAATAATAATAATAATAATAATAATAATAATAATAATAATAATAATAATAATAATAATAATAAATTAGATAACCAATAAATAAATATGAAAAACACATTGAAGCTAGAGTAAATAATTATTCTTAAAATCACAAAATTCCATAATAATATTACAATGTTAATTAATAATAGTAATAACAAATTGCAGTTGAACAAAAAAGTAAACCTTAAGATAATCCTCTTTAACCAACAACAAATCTTATCAAAAGGTAAGCCTCAGGAAATTAAGAGATTAAAAATGGTTATCCTTAATAAGAAAAATTAGGTGATAAATATACAAATCAATTGTCAACTTAACAGAGACTTCCAGATAGAAAATTGAATGAATAACAAAAATATGATCCTTATTCCTATTTGAATAAATAATAAGAAAATAAATTTTATGAAAATAAAAAACTTGAGAATCGAATTATCGATTAAAAGCCATCAGATTAGAATTTATAAAGATAATATAGTTAATAACCTTAACCAACAAAATAGTATAATAATTTATTATAATTTAGACAGTAACCTAAAGCTGTTGATGATGATATAGATTATCTAGCTTTGGGTTTGACAAGAGAAGAAATTGAATAATAGAAAGTCTATTTAGAAAGCTTATAACAATAAAGAAAGCCTTTAGAATCATAACCAAAATCTCGATTAGATTATTATTAAGCAGCCAGAGCATATAAATGATGCATTTTTGTTTATTACTTATATAAATATATAGAAAAATGTTTACTCAAAATCCATTCATATTTGATTAGTTCTATGGATTGGTATTGGTTCTGTTAGAATTGAAAGCTTTTAATTATTCTAACAATTTTGCATTTTATTAGCGCAATCCTTCTGTTTCTTTGCACATCATTTCGTATTCTCTAAAAAAGTCTTTCTTTTTTAACTATTCTCTTTATTTGATATTGAGCTGAGTAATTTCTTCTATCTAATTAAATCTATTTTGATACCTCATCTGATAATTATTTGATAGTATTTTCAAGATTCTCTATTTATTCTAATCTTTAGATTGGATTCAAAGATCCTCTATATATATCAGGTTCACTATCTTCAATTTATTATTGTTATTATTATTATAGTTAAAGTTAAGATTAAGTCAACTATTGTTAAAGTGAACTAGTTGTCATTCTGAGTTAATTGATTTCAGTTTGCAATTTCTGAGCCTCACTAATTCTTTGCATCTGCTCACCTTCAACTTATTATTTTAAATAGTAGATTTCATCTAATAACATGCTAAATCTTTTATAATTTTTGGATAGAAATTGCTTTAGATCAAAGAGCTAATTAGTTTTTTCATAATTATTGGAATTTTCAATAAAATCTTCTAGATACTTGATTTTTATTTTAAGTTTCTCATTCTCAAAACAAAATTGAGATTGATTAATATTCATTATATTAAATATTTAAGAACCCATAAATTATAATATGAATATTGTTCCTATTTAATAATAAAAGTTTCTTAGAAAGATTGTTGTCTATGTGATAGGACATTTAATAATTAACTTAATAGATTTCCCTCTGTTGAGCTTTAAAATTTGATTTTGGTTACCAATATCTCCTTTTCAGTTCTGTGATCAATCTGTCCTCGTCTAATTATTGTTGTTCCGCCCAGCTACTGATGATGTATGCGGGATTTTTAAGTAAATGTTTATTCTTAGCTCTATAAATTGTCTTAATAATTAATGAAATATCAATAAAAAGACTCATGAATTTGAATTAATTGTCCTTCTCTTCATGAATTCCAAGACCTTCTCATAAGATCCAGAAATTACAATCTTCAGATTTCCATTCAAACGATGTTCACTAATTAGAGATTAAATCATTAAAACGTTAATATATATTATATCCACACTAACTAGACAACAAATGGCCCTCAGCCATTGTCTTTTTACAAATAAAAAATTCTATTTAAATTTTTATTTTAGGAGAACTATTTTATAAAAAAAAAGATTATTATATTTTTATTTAAAATATTATTCATTTTCTTCTAGAACTCTTATGATGATGATTCATTAACACATGTTACTTTTTCTAAAGATCAACATATATACTATTTATTTTATTATCTGTGCTTTCAGATTATATAAATCTATCATATTTTTGTTTATATTCTTTTTATTTTGATTAATAAAGTGGAACATTCTATTTCTATTACTACTATCGCTAATCAAGTATATTCAATGAATCTGTAACTTTAAAATTTTAATCTGCTTAAACTTATGGTAAAGTTAATTAAGGTTAATCTAATTAAAGTGTTTATGTATTGGTTCCATCCTCAGGACTATCAAATTATGACTTATTTTGAATTTGTTACTCTTAAGGGGCCTCTTCAGATAAAGGCATTTAAACTTCATATTATCCTAATTCCTTGAATTAATATAAATCATGAAGACTCTCTTAATGGTTGTTAAGAACATAATTTAATTCAAGCATTTCCTTAAATAAAGGGTCTACCTTTGCAAATTTTTAATAATATTCCTTTGGAGGAGCTCTCAAATTAAATTTATCCAAAATATTCTAAGTATATTTTATATCTTATTTTTTCTAAACTTAAGGTTGATTATTAAGCAATCCAACAAATTTGAGTTTTTCGTCTGATTTCTCAAAATTATGCTAAAGCATTTTAGGTCTTGAAAATGGAACTTGTGGTTTATTCATATGTAAAACTAATTTTACTGAAGGAGAGACTTAATTAACATTTAGTTAAAGATGAGATAGTAAATATTTAGTTTAAGCTGATACTTACACATTTTGTTCTTCAAATTATTCAATTTTGGTAGAATCCTTTCTAACTATTTTTTGGGGTTTCAATTTTTCACTTAAATGTTTCGCAAATGTTAATCCATCCCCAGATAGATTAGGAAACATAAGCTTCCTTCCTAAAAAAGTTTTTTCTTATGCTTTTCTCTTCTATTCCAATTTCTTTTACATTATAATCTAATCTTAAATTCTCTCATATTCTAAAAACTTAGATGTGAAGATTTTATCTATTTATCCTCTAATATATGCATCTGATACATACAAACCATTTGAATAAAATATCATTATATGATAGCAATCATATACAAATCTTCAATTATTTTGAAAAACTACCTAATGTTCACTTATTCTTTATATTATGGGTCCTTCCATAAATACCAATGAATATTATAAGTGATTAAGAAAAGAATGTAATTGATAATCTCATCTTTTGGTTAGCTTAATTAAGCAAATAACTTGACATATGTTTTTGAGAATTTATCTTTTAGCTGTGTTTATCCACCTCGAAACTTTAAGTCAAGTACTTATTTTAATTTATTTCTTTACTTATATCAATACCAATTAAAGTTAATTTTGAAACTCTCTTCAACTAAAGGCTTTAAAGAACTTTATTTTTAAGTTATACATTTTCAATATTTTTCAATATCGCATTTTCAATTATGTGCTGCATTTAATTTTACAATTCTTCTTCTGTGCTATTCGACATTTTTGTTAAAAATTGATTAAATAATCTATATAAATATACTAATAAACTAATCCACTTTTTATAAATGCGATTAAAAAATATGAACAAATTGGAAATATATTTTATTTTTAAATACAGATCTTTTTCAAACTCATTCCAAGTAATCTTCACATTTATCATTAATACATTTATATAGATCTGATGCGGTTTTACTGTCAGATAGACATGAGACATACTAGAATTATTAAATAAATTTTACCCCTGAAATACCCTCATTTTCTCCAACAGATTTGCAATTTTGCATAGCAGGCACACAACCTGAATCCTTTGCACAGGCATTCACTTAATTAGTGCATTCCCATTCTAAACATTATTTGAAATCAGCAGGCGTTTCTTCTTCCTCACCTTCTTCACCTTATTCACCTTCTTCTCCTTCCTCTCCTTCTCCTCCTTCTTCTCCTTCTTCTCCTTCTCCTTATTCTCCTTCTTCGCTTTCTTCGCCTTCAGCTTAACCTTCTTCTTCTCCTTCACTGTCGCTATTGCTTTCGCTTTCTTCATCCTCACTTTCTTTTTCTTTCTCCTCTTCTTCTCCTTTACCTTCTTCAGTTTTTGGTTTTTTCTCTACTTTACCTTTTTCAGATTTTGGTTCAGCCTTACCCTAATTACCTTTTGGTTCTGGCTTTCCTTATTCTTTTGGTTCAGTTTTACCTTAATCAGCTTTTGGCTCAGGTTTACCTTAATCACTTTTTGGTTCAGCTTTACCTAATAGATATTTACTAAATTTAACCTTAATCTGGTTTTGGTTCAGCTTTTCCTTTATCAGCTGGTTTGCCTTAATCAGCTTTTGGTTCAGGTTTACCTTAATCACTTTTTGGTTCAGCTTTGCCTAATAAAATTCTATTAATTTTTTACCTTAGTCTTATTTTGGTTCCGGTTTTCCTTAATCGGTTGGTTTGCCTTAATCTGGTTTAGCCCCAGGTTTACCTTCATCACTTTTTGGTTCTGCTTTACCTAATAAAATAAGATTATTTTTTACCTTAATCTTATTTTGGTTCAGGTTTTCCTTAATCGGCTGGTTTGCCTTTATCAGTTTTTGGCTCAGCTTTGCCTAATAAAATTCTATTAATTTTTACCTTAGTCTTATTTTGGTTCCGGTTTACCTTAATCGGCTGGTTTGCCTTATTCTGGTTTAGCCCCAGTTGTACCTTAATCACTTTTTGGTTCTGCTTTACCTAAGAAAATAAGATTATTTTTTACCTTAATCTTATTTTGGTTCAGGTTTTCCTTAATCGGCTGGTTTGCCTTAATCAGGTTTAGCCCCTGTTTTAGCTGCATCAGCCTTAGGATCTGTTTTCCCTTTTTTATATGGTTTAAAATTACCTTAATCTGGTTTTGACTCAGCCTTGCCTTAATCTGCCGTTGGAGTTTTAGTTACAGTTGGTTAAGTAGAAACTGGTTATCCTTAAACAGGTGTATTTACATCTCCAAATATCATAGATTCCTCTACTTCGTTTATCCTATCGCTACTTCGATTAAAATATAAAATACTGTTTTGATGATAAATGATGGAATGCTCCTTCCTGTCCCACTTATCGAGCTATTAGAATTGTACTTAAACAAAATAATAGGACTAAAGTTTTCATAATTAAAATTTATTTAATATCTAATTAATACAATTACTATTAGAACCAAATGATATCTTGGTTTAGAATTGGTTTTTAATTTTAACTATGAGCTTATGTTTTCTTAAATATAATATATGAATATTTTAAATGTAGAATTATTTTCACTACAAGCACTTAGATTAAACACATTCAAGTAGGGCAACAGCAGGCTTACTTTCATTAATGCAATCCAAATACTAAAAATATAATATTAAGAGCCTTACAGCTTGATATCCAGCAACATAAACTACATTCTTGCATGATTCTAATTTTTAGTTGCAACTCTTGTCACAACCTTTTGCTTATGATTCGCATTTATCTTCAATGCATGATCTGAATTTTTTTTCTTCAGGGCTTTATTTTGGTTCATCTTTTTTCTTTTCCTCTTTCTTTTCATCCTTCTTTTCTTTCTTCTCATCTTTTTTCTCATCCTTCTTTTCTTTCTTCTCATCTTTCTTCTCATCCTTCTTGTCTTTCTTTTCATCTTTCTTCTCGTCCTTCTCTTTCTTTTCATCTTTTTTTTCCTCTTTCTTTTCATCCTTCTTGTCTTTCTTCTCATCTTTCTTTTCATCTTTTTTCTCATCCTTCTTTTCATCTTTCTTCTCGTCCTTCTTTTCATCTTTCTTCTCGTCCTTCTTCTCATCTTTCTTTTCATCTTTTTTCTCATCCTTCTTCTCATCTTTCTTCTCATCTTTCTTCTCATCTTTCTTCTCATCCTTCTTCTCATCCTTCTTTTCATCTTTCTTCTTTTCATCTTTCTTCTCGTCCTTCTTCTCATCTTTCTTCTCATCCTTTTTTTCATCTTTTTTCTCATCCTTCTTCTCATCCTTCTTCTCATCTTTCTTCTCATCTTTCTTCTCATCTTTCTTCTCATCCTTGTTTTCATCTTTCTTCTTTTCATCTTTCTTCTCGTCCTTCTTTTCATCTTTCTTCTCGTCCTTCTTCTCATCTTTCTTTTCATCTTTCTTTTCATCTTTCTTCTCATCTTTCTTCTCATCCTTCTTCTCATCTTTCTTTTCATCTTTCTTTTCATCTTTCTTTTCATCTTTCTTTTCTTCCTTTTTCGGTTCTTCTTTCTTGCTATCATCCTTTTTTGGTTCTTCTTTCTTACTATCATCCTTTTTGGGTTCTTCTTTCTTACTATCGTCCTTTTTAACGGTATCTCCAAGGTGATTGATAGCCTTACAAGATATTAAAGATATGAAAAGCAAACAGATTAGGATTCTTTTCATTAATTAAATTTTATTTATATTTAATTAAAAAAGTTCAGTCAGTTAAGTATATTCGAATCTAAATGTTATTTTATTTAGATAAAATCTTAATTTTGATGAGCTGAGTAAAGTGATTCAATAACATCTCTTCCTAAGGTAATAAAATCAGTAATCTCATATTTAAAGACTTATTTGTTTTTTGTATAAAATCTATAGTTAACTTCTAAAGTATAACTAAACATAACTTATGTCGTAAGGTAAACATCAGATTTTGCTACACCTGTTAAATATGGATTAATGGAATAAGGGCAATCATCATTCATACTTTAAGGTACTAAATTTTCTTTTGTAAAGTGAATTTTGAGCTCTGGTGCTTTTTAAATATTTTCTTCCTTTTCAGTATAAATTCCTTCAATTTCATATTAATTTTTTTCATAATTAATTTAAGTTGACATAGCTTCCTTGATACGAAAATGAGCAACTTTTGATTTCATTTATTTAGGGAATTCCTATAAATATTTAAATAATCTACTAATATAGCTTGATGAATAGATGGATCAGGATGCCAATTTGTATAAATAAAGCTGTTACTTAATACACTGTGTGCATGGAGATCAATATAGAAAGCCACATTATAATTTTTACATGTTTCCAAAACGGCTAAAGGACCATTAAATTTTGGAAATTTTAAAATTCTATTGTAAACTCTATTTTGATCATATCCTAATGAATCCAATCTATAATGTCCACGATAAACTCCATCTGGATTTAACATTGGAATGATTAAAAAAACATAATTTTCGAGTAAAAACTTAGCAGATTCATTATAATTCTGTAAAGATTCAAGGATTCCTTTTAAAATAAATGAGGCTGGTACTTCACCTGCATGGACACGACATGAGATTAAAATATATTACTTCTTGAATTTGATTAAAGATTCATTTTATTATTTATCTGGAAATAAAAATTCAGGACAATAATATTCTTGTTATTCATGAGGCCCATTTTTTGTAATAGTTATTAATTCAATGTTTCTTCCTTCTAATGAATATGCAATAGTTTCTCTTCTAAAATAGATGTCAGGATGTAATTAAGAGAAATAAAAATCAAAAAATTTTTGATTTTTTTTATAAGACCAAGGTGGCATATAAGCAAACTAAACAATTTAATTTGCTTTAAATTCGAATGAAAATTTAACTTAAAATCCTTGATATACTGCTGGATATCTACTCCAAATTTTATTGATCTTCACATAAATGTCTGAATCATTTGTCCATATTTTTTTAAATCTCGTAGCTATATTGACAATAACAAAGTTAGCTTAAAAATCTGTCACAGAAACAACCTTAAAATTAAACCATTATCTGGTGCCTTTATTGGATTATACTGGTGGAATTCTTCCTTGACAATCTTCCGATATACTTAAATTAAATGTGGTTGCTTCAATTTATTCAACTTAGGATAAATTCCCAGAGTCATAATTACTCCAAAAAGTGATTCCATTTAAAGTTACATTTATTTTAGATGGACAATCATCTGATGATGGATATATTAATTCTTAATTAAGCAATACTTATTTCTATATTTTATTATTAGTAAAATTAGATGAAGATATTTAACTGTCTCTAGATGAAAGTTAGGATTGATTTTATGAAATTTAGGACTCTTACATTTATTTTTCATTTGATTATTTATTTCCCATTTTTATGAATTTTAATAATATATACTCATTTAATATACCCAAGCTTTTGAAGTACCTTAATCGTGTTATCAAATAATATATTATTATCTGATTTTAGATATTTAGGATAACAATCTTTATAATAATATCCATTCTTTAATTGGTTGTTTGGTTATGTTGCTAAAAATGTTGAAGTGACTGATCCTTATTCAGGAGTTTTAGTGAAATACCATATCATTGGAGTAAAAAATTTATTAAATTTAAATTAACTAAGCATGTGTGTTCTAACTACTCCAGGATGCAATGTATAAACTTTAATATTAGTATCTTTTAAATGATTTGCAAATGAAGATGTTTCATATATATTAGCTAACTTAGATATGGCATAAATTTTATGACAAGAATATGGAATAGGTTCTTGATTCAAATAATAGTTGAAATCAACCTAACTAGGAGAATCTGTGTGTGCACGTGAAGCAACAAAGATTATTCTTGATTCATACTCATTTGGTATGTGATCAAGTAAATTATAAGTTAACAAAAAAGGAGATAAATAGTTAACACCAAAATTCTGTTCAAATCCTTATTGAGTATATTTTAATTCTAAATTAAAGACTCCTGCATTATTAATTAGGATATCTAATTTTTCATGTCTCTTTTTAAATTCTTGACAGAATTACTAAACATTATTCAAATCATTTAAATCTAAGTACATGTATTAGATATTAGTATAATTAAATAATTAGGATTTAATTCTTTCAACATTTCTCCCTGCAACAATTACACTTTTGGCTTTTGATAATTTTTTAGCTGTTTCCCATCCAATTCCATCTGTACCACCTGTAATTAAGATAGTTTTATCATTCAAAGTAATCTTATTAAAAATTATTTTTACCTATTAATGCTTTCTAAAATAATTAATTCCTCCCATAATTTTTAATTTTCCTGCTATTAAACTAATTGAACCTATAGAAAGAGCTAAAAGCTTATTCATTTGATTAAAATAATAAATTCATAAATGTTATTTAATTTTCATTAATAATTTTATTAACCTCTTGCTGTATCTTTATTCTAAATAGGCCCAATTGTGAATTAAGACATCAGTTGCTAGAAAGCATGATAACACTAAAATTCTAATATATTTTCAATCTAGTACTTCTAACTGTCCTAATTAGTTGATAGGAATGTACAAATGTTACAAAAAATAATAAAAATGAATGCAATTAAATTTGTTATATTATGCATTTTAATTACTTATTCTTATCTATCTTCTCTTACTTATAAAGATTTTATTGAAATGATCAAAAAAGAATAGCTAAGTTATTAATTAATTACCTACTAATTAATGCAATCAATGAGAATATATCAAATTTTGATTTATCTTATTTATTGAGAACAATAACTACTCTTAAAAAAAAAGTAGCTATTATACCAAACATTGCACATTTGAATCTCTCCAAAAAACTAATATTAATCAATCTATTACAAGTTTTAACATGCATTAAAGGAATTCTTGACATCACAATAATCTGAATTAGTTTACTAATCTAATTATGGATCATTAGTTTGAGTTTCAATTACATCTGATACTTTTGAATTTTAGATTTTAGAATTATCTGGAAGCAGAACGTAATATTTTTCTTCTAATCGTAAAATTTGTTATCTTGTCAGAGAATAGTTATACATATTGAAAATAATAAAATAATTTAATATATTTTAATATTTCTTCAAATAATCAAGAATTCAAATATTTAGTTACATACAATATATTAATACTAAATAAGATATAATAATAATATATAAATTGATTTTCAAAACATTGAATACTATTAAATTTTTGTAAAACAATATTTAATAAATTACTAAAAATTATATATCTATTCTAATTTGAAACTGATTATTGGTTAATTATAATTATTAAAATTTAAGAAATTAATTATATATTATTAAGATAAAGAGATAGCAATCTTTGATTATTATCATATCTATAAAATATTTAATATAAAACTGATTTTTACATTTGATAAGTTTTCCAAAATAATGTAATGAAGTTAAGATTAATATAGAAAAAACTAGAACCTTGGTATTTTTTTTATTGCAAAAGGAAAATAGATAAATAAATTGGCTTTTCTAGTATTAATTTTAATGATAATTTGAATTAGTTTTGTAAAAATTTATATATTAAATAAATGAATACAAGTGAATTGGTTGAATATCAATAAAAAGTAGAGGCTTACATAAAAGAGCACAAGATGACTGATTTATTTGAAAATCTTACTAGATTGTTAGTGCTTTCAAAACCTCAGGATCCTATGTCATTCTTAATTGATGTCCTTGAAAATAGAAGAGTGCAACGGCTTATCCTAGTAACAGGTGTAGTTGCTACAACAAGATAGGAAATAGTAGTATCACTTGCTAATTTGTTCAATTACAAAGTTATTACTATAGAAGATCACTTTAAATCTCATTGGGTGAATGATGATTAAGTAAATGAATACATTCATGCAGAATTGAAAAAAACTGAAAAGCATTTCAGAGGTGTCATAATATCTGGGTATCCTAATAACATTAAACAAGCATATTATTTATAATCCTTAGGAATATTACAAGAAAGGTAATATATGAATTCATTTTAGATTCTTTTATTTAGAGAGTGATTTAGATTTTTGTAGACAATATTATGAATAAATATCTTAATCCTAAGAGGAAGTGACTAAGGCATTAACAAGAGATAGATTAAATAAGAAAGATTTAGAATATATCTATGGATCTTATATGGATATATTTAATACATCAAAAAGGACTAAAGAAGATATCATTGAAAATATCAAATAGATTATTCGTTTAAGGGATAGGAAGTTTCCTCCTCTTCGTTTTCCAAGAGTAGCAATTATACGACCTCCTGGTTTAAAAGAAAGAGCAACTTAATTAGCATAAATATTTAGTAAAAGATATGGTCTTGTATAACTTATAACTTTTGATATGATTTAATAATAAATTCAAAATAAAGGAGCTCTGGGTCCTTTAATTTATAATTAACTTTAAAAGGAAGAAGAAATACCTAATGATATTATGAATAGTATAGTGTATACAGAAGTATTATCAACAGAGGCTAGAACTAAGGGATGGGTTTTAGAAGGATTTCCTAAGAATGAAGCTTAATTAAAGTTTTTGGAGGCATAACATGTGAATTTATTTGTAGTTTTGAATGAGGATGAAGATGTATTAATTAATAAGTCTAAATAATTGAAAATTGATCCAGTTACTAAAATAAAATATGAGAAAGTTCCATTAAATAATAAACCATTATTAGATAGATTATAGAATTATTAGGTAATTATTATAAATTATTTTAGATTCATAATGAATAATTACTAAAATCTAGGATAACTAAATATTAATCATTTGTAAAATTGATTGAATAGAAATTTAGTGAAAGAGTTTAAGTATTTAAATTAGAAAAGGATTCAACTGAGAATATCATTAGAGTAACAGATGTATTTTTGAATAATCCTAAAATTTATAATTGATAGATTAAAGTTATTTGTGCTCAAAATTTTTTAGAATTTTTAATTAATTCAAATATCTCTATTCATCTAATAAGTTATTTCAATAAAGAGATATATAATATATTAATAAAGATATAATTATGTTAATCATATATAATATAATAATAATATTACAATTTTGCACTAATATTTAACTTAAATATTAATTAAAATAGACTAAAGTGAATTTGAAAGTAAGAAACATCTTTATTTAGAGTTTAATATATATATAAATATACTCATATTATTTACAATATAATATAGATAAAAATATTCATAGAATTCCAAAGAACTTTCGAGTAGCCACTTTCTTAGTTTCACTTTAACTTTCCTTAATAATTTCATTAGTTAATTCATATAGATTATGGATATCCTTTTGCATTTCAATTAAATTCTTATATAGATTTTAATATTCATCATAAAATTCTGGTATTTCATTCAAAGTGATATTCTAAATAAAATATATAATTATACATTTAACTATTTCTGATTGAATTTTAATCTATATTTCTTTGATTATTCATAAAATTTTGATTTACGTTGTAGATCTTATATTTTCATTTTAATCATTTACAGATTGACATAATTTTAGTGTGTATCCATATTAAAAATTCCATTTTAAGATAACTCCTATAATTAATATGAATATATATATATTTACATTTTAAGAATTTTTAATAATATCTAAACGTTCTTTACTTAGTTCTTGAAATTCTTGATGATTGATATTTAATTTATGATAGTCTAATTTTTCAATAAATTGTAGAGTTGATTCATAAGTAGTAAAATAATATTCATCTTCTCCTGTAATTCTCTTTGGTGATCTATAATAGCTAACAAATAAAATATTAGAATAAGCTTTTTATGGTTGAGCCTTGAGTGTGGCATATATTAAAACAGGTAATAAATTATCAGCACCTGTTGGTTAATTATTAGCCATTTAATTAACAATAGCTATTTTATTTTATATTAATCTATTACCACTAGTTTATTTGCCTGCATTAACAATACAATTTAATTTTTCTCTTGGTGTTTCTACCTTATCAATTTTAGATATTACTAAGATATTATTTACAATTTTTACAATCAATTACTTAATTAAACATTTTATGTTTTTCAATGTTTTCATCAATGTCAAGATGTTTAGCTTAAACAAATGAATATGCTTTCATAGAAAATTCAATTTCTCTATCTTTGACTGGATCAATTAATATTAATCTAATAATAATGATGTATATATATATACTTTGAACAAAGTGGTTTCATTACAAGTTTTTCAATGGCCTCTCCATTTTCTCTTAAATATTCATCAGATTCTTTCCATAGATCTTAAAATTCATCTTCAAATTCGCTTATTTTTTATTGTACTATGTTAGGCATAGAATCAAGTGGTAGTTTGCTTTGTTACACTTCTCGAATAAAACTTAACTTAAATGCATGTACAATTGCTACTTAATTATTTTTTATTTGAGTGTTGCAGATTCATTTCTTTTCATTTTATCTGATACAGTTGGTTCAACTCTTCTAGATTATTCTAAAGACTATTCTGATTCATCTATTATTGTTGATTAATCCATTACGTGTATAATAATTAAATTATATCAATTTTCAATTGGAATTAATAATGATCAAATAGAAATTTATGTAATTACTATTCATTAATATACAAGTATTCATATAATCAAATAAAGTTAATATTATATATTGAGTTCTGTTATTAATTTTATTTGGCAGTAAAGTAAATGTAGTTTATGATTTATTATCAATATCTACTTCATTTTTAGATTAATAAATAAAGGATAATAAATATATTTAAATTATAACAATTCATATTATTTGCTGAATAATCAATTTATAATATATTAATGATTTTCTATCTAAATTATTACTAATGAGAAGCCATCATTAAACTTCGATAATAATAATTTATTAATTATACTCAATTAAGATCATTATCTTTTAAATTTAATAATTAATTTGCATAAGATCCTTAGTCTAATTGAAATATTTGAATAAAATTAAGAGTAATTCTATTTATTCATTTAATAATCCTTCTAATACTCTTTTAAATTTGGAAATAAATAAGTATATGATTTAATTATTATTTTTCATTTAAATGCTTTCCTTAATAATTGTGAATTTCAATCCAATGAAACATATTTAAATTGTTTTCTTGAATCAAATTTGTTTTTATTTCCTCCATCATTTAATTTGGTTTAATAAGTAGTAATAATTTCATAATGGGATAAGGATTCTGATTATAATATAGTATAAATATATTAACATAAATCTTAATAAAATATATCATCTGGCATAATAAATAGCGTTAAAATATTATTTTTATATAATGAAATCTCATTCCTAACATGAAAATGGAACTTTGTAATAATTAGGTCGTTTGAGAATACCAAAGGTACTATTCTTGCCAGGTGAACCAATGGCCAAATAACGTGTTGATTCTCTACCTTCTAGTCCTGTAAAGGGAATTCCTAATTAAGCTGATGTTTAAGAGAAGTTAAAGATATTACAGGCAGAGAGAGAGGCAAGATCAAAATTGCAAGAGCAAGAAATGTTTGAAAGAGAGAAACGAAGCTCATTCAATAGATAGGCTCATATAATAAACAAGTTGCATAATGTCGAATAGTAGTTAGAAAAATGGAAGAAGACTAGACATAATATTGAATTGTAAGTAGTTAGAGTAGCAAAAGTGTTAACAAGACCAAGATGAGCTAGATGATCGAATGTCAATAAAAGACTGGAGTTGAATTTCACCGTTCAATTTAATAAAGAAACAAGAGTTATTCTGATTTTGAACATAGAAGTGCTGGAATTTACTTAAATCATGAAATATTTTAAAGAAGAAAGGAGGTAGAGAGGGAACGAAATTAATTAGTAAATTAAACTAGATATAGAAACAATGTTGATTAAGTATTTATATATTTAAATATTTAAGATTGATAGAAATGTTAGAATCATGTAGAAAAAATATAGAACTGAAAAGAAATGTTTTGCACTTCGTAAGCCCTTTTATAATATAAATGATCTTAAAAATTATTCTCACTTCTTATTATTTTGATAATAATAATTTATCTTTTTTTCATCTAATTATAATCAATTTTAATAAACATTAAATATATATAATCTTATCTTTATTGAATTATTTTTGAATTAAAATATAACATACTTTAAAAACTAATTTATACTAATAGATATATGTATGTCTATTTATAACATTATTATATTAAAAAGATTTTGTTACTAAAAATATATTAAAAAATAATATACAATAATATTAATAATACATCAATGAAATAATGTTCCATAATAGTTTTTGGAGACATAGGAAGATCTCCAAGAATGGTTAATCATGCTTTGGCAATAGCTGATAATACAGAGTATCGTATTAATTTCTATGGGTATTTGGATAATAAGCCAACTTAAGCATTAATGTCTAATCCAAATATTAGAATTGTGGATCTAAATCTTTGGATAGTAAATTAATTAAAGAAAATGCCAAGATTCTTATTTTTATTGTATGCAATACTTAGAATTGCATTACAATCATTATATTTATTCCTATTACTATTATTTAGTAGGAAATAGGAATTTATTTTGGTTTAGAATCCTCCTTCAATTCCAGTTTTACATGTAGTTAGTTTAATAAAGGGAATACGTAGATCAAAGATCATAATTGATTTTCACAATTATGGACATACAATATTGGCATTGTAGATGAAAAACAATTTTATATTAAAGATGGCTAGATCTTATGAGCATTAATTTAGTAGATCATATGATTATGCTTTATGTGTATCTTAAGCAATGTAGAAGGATTTATAATAGAATTGGAGGATAAAGTATAAATAATAATAGTATAGATGGAAGTGCTACAGTTGTATATGATAAGGCAAACATTAATTTTAATGTTATAAATAAGCCTAAAGAGAAACATGAATTATTTATGAAATTAGATTTCCATTGGTAATGGGAAGTATTAAATAGCAATGAAACATTATTTACAGAAGAATTGAATAATTAATAAGTGATAGAGAAAATTAATAGACCAGGATTGATAGTAAGTAGTACTTCATGGACAAAGGATGAAGATTTTAATATTCTAGTTTAAGCATTGTAAAAATATGAGGATTTAGCAAGTAAGTTAGAAGATTGATTATTTTAGATATTGAATAAGGAAGGGAATATAGAAAATTATATGTAGTTATAACAGGTAAGGGACCAATGAAAGAAGAATTTAAAGAGATATTTTAGAAATGTAATATTTGTTGGAATCATGTAAAAGTAAATTTAGCTTGGTTAGACATTGATGATTATCCTAAATTATTAGGTTGTGCTGATTTAGGAATTTGTTTACATTACTCTTCATCTGGTCTAGATTTACCAATGAAAGTAGTGGATATGTTTGGAGCTGGCACACCTGTATTTGCTAAATCATTTAATGCGTATATATAATATTTATTATTAAGTATTTCTGAATTAGTATAACATTAAAAGAATGGTATATTATTTGATACTCCAGATGATTTATTTGATCATTTATCATAGGCTTTTAGATATCAATCTAATATACTATAGAAATTAAAGAATGGAGTAGAAACATTCAGAACTGAAACATTTGATTAAGAGTGGAGAACTAAAGTGTTACCTTATATAAGAAATTTAAAATGAATTATTTTTATTTTTAATGGCATACCAGATTGATTTGTCTCAATTAAAATTTATTATTGATGATACTCCTGTATTGAAAAGGTATCCTAAAGTATTAAATGTAAAAACAGAGTCAACAGAGTATTTTGATGCAAATTCGACTATTTGTGAATGTAATGAAGAATTAGAACCTTATATGTTTTGTTTAAGATTTAAAGTAGAATTGAAATAAGATCCTATAATTTAATCAAATGAAGACAAAGAATTATATAATATGGGTTCTAGTTTTGGAGTTAATTAAGTTGAAAACAATAACAATTTCAATAATGAAAATGATAAATTCAATAATAATATATTTGATTAGGACAACAATAATTAGATTAAATAAAGTTTCAATAATATTAAAAAATGTAATGTCTCTGTATAAACTAACAAATTATTTCTTAAAAACAAATAATAGATATTTAAATATAATCAAAAATATAGAAATCATAAAGTTTATCAAGAAACTCTTAATAATTTATAGTAGAATTAAAGATTCTAAAAATTCGTAAGCAAAAATAATAAGAAAATTGGATCAATCTATTTATTTTTACTATTGATTTTATTTATAATACTAATTATGTGTTTATGATTAATATATAATTAGATCAGAATCTTAATACTCTGTCTTGTACATACAACATTTCATATCTAGTGTTGTAATCCATATCACCTGAAGGTTTGCATGCTAAATCCCAATAAGAAGTATTAAACACCTATCTATAAATTTATTGATTGATACTTAGCAAGGATCTCCTAATAAAAAAGTATTCCAAATTAATATGTAAGCAAACAATACCCATCCACTTCTATACATTAAATTCATGGCCATCACATGCATCTTATAAGTATAACTGTGATCTTCTTCCATTCCAATACTATCTCCTGCTTATCTTAATACCAATGTCTTGAATAAACCTCTTTCATAATTATTATTCAATATCTTACTATCTACCAATTCCATGATAATATCCTGTCTAATAGGTAGCTAATAATTTTGGATCAAATCTATTGATGTACTAATAATAAGCATGTTTTGAACATGTCTTATAAAATCTCTTCTCCATTTTTATTAATATATATTAAATCCCCCCTTTTAATAATTATTTATGCACTCAACATAATAGATGTCTAAATTTTCAAGTACATACTCTACTAATTACAACACCAATACAAGACGATATGTTTCAAGTGCTAAAACCTCCCCAATGACTGGACCACTCTAAAAATTAATTGAAACTGACAATGACAATTTTTCAAAGAGAGACAAGAATCCATAAGTAATTATATCATCAAATATATTAAAGAATCTCTTATAAGAAATACTCTACACCAACAACATAACAAAAATCTAGAAATTAATATCTACATTCACTTAACATGATCTTAATATAGATAATCTATCTCAACAAGAATTACTTAACATTATTCTTAAAGTATACCAACTCAACCTCTATGAAGAAATCAATTTTATTAATATCCTTTATGAAGCCTATACAGATAAATAACATAAAGATGTTCTTAAATATCTCATATTACATTGTCATGAATAATTAATTGGAAAATCTGGAAATACAACTCGTCTTTTAGAGATCTTTTAAGAAATGCTTACATTAAATCCTGATTTTACTTCATTTCAATTGGAATATCAATTGGATTCAATACCAGTTTCATTCAGTCGTATTTAATTACGTTGTATGTTCCTTCTTAATCAATATGATATTTTACGTTCTTTAAAAGGAGCAGTGGCATTATTTGAATAATTGGAAGGCTTTATATTTCAACAATTTAAATCTAATACTATACCCACTTAAAGCGATATCAGTACCCTTGTTATTGCATATATATTATTAAGTGAACAATTAGAATTATGTAATAGACATGGTTTAAATAAATAAGCATTAGAAATAATTGGAAAACCAATTGATTGTTCAATAATTGATCTTAAAAGAAAATTTATATATAATGCATCTAAATTATCATAAAAATATCTAGGTTAAATGATTTTTGATTAAATTAATGGATTACATAGAAAAATGAGTCCTGATTTAAATCGATCTTAAATAGTTTCATAAGATACAATTATACATTAATTTCTCTTAGATTCACTTGATATGGTTTATCTAAAAACTTATAAAGATATGTTTGATATTGATCGTTTAAGTACTAATATAATAACATAACCATATGTTTATACACTTATGGAAAAGTATAAAATTGTATTATTTTAGAATATTACCTGAAAGTAAGAAAAAGGATAAAGTATTATCAATATTAAGTGATGATTAAATTAGACCAAATTCAGGTAAGTAATTTCAAATTAAATAAATAAAAAGTGATCTCAATAGTCCTAATTAAAGTAAATTTAAATAATAAAATTTTAATGTTCTCTCAAATAACAATTCTTAAACTTAAATACCTGTTATTACAACAAATAAACCTATATCTAATAGACCACCTTTAAATTAATAATTATCATCTGGATCATTACATTCTTCTGGTAAACTTAATTAATTTGATTCATAAGAATTTGAAATAATTTAAAATAAATTAGTGATCTAATAAAGAGAATTAGATGAATTAAAATAATTATATACTTTATAATTAACAACTAAAAAATAAGAACCAGAAAATAATTAATTAGCTGAATAAATGAAGAAAAAAATAGATTAATTAGAAAATAATCTATTTTAAATAAAGAATGAAAATTCAATTAATAAAAAAGAAAAAGAATAAAAATAAAATGAAGTTATTGAATTAAAAACTTAATTATAAGATTTAATTACAAAATAATCATAATTAGAGAAATTATTATAATCATAATCTTAATAATAATAAATGATAATATATTAATAAAACCTTTTATAATAATAATAATAAGCTGCTGCTTAAACTACATAATCATTAAATTAATAGTAATCAAATTCTATTATACAAACAGCATCTATGAATATTTAAATACCACCAAAAGAAGCTTAAAAACATTAAAATATTCTTAATCATTCACCAGATGATGATTTTATTTAAATGGATGATACTACTCCTTATATTTATAAATAAAATTAAAGCTATATTATATAATTATTAGAAATGCTTGATATAAATATTGCCTTTGCTAAAATGTATACTAGATATTAATCAGCATCATAAGATGAAAATGATTAATGGAATAGTGATATATAAAATATTGCCAATTATAGAGTAGAAGCTACAGTAGTTGAAACTAGAGATGAAGGTAAATCAATACTTCTAAAATCATTTGATGAAAAAAATTCATTACTGTGTTAAGAAAATATAAATTTAGAATTATTGAAAGGTTTAATAACTTATGTAGATTTTTAAGAAATGCTACCAACTAATTAACCTAGTATTAATACTACTCATTAATTCTTTAAATTCTTAGTTTTACCATATACTGCTGTTGTTCCAGATGAAATAACATAAGAGATGAAATTACAATTTTGGCCAAAACCATATGGATTATTAAATGGATTGACTTTGAGAATAGATTTCATGGACAAAAATTGTTTAATTTATATACATCATATTGAAACTGATTAATTTAGGATTTCTATTTGTGATCCAATTAGTAAAGATACTTTAAGATTAGATTTAGAAATGGATTATTCAACTATGGATTCTTTCTTTAAAGATGCAAAATCTATAAAAGATTAATATGCATACTTTAGTAAGACTACATTATTAAAAATGACAGAAAAGACACCAAAATTTGGTGATGATGATGTAGCTGAAGCATTATAGGAGAAACATTTTGATAAAAATAAAGTAAAATAAATATAATAGTCAATATCATTAAATTAAACTTATATGGTAGAGAATTTAATTTTTAAAAATCCTAAAGAATTTCTTAAATATTTAAAGACAATTGTAATATAATTTGAGTAATATTTGAAATCTTTAGGAATATCATTCTCGAATACATTATTTGGATAAAAATATTTTAGATGTAAAAGTTGGAATACTGGATCTAAAAATTAATTACAAATCGTATTAGATAATTAAGATCAATAAAATATTTAAGTTTGTTTATAGAATTGTTTTGAAACATTTGGACCAAATAAAACTAAAATTAAAGCTAAAGGATTAACAACACTTCCCTATTCATCAATACAAAGAGAATTCTCTGTTATGTTTGATAAATTATAATCTGAAGAGAAAATTGTAATATTTTAATAACTCTTATATTCATTCAATTTAAATGTGTTTGATAAAGCTTGTGAATAAAGTTAAGAATAATTTGATAAAAATCCAATCATATAGAATTCTTATGATTGTGGTTCATATAAAAGGTATTATTAATTTATAAATAAATTAGAATGATATTATATGATAATTCTAAAATATCTGTAGTAACTATTTCAGTTATTGGTGCAAATAGAAGGATGTGTGGAGTCAAATTCTCTGTTTTCAATATAGAAACAACATAAGAAATTGGTGTTTATTTACCAACATCTTAAGGTGAATGGGATTTGAGATCTTTAGACAAATAAAAGATTAAATCTTCTGTAGAAAATGTTCCTTTTGCAGAATTTTTCCTTACATAGATTCTTAGATGTCCAATTACTACATAAGTTAATATATTATTTATATGTTAGATTTTATTTAAGAAAATATTGAAAGCCGATAGTAAAAACAATTAAATTAATAGTAATGAAATAAAAAATCGTAAAGCATTCATAGAAAGAATAGATAATCTTATTACTTGGTAAGAAGTATTAGCTGCTGCTTAAAATTGATTTTGTTACAATACTTTTGAGTTTTTATAATTTTATTTGATGTAAATGATTAATTTATAAAGGTTCTATTAATTGAATATTAAAAAATATTAGAGTTAATAAAAAATTATAAGTTTATTAATATCTAAATGTAGAAATAGAATTAATTGTTCATTTTTATAAGATTATCTTATTAACTTTTTCTTCTTGTAATCTATAGTATTTAGTTTTCTAATAAACATCATTCTCTAGATAATATTTATATAAATCAGATAGGGGAGCATTATTATTAAGCACAAGTTTCTTAGCTTTAATAAAGTCTTTAAATTAAAGATATTCATCAAATTCTTATTTTAGACTTGCATTATATTAATTTTATTAAGGACTTATAGAATATTGAAGTGGTTGACATCGATAATTTGTAATTTATTTTTATTATTATGGATATTATATGTTATCCTTTCCAATAAATGAATTATATTAAGAATTAGGAAGTTAAGTTTCAAGTTGACTATTATTAACATTTGATTCTTATTATTTTTAATGATTCATTAATGAGGGAGTGAATTAATTTAGTGATTCAAGCATTTAATCTAATTTTAAGTTGATTTTTTAGATTTCAGGTCTTGTATAGTCTTAAATTTTAATTGATTATTGATTATTTGATGGTAATATTGTTCTAGATTAATAAGTAGAATATGTTTAGTATTATTAAAATGAATTTAGGTTGTTGTCTTTCATTGATTAAATAAAATAATATTTTTATATTATAGTATTTTATCATAAATAATGAATATTATTTAATTAATAAATAAATCTGAATGCTATTAATTATATTAATTGTACTAAGTGGTATAGTGGCAAGAGATCCTGATTTAATTGAAATTGAGATAGCTTAATTAGAACATTTAATATAATTGTAGACTGAGAAATTACATTATTTGAAAGAATTGAGAGATATTACAATAAATAATTAATAAAATATTCCTGTATTGAATGATTAATATAGGATTAGTAAATAGATTAATAAGTACTCTAAGACATTGTATAAAAGAAACCTTAAAAGATTTAGAATAATGGAAAACAGAGTTTAAATAAAGAGAGATCATTTACAAATAGAATGTTAAAGAAATATTAATTTAATATTACAAATTCCATTTTAGATGCATCATTGATTTAAACGTAATTGAATATTTATATATTTATAGTTTCTAATACAAATCCACAATAACTGATAATTCATTTACTTAAATGTTATATGTTATTACAAACAATAAGTAAATTGAGATTTATGATTTATCTAATTCAATGATTGTAAATACTTAATTAGGTATTTAATTTATAATATTAGAATTCTAACCATAATATGTATCAATTAGTAATCGTGCAGATGATCCAATATTAGCTTTGGCAAGTATTTATTTAACTTAAAAATTTTTAGATAAAGATGGACAATTTGTATTATATAAAATAGAGAATTCAAGAATCCCAATTGAAACAGAAGATTCATAAAAACTCAAAACTAAATTAGTGATTTAATTAAATAAAGAATTTGAAATGAATATTGAAAACCAGTAAATCACATCTATGATATATGCAATGGTTAAAGGAACTAAATATATATTATTTGGTTCAAGTAGTGGAAGTGTTTAGTAAATAATTATAAATAATAAAAGTGTATACACTCGTAATGGAACATTAATAGGTGAGAGGAATTTCAATAGTCCCATTTTACAAGTAATAAAATCATATCCAAATATGTTATATTTAACATCTAGTGGATTTGGATATATCAATCCTATCAACTTAGAAATAGTATAGCCAATTTGTGACAATGTAAAAATATATTTTATAATATTTACTAGTTACCATTTTAAATAGTTCATTTAACATTAGATATACAATAAACAAATATAGTTTATGTGCTATCTGATTTAGGTGAAGTATATGTTTTTGAAATTAAATAAAATGAGTAATGCAAAATGAAATTGAAATTAATGAATAATCAATAATCTTAAGTGTTATTTAATAATGCTAAATTATTTAGTTTAAGACATTATCTAATAGTTTATGATTAAAATACAAGAGAATCATTATTATATAATACTACAGATGTTTTGACTGAAGTTGATTATGATCAACCTTTTAATATTGAATTCTTTAAATAAATCAAAGGTTAATAAGTTGTATTATAATCTATAAAAGGAAATGGTGCATCTCATTATTTATTAACTAGAGAAATATAAGATGATCATGAATTGATTAGTTATTATGAAATAACAATGCCTTAAAAAAAAGATACTGATATATTCTCAAATTTTAGATTCCCTATTATTATTATAGCAATTGTTATTGTGCTTTTATATTAATTCTGGTTTAAAGGTAAATAAAAGGATAAGAAAGAGAAGGGATCCAAAAAGAAAATAAGAGGTGAAGATGAAGAGATTGAATAAATATTAAATTAAGCAAAGAAACCTTTGACAGGATCTATAGGATCTACTTCCACTATTAATAACAGATCTCCAACAAGATCAGAAGTATAGAATGGATAAAAATAAGTGAGATTTGATGAAAATTTAAAGAGAGCTGATAAATTTAAGGAATAACTTGATAATATAGATTAAAAAACTAAATTACTTAATGAAAAAGTAGGAGTAACAAATAATATTGAAGCATAAAGATAAAGTAATTATATATATTATATATATTATTATTAGAATTGGCATAATAAGCATTACTGTAGAAAAATAAATATGTATGATAAATCATAAAAATAATATCAATCATTCTTACTGTTTCTAATCAATATTATTATTGTATAATGTATCATAATATTATTAAAGTTATTTCATAAATCCTGTATTTGGTTAAGCAATTTATCTTTTAGTTTTAACTAATTCCAAAGCATCATTAACAGTCATTTTATGGTTTTTAATTAAATATGCAATTATGAATGTAGTTGATCTTGATTTTCCAGCAAAACTATATAATTAACATAAATACCAATGTACAAGTATATTTTATTTAGAATTAAGAGCATTTTCTATGAATTAATTAGATTCTTCAAATTTTGATTTAATGTCTTGATCAACACTATCATTAATATTAATGATTAGAGATGTGAAATCTTAAGAAAATGGTGCTTTTGGCATTTCACAAGCTGATAGAATAAATTTAATATTTTCTATCAATACTATCTTTCAGATTTACATTCCAATAGTTTTTTTTTATTTAATGCACATCCTAAACATCCTAAATAAAGATTAGGAATTATTTCAATAGGTATACTATCTTCTTTTAATTATCTCATTATTAAAAGAATCTTAATTTTGTCCATTAAATTCTACACTTAAATATTATGTGTATTTTCATTATCCTTTTTCCCTTATGTTTCCTCTCCTTATTACATAAATTTATATAAATAAATAATTTATGGAAAACTTTGATCAAAATTTTAAAACAGATGATAGAAATTTGCAACTTTCCTAGTTAGTTTTATAATAAAAAAGAGAAAAAATCATTTTACAAAAAAAAATATAAGGTTTAGAGAAATAAAATAAGTATTTATACAATTTGATTAGAATTTTGTCTGATCAAATGGAATCCTATAAAAATGAAAAAGAAGAATAGTCTACTTAAATAACATAACTTAAAGAATACATAGCTAAATAAGATTCTGTGACAACTAAATTAAATGAATTAATGTAACTAATTTATTATAATGAAGTAAAAAGTTATTATAAAGAGATGATGAAAATTAATAATATGATAATTCATTAAGTGCTCCTAAAACTGAAGCAAAATCTAATAAATATGATAATTAAGAAAGAAAAAAAAAAGATAAATAGTAATCATATTAATAATATTATAGATATTTAGAAGAATAATAAAAATTGGATCTCAATGAACAAATTATTGCATAATATAAAAAATATTCTCTTAAAGATCAATCAATATCAAGTAAACTTCCTCCAATTGAAGATACAAAGAATAAACCTGTTATTGTATAAGTACCAAAAAGTTAATTAAAGAAAATTAATCCATAATTTTTAATTGAATAAATGCAAAAAGAATGAAAATAAATTAATCAATCTATTTTTTGTTAATTGTTTCTATAAAACTAAAACATTTCTTCTTCAATTGGATGTAATTCCTTTGCACAAATTACAAATGAATGTAAAGGTGCTCCCATATCTATTTCTAAAAACTCATGCAAAAATCCAGAAATAATCTCATTATATAATTAATATTTACTTTTTAACTCTCAAATCCAACTCTAGCTACACCAAAACATTTAGTCTTTTCATCTATTGCATTTAAACCTAATTATTTATCAGATTCTATTATTTATTCAACTGCTATTTGAGTACTCATAAATCTAGGAGCTTCATATATTTTTTTTCCTCTAGCTAAATTTTCTTCTGAAATTTCTTTTACTTTTATATCTAAAAGAACTAAAGTATGTAAATTATGATCTAAATTAGCCTTAATTTTTGGATAAAAACTATAAGGCCTCCATTTTTCAGTAAAAAATGGTACAGATACTGTTTCCCCAAATCTATAAACTTATAAACCAGTGCAACCAATAGCATTAATAATTGAAGCATTATGAATCACTTCTACTTTTATACCTAATTTTATTGCTCTTAAAAATAGATCTGTATGTGTAGTAGCACAAAATGGATCTCCAACAACTAGAAATGCATAATTATTTTAAGGATCTGTAGAAACATTTTCAAGTATTCTATCTATTCCAGTTTCACAACATTCTCTATCTGCTTCAATTACTTCTTTTCCATAAAAATCTTATAGTTTTTATTTATTGATTCCAAGAATTGATGTATAACTTTCTAAATAGATTTCTTTGCATGTTTTTACAGCCTAATTTATACTTATACTATACCTCAAGTCCTTTGATTGTAATATCTTAATGATCACCAAGTCCTAAACCAATTATATAAAAAACCATTAATTAATATTTATACAAAAATATTTTATTTTAATATAAATCAATATTATTATTATCTTCTTAAATTACTTTACTATATTGAAGTTGTTTTTTCTGTTGTGGTTATAATTTTCTATTTTTTTAATGAATCTAATTCTGCTTAAGCCATCATACATTATTCTTAAGCAGTATGATAATCTTAATTTGCTTTCATAAATTTATCTTTCCATACATTTGCTTCATTTGAATAATATTTTAATTTTTCAGTTGTTTATTAGAATTCATTCATTTCAGATTCTAATTATCTTATCATTTATTTATATTATGCAATTTCTTATTCTTTATTTCTAATATAATATATATATATATTTATACTAAATGACTCTATTCTAATTTTACATTTCCATTATTTATTAATTTAAAACACCTTCTAATTTTAATAATTATCTTTCTTTATCTGCTAATGCATCTCTTAATTATCTTACTTCATCTCCTCCTTATAACAATTACTAATATTCTAATTACAATTTTTAATATCTTTATCTCCATGAATCTATTTCACTTTATTAATTTTATATTTCTTTTCTTAATCCATCTTCAATATCTTTCATCATCTTTATTTTTGCTTCCAATTCTCTAACTTAAAATTCTTCATTAGAAGTGACTTTTAATTCTTAACCCTAATTTTTATATCTTGCCAATTCAGTCTATAAATCATAAATCTTAACTTCTAATTCTACACATTTCTTTTTCCAAGGCTCTTCAACATCCTCAACTGAAAGTACTTACATTTCTCTTTCCACATGATATAATTCATTAATTTCTGGTTATTAAGGAGGTGGAGTAGCTAATTGTTATGATTAAACTTATTAAGGTGATCTTTATTAATATTAATATTAAGGTATTTTATATTCATGTGTATGTTGCCTATAATATATTCATTTATTTACATATGATGTGTTTAAATTGTTTTAACTTATTGATTTTGAATATATTAATTCTGAATTCCTTATTAAGTATAAATAGTTTGTCCTGTAGGAACTTTAAGTGGTGATTAATAAGGTTGATAGGGTGGTCTTTGAATACCACTTTATCCTAATACAACAGATTAAACAGGAACACTAGTTATTGGTTACGGATACATTTTTAATATTAATTTAATAATTCACTTTCAAATTAGTATTCTAAATGAAATATATCACTTATATAACAATTTTCCTTTTTTAATAATCATTCTGTCTTTTGTTGAAAAACTTCTCTTTTTATCTATTTAATGTAATATATCTTAATATTCAGTTTATATTGTAGTAGGTTCCAATAATTATCCAATATGAGAACTTGGAAATAATTTCTAATGTAAAGTTTGTAATAATCTATCATTCATTAATACTAATTCTAATATTTTAAATTTATCCTCTTTTCTAAAAACATTAAAATCTGATAATTTATTTTCAACTTGAACATTTTAACGACGACGCATAATATCTTTACGTACTTACTTTTTTATTTAGTATTCAATACCTCAACACATTCAATAAAAAATTCCTCATATTCACTTCTTGTTGCAAATGCTTTTGTAGATTAACAAATTGCTTAATTCATTTTTTATCTTAATAATTGTATCTATTTTGTTTAAGTATTTTCAATAAATGTAACATACAAAGCAATTTCATTTATTATTTAATTTTAATCTTCATGTGTTATTCTCTCAAAAATATCTTATAATTATTTTATATGTTTTGGTTATGCTTAACCTGACATAATCCTTTTATGTCTTGGTTAAGTGCAAAATAATTATTATTCTTTAATCTATTCTGCTTATTCTGTAACAACACTTGTTGTATGTCTTATAACTTCATATTTCTTATTTTTTCTCATTAATTATTTTATTTATTCTTCAAGGAACTCATTTTCTTTTTAAACTTCTTATAATCTAAATTTCAATTCAAATATATCTTTATTTTTTACTTCAATTTTATTATAAAGTTTAACACTTTCCTCTCTAAACCATTCCAATTATTATTCCATATTTTGAATGCGTTTATTATCTTTATAATATTTCTCCATCTCTATACTTTTCTCTTTTAAATATTTCAAATCTTCTTTCACTTATCTCATATAACCATTATATGCTATTACAAATTCAGAAAGTGCTTTCTCTTTTACCATTGTTACTTTAGATTCTAACATATCTAAATAATTTTCCACTTGATTTTTTAAATCATTAATTCTAGTTATTTTATGTGGAGATGATGGTTAAGATTATATATCTTCATAATTCTTACCTGAAATATAAGATTTATGAGAATTTCTAATTGCAAAACTATCACTATCAAACATAAATTAATTAATGAATAAGTACTTAAAAGATAAAGAAAACAAACCATTTATTGATAATGCCAGATTTAAAAGAATAGGAACAACTGATAGAACTTCATCACCTATTAATCTAATATTGACTAAAATGAGATAATAATAATCTCCACATTTATCTGCTAGAACTCCTAAAGATTGTTAAAGTAGAATATCAAATGAATGTGAATAATAATTACAATCTGATAGTATATTAGAAATGGAAGAAAGAAAACGAAAAATTAGAAAATTTAAGTAATGTTTAACTGAAAATATTGAAAAATTAAAAGAATTAGATTCTATAAGTTAATAAATTTTATCTTTTGAGGATTGTCTTAATTCAATTCTAAAGAAAATTAAAATTATTAAAGTATAAGATTTATTCTTATTATTATTAGAGTGAAATATAAGAATAATTTAAGTTGCAATAAATAAATCAAAAAAAAATATTCATTAAATAAAGGAATCAATAAAATAAATGTCAGAAGATATTCAATTAAATGAGATTAATGTTATTAAGTAAATGTAAATGAAACCATTTAATAATATAATTTCTCATTATATGAATAAATGTGAAGGAAATTTGGATAAAATTGAGAATATGATCAATTAAGCAAAATAATAACTAGAATTTAAAGAATTGTGTAGATAAATTGAACAAAAGTTATTGACCTTAAGAAATTAATCTCCTCATTTTAAGGAGGTGTGAATATTGATTGTAATCATTCTGATTATTCTTTGTTTATTTAAAACAGAAATTTCTCAGGAATTAACCATCCAGTTACTAATGGTAAACCTTACTATTAATAAATTAATAAATCTTACTTTCATTTATTCACAAATTAATTTAAATTGTGCCAAAGCTATTTAAACTTCATATTTCTAATCTTATTATTATTATTATTATTATTATGATTATTATTATTACTATTAAGCAATTGCTTATAATGAAATACGAGCAGCTTTATTAGGATAATCAATTTAAACAGTGAATGTCAAATTTCCTTTAATAGTCTATTCTTCTAATTTAATTTCAGGACTAGTTGATAATTAATCACATAAATCTAAAATATAACCACAATTTTCATAACTAATTGGGAAATTTAAAGATTCTTTATTATTAACCTAAAATTTTATATTTTGTTAAATACTTCTTTTCCTATTTCTGCCATTGGTTAAAATCTCCATAAATAAATATAATTTCTTGTATATTTCATCTTTACAACAACAGAACCTTATTTAGTCACTTAATATTGAGGCTACATTACATTTAATCTTACATAACAAGGCATGAGTGAAACAATTGCTCCTTTTCCTTTGATTTTACTTATTTGATCATAGTGATTTATCACATCAAAAGTGTAAGAATAATTAGTCGATGCTGCTTTCATACCTGGCTTCCCTTAAGTTTGTTTATTCAAACTACAGAAGTTGAATCTAAGATTACTTATCTTTCTTAAAGCATATCCAATCATTAAATAAATTATATCACTATTAAAATTTATGATCCAATAATTTATTCATTTTATCTATTCCTTCCCAAATACCTTCTCCTGTTTTTGCACTACATCTCTACATTATTACTTCTGATTCCTGCTATTATATATCTTTATATAATTCTACAGGTGATGATCTTGGTAAATCTATTTTATTCAAATATATTAGCAACACTATCTATTTTAGATGACTTAATACTTTCTATTTTATTTCGCTTCCCAATTTTTTCAATTCATTTTTAACAATTTCTATTCTTTCTGAATCTGTTGTATCTATAACAAATACTAATCCATCTAAGTTTTCATAATAATGAGACCATAATGTTCTAACCTTCCCACCAACATCAAAAATTAAATAATGTCTAGCCTTAAATTAAATTGTTTCCACATTCAAACCTAATTTCAATTAGCAATACCTATTGTAGGCTAAGATTCTGTAAATTTTCCATTCTTCAAATATTAAAGTATTGATGTTTTTCCACTTCCTTCTAATCCTACTATTACAATTTTCAGTTTCTTAGAACTTTGTAAAGCTATACTTATATCTTCTTCTTTTTAAGAGGAAGTAAGACAACCCATAATTACAAAAAATATTAAAAATTTATTAAACTTAGATCAAAAATATATATTTTCCCTCTTTTATCCTTTATCAAAGTATTAGGAAATATCCTATTCTAAACTCTTTAATTTACATTATTTAGATAAATGAATTAATAAGTAAATATATAATGTAGTAAATTATAGAATTGAATTCTAATTATTTACTTTATTTGTATCATATATCTAAATTAGCTCTAAGAAAAGTATGGTAGATTCAATAATAAATTAAGATAATTGAAAATCTTAGTTATTTATATATCCTTAACTTTAAATATAATATTAATTCTTTATTAAGTGTGTAATTCCTCATTATAAAGGTTTCAAATTGTTATTTAATTAGATCAGTTTAATTCAAAATAATACTCTATTTAAAAAATTATTGAAAAATTCTAATGTTATTCATAAAAAATAGATGAATTATTCAATGACATAAAATTATTTTTTACGAAAATATAAAAAACTATTAAAACCTAATTTGGATATACCCAGCTTTCTTATCCATTTGTGGGGTAAGGAATCTAACTTACTTTCTAAGAAATTAGTTTGAGCTGAGTGATAGTCTGTCAGTACCTTCAAAGTTATTAAAATATCTATTTAATTTATTTCAGAAAATTTTATTTAATTTACATGAACAGATTCATATACTTATTTTAGTAAAGTTATTTTTTAAATATGGGTTGCAAATAGGAAAAAAGATGGATTTAAAGAAGCAATCATTTGCTAATCTTAATGTTATGTTTATAAATAATTATAATAATTTGTTCAAGGGATATAAATGAGTGTACAAATTAAGCTATTACAATTAATTTTAAAATAAAAAATATGTCAGTCCTTTTATGACAATCAGCAAGTTCAATATTCTAAATTTTAAAGTAAATTTTTTCATATATAACAAATAGATTAGATCCTATACTGGAAAAAAAGTCACCATCTTAAAAATAATGAACTTTTCCTCTCATATATATTGATAAGGAGTGTAAATAATAAGGGTTTTATATAATAAAGATAATTATTTAAAATAAAATTCTATTATTTTATTGGTTTATCATTATTCAATTTCAAAGACTTCACATTCTTCAATGTTAGGTTTATCTCCTCCATAGAGATATGTATTATTTCCTCCTTGATTTTCATTCCAAGAATAAGATTAACCTATATCAGAGCTTCCATTTATAAAATCAGTTGAAATATTTATGTCACCATTACTACCAAAATAAACTGCATATCCATTCTATTAACACCAGATAGCAGATTATTTATACTCCTATTTCAATGGAAATATCTCATTTTTTGTATAAGAGAATATGAAAGAGCTTGCTGTATCATCAGATGCATATCCATTTAAAAAACCATTAAATTTACAATTAGCATATCCTCCAAATATTGAATTTCCAGGATTTTTAGATTTAAAAATAAATAACAAATTTTATTTTAAATTTATTTTACTCCATAATGCTTAAGAATTTAGACCATCTTTTGATCCAATATAAATTTGATTTATTTTATTTATCTTCTAATTAGTTCTTTATTCAATTAAACTTAACAGTTATTGTTAATAATCATAAGGAACTATATTTGAAAGAGGAGCATTAGGTGAATAAGTTAATCTTCTGATATACATATTTAGATCTAAAATTGATTATGATTACTATACAAATTTCTATTAAATCTCTTTTTCATCTGGTAATAAAATTCTATATAATTAAATTATTTTTTTACTCTTTTTTTAATAAATTCTTTGAATCATTTTCTTTTTAATTAATTATTTTTTTAATTATCTCAACACTATTCTTTTATAAATCTTCAAAATAAATTTATATCTTGCATTAAATTTAATCTTAAATATCTATTTGTCCATTTTAATTTTATAATTGTTTTATGAGATTCCATAAATCATCACATTTAAGTTCCTAATTTATTAAAATAAATTACTTTTTTAACAATTTTTATAGTTGTCTAGGCTTCTTAAATAGCTTAATCTAATTATTATTTATATTCGATTATAAGTTAATCAATCCATTTTTAAAATTATCTTAATGTATTTTGCCATTATTGAAATTTACATTTTATTTGTTCTTCTGGAATAAGAGAATATTTATTGCTTAATTCTGTATAGTTCTAATCAACATTTGCCAAAATAGAAATAATTTTTTATGGATTATTTTATATCTAATAGGTTTATTAAAAATTACTTCATGCAATAATAAAATATTATCAAATGTTACTTTTCTTTTTTCATCTTGTAATCCAGCAACACAAGCTGCACATGCTAGAAGAGCACTATTTTTATTTGGAATCAAATATTATATCACATATTCTCTATGAATCTAACAATATGCTTCCTATTACATTCAAAAATGATTATTTTTTATAGAAAATTATATCAATTAATCTTAATTATATATTGAATGTTATCAATTATATTAATTTATAGCATTTATGAATATTCTTTAGATTTAAATCAATCCTGTTATTTTCTCTCTCAGTAATATATATATTATTTAGATATAATTTAAAATTAAAATTGTTCTAAGATCGATAATTTAAAATTTATTTAGATAAAAAGACTAAAGCAAATAAGTAGTTATTATTAATTCATAAGATGTGAAAAAAAAATAAAGAAATTAAAAAAAAGCAACAGGTTAAATCTGTCCTATTCAATAATCTTAACAAATGCCTAAAATTAAATAAATCTTAATAATCTAATTAAATTTCTAAGCAAGCAAAAGGAATACTAAATGATATAAAGGAAGTTTTTTAGAATCTCTTTTTTCTTTCGAATTTTTTGGATAAATAATAGAAATAATTTTTTCAATATAGAAGCATATATAATAATTTTATCAAATTTCTTCAGTTATATAACAGGAACCCTTTTTAGAGAATTATTTAAGCAAATTTTAATAGTCAATCCTAACAGTAAAGGTGAATTAATTTATATTAGCTTCCTGATATTATTATTCAACTTAATTATCCAACATGGGGTTGTATTTTTTAATTTTTTTCTATTAATCTAATTATTAACTATAAAATAAGATTTCTCCATTTCTTAAAACTACTATAAATTAATGATCATTTTTTGGATTAAATTAAATAGAAAGTAGTTTCGAATTCATATATATAACTTAATATTTATAAAGTATGAATTGATTTTGTTGTTTTTTAATTAAATAAATAATTGTTTCATTATTGTATAAAGTCGCTAGATATTCTTCATTATTAGAAAATTAAATGACTTAGATAGGATGCTAAACATAATGTGGAAAAGTTTTTTGTTAATAAACATCTAAAACAGATAAATTTACTTATTAGTTGGTTTCATTAACAAATGCAAAATATTATCCTGTTGAAGAAAATGTTGAGGCTTAATTTTATGAATTATAGATCATCTTAGTAAATGAACACTTTTCTAGATCAAATTAAATAATTTAATTGAGATCATGACAGTAAGATATTAAATTATTGATAAAAATAAATTTATCTTTTTCATTGTATTAATAATTATGAATTAATTTAATGTTATTTAGTCTAGTTTTTATTTTTTCAAACTTTAGTTTATCATTTTAAATATAAATTAAATATTCTCCATTTATAGAGATAATACAGTAGGTGTTTTGTATTAATTCATTTTATAGCTCATAATGTTATTGATATTAATGATTTATTTAACTTTAATTAAGAGCAGGGATTTTATGATTATGCAATGAAAAATGATTAAATTCATCTGATATAAGTATATAAGATTCCTTTGGTGAAAATTCAATGCTATTTAGAATATAGGATTATTTAGTGTTAATAATAAAAGGTTAATAAACTTATGATTATTTGATGTCCCATATAATTATATACGATTAATTATTTTTATACGAATCAGTAGCTAAATATTAAGAATTAGGACAAAAGGCCAATAAAAATCCACCTTAATTTTTTATTTTATAGTGAAATGATTACAAAGCATTTATTTTTTTAATAATTATTGGCACTTTTTATTTTTTGTCTTCTTATTGTTTAGCATAAGAAATAGCAATATATTAATTATCATTTGAAATAACTATGTTTCTGCACATTAATCCTTGAGGAATATTCTCTTATTTTAGTTCTAACTTTTCGATTGAAGTTTAAATTGATTCAGAATTCTGCAAGAATGAATTAGATGGATTGGAACTTATCTCCAAATATTGTGATATATTGTATAGAATTACACTATTTTAATAATTTGTAACAATATACGAGATTTATTAATCAGATAACCATAAACAATGATTCTCTATTTGATCATTGAACTAATCATTGAATTAACAGACAAGACAAAAATTTATTGTACTCCAAATTCTAATCTTCTAATCAGAACTTCTTGCAGCTAAAAATTGTCCATTTTACGAAAAACTCAATGAAAAAATTTTTGATTGACCTAATGAGATTTGAGTTATGATATTTGATGATTGATAATCAAATATTTAAATCAAACTTTCATATTATATTGCATATATATTTTCATTTGGGGATTTCACAATAATTTTTTTATTATTACTTTTTTTGATCTTGATTGTTTTTTGACACTCTTAATCTTAATTTTTTTCAAAAATTTTTTTGATATTTATACATATTACAATACCCTTATTAATAATTACTAATTATTCACCATTTTAAGAAAATATTAATTATTATTTTTCAAAATATTCAAATTCGTCAAAATGATATAATAATTACATTTAATTAGTACTCCAGAATTTCAATCCTTAAATTGAGAAGGTCACCAACATATTGTTTATAGGATTGAAACATAAAGATGTAATTTTTTCATGAATGCATTTGAATTCTTTAGCCTAAATATTCAAAAATGTAAATTTTTCAGAAGATTATATTAATAAATGATTACCATCTGGAGAATATTAGCATGATTTTATATAATCAATCAAATCCCAAAAAAAAACTTTATTATTATTCCAATTAATTAACATTTTTCCATCTCCTGAAAGAATTAATTTTTTTTCTTAAAACATTTTTTGGACATTTTAAAGTTTATTTTTATTAGTGTCGAATATCTAAATCATATTTTAATTTTGAATTAAAATAATCAAAGGATTTTCAGATACAAACAATCCTATTGGATAGATTGTATTTTAGATTAAAAACTCCTTTTGTTTGACTAAATCCTTATTAGTTATTTCAAACTAATAAAAGATTATTACATCTCCGTATAATATTATTAAACTTCTTCCATCATTCGTAGTTGTTAGTAAATTTGCTTCAATTTATTAGTTTATTTTAATTTCTTAAGATGTCTGAAGATTGAAAAAATAAATCTATTTTTATTTAGTTCTAAAAACCAAAAGCTGATTTTTTTGATTTATAGCCATTTATTCTGCATCTTAGTTAATTTATAATGTTTTTGGCTATTTAAAGATGTAATCTACAAGAGGGAATACCTTTATATATTAATTATATAAACTGCATATTATTTATGTGTTGTCTGGTGAAAGGTAGAAATAAATACTTTCCCCTTCTACATTTATATAAGATGCTAAATAATATTAAGTTAAGTTCCATAAATCTATCTAATAATTTGCTAGTGCAAAAAGCTTAGTATCGTCTTTTGAAATAGCTATTTATTTATATTTGACAAATGGGTTCCTTATATCTTCTTATTATTCCACTTATTTTTCTATATTAACAATCTTTATTATCCCTTTCTTCTAAAGTAAAGCTAGCTATTGATTTTCTTTATAAATTATAACTTATAAGATTTCTTAATCTGCATTTATTTAAGGAAATTCAATACACAGAAAATTATCGGATTAAGCATTGCTTAATTTAGAAGAATTTAAATTGCAGTAATCTATTAAGACATTATTCATTTAAGTACTAGTATTCTCAATAATAATTTATTGAAAATCCTCACCTTCTAGAGAAATTCCCATTTTAGATAATAAGAATATTCCATTTGATGGTGCTCTTATATTTATTGTTTAGTTTATGGATTTTTTTATTATTTAAATGAGGAAAGTTTTTATATTTTTAATTTTAATCAATTGTTCGATTAGTAATTACACAACACCTTCATAATTTTTTTCTGATAAGTTAACATCATTCAAAAATTATATTGTCTCTTAGTCCTATTTATTTTTAAGTAATAATATAATTTTTTAGGCAAAAAAAAAATCTAGAATCCATTAATTAAGAAATGTAATTTCTTCATTTTTATAAGTGATTAACTTACTTTCTCTGATGGCTTTTCTATAAGGACTCTATAGATTAAAAATTTCTTCTAAATCATTTATAATTAATTATGAATTATTTTACTATTACTGATTCAAAGCATCTAAATTATTGATTTTTAAAAAAATCGATAGCTTTTAAGAAAATATTTTCAAATCATCAATTAAATTAATTTGCACTTTATCCTTTTGGCAGAATCCTAGGAATTATTCTAAAGTTGTGTATCTAGAAAATCGTTATGCATTAATTGCCTATATAATTAGATCTGCATTACTACTCTCAAAGTGTTTTCCATTTAAATTTATTGTGTAATTGTTTTCTAAATATGGAATTTCATCATATATATGATATTCCTTAAAAAATTTATTATTTTTTAGTTCTCTATAAACATTTTCTTCTTAAATTCCTTATTAAACTTATTTCATTAATTTTGTAAACTCCTTTTTTAATTCTACCTCAATTATTTTATTATCATTCTTTTCAAAATCTAACCAAATTTTCTATTGCCATTTCTTAATTGCCATTTTAAGCAATTAAGGAGTGATTAATATATCTTTTAAGTATGGAATTAATATATTTTCTAAGAAATACCTCATTTTTTTCATTTCATTCTATATAATTTAAAAAAATTCAATTCCATTTTTTATTTTTCCAATCAATTTATATATAATATCATCTTCAACTTGTTGTGGCATTACATAAAACAATTATGGAATATTTACAAATAGTTAATTTACATATTCTACAATCAACTAAATTTGAACACCTCTAAATGTTTATACTTGAGATAGGCTAATTGTTATTAATCTTTTGTATGATTATTTTATGTATTCTTACTATTGAACACTGTCAAATAATTATATTTTTGTAAATTATATGTTTTTAGTTTCTTTAAAACGTTCAGAAGGTATAATGTCATTTCTTATAGTCATAATAATTTTTAAAGTCACCTCATTATATAAATTCTTTATTCTTTTATCTAATCCATTTTACAAAATTATATTATTTTATTCTATCAATTAATCATAACCATCCAGAAGTAATACAACCTTATATTTACTTTAAAGAATTTCTGAATAAAATTTGTTAACATCTTTAATATTTAATTAGATGCTATATTTTTAAATTGCTTTTCTTAATAATTAATTTTAAGGCTCCTTAATATCAGATAGATTTAAATAAATTGGGATCCAATTTTGAGAATTTGGATCATCTCTTTAAATTTCTTATAACTATATATTTAATTTCTTCAAGGATTTTGTTTTACCACATCCAATTTAACCAGATATGATTAACACAACATTAAGATTCTCTTTACAAATAAACTATTTAATTACATCATCTAATTTTTTTTCAGAAACTCCTTGATCAGCTTAATTTAATTATTATTACGATTACTTTAATAACACTTTATGATTATTAGAATCATGTTACTTAGTCCTTAACGCAACATCAATTTTGCATCTTTTTAGGATACTTAAAATTTAGTTTGCATCCAAATTTTATTTTTCTATTGATGATTCATTACTAATTTAGCTTTAAGTTGATTAGAAAATAGATTCAATTTATTTCCAAGCATCGGTGAAATCTTGGATCTCTTACTTACTTTTATTGGTTGTATAATTTCTAATGCTAGTAATTAAGATTTACATCTAGGATTCTATACTTTATATATCATTTATGTAATTTTTCTTTTTAAGTTATTTTATCTTGTTGGTTAAAAAAACTTATATTTATTAGAGACAAGATAAAATCAATTTCTAATTTCCTGGATTATTTTAGATTGTCTGAAAATGATAGTAAATACTTTCTTCAATTTTATATTTATCTTAATTTTTTTAATCTATAATTAATTCAATCTCTTAATAAAATAATTAATAACTATATGGCAATTCTTATTCATGTTCGTTTTCGTTATTTTATTAATCTTTATCTATACATTTTTTAATGTGTTCTGTTAGATTAAAAAATCTTTATTCAAGTTAGCTAAATTCTTACATTTTTTTTGACAACTCTTATTTCAAAAATTTCAAATTTTTGATTATATTTTCTAAGGTCTCTTGTTATTACTTTGAATAGTAAATTTTTTGAATCTTTTTAATGTGAGAAAACCATAAAAGATGAAAATTAATCTAATAACATAGATCTTCATAAGTATCAATTACTGGATACTTTCGTTAAATTGAGTCAAAATCTTGAGATTCAAATCCGTAATTAAATTGTGATAATGAATCATTTAATAAAATAATTTAATTTGTAAAGAGCATTCTTTCTTAAATAATGAAATTTTACAATACTTGGACTAATTTAATTAATTATTGTATTTAATTTTGAAATTTAAGTGTACTTTTTTTTTATAAAAATCTATCTTTATCATAATTATTATTTTTAATCATCTAAAGTTTAAACCAAAATTTAATAGTAATTTTTGTATCAAGAGTACTTTTGATCTACTCCTTTATATTACTTATAATAAAATTAATTTTATCAAAATTATCTTTTATTTTTATGTTTTATTCATATTTTCTTTATATCATTTAAAATAATTATAACATTTCTATTAAATAGATTTAAAAAGCTAATAAAGGATAATATAATTCTTAAAACATCTATTTTACTTATTCAATATCATATGATTCATTTAATTTTTAGAATTAAGTCTCTATTAAATTAACTTTTCCAGTTAAAAAATTCACTATTCTGTTTAAGCGATGTAATTCAGGTTTATCAATAGATATCCATTTATTTTGTTGTAATTCTTCATATTCGAAATCTTATAAATAAATATCAAATAAGTTTCTCCCATCTTGATTAGTTATGTAAGTTATAATATCTACAGCTCCTTATTATTTTGTTTTTTACTCTTTTTTAAAGTTTTTACAAAATCTAAGTAAATCAACTAAAAATTCTATCCAACAATTATGGAGAGTCCAATTTGTTGAGTTTTTAATATATTAATCTTAAATTTTTAAAAAATAGTTATTGACATCAATACTCACTCCTTTTTTTACTTAATCTTTTATCATCTAATTTAGGAGAATAAAAAAAAAATATGTTTCAAATTTTTAAAATTAAGTGAAATATCTACATTTTACTCCTATTAACAAACTATTAGCTGCATCAATTAAATTTGAGATACTTTCATTATTATTTTTCTATTTCTCTATTTATATAAACAAACCTATTATACTAATACTTTTGGTTTAAGATATATTTTTTTATAAATTTTCTAAGGAGATATTTATCAACTCTAAATAGTAATTTAAACAGCATTTCCCTGGCCGATTGTCCTAAACTTTTAAAATTTCATTTATTTTTTCAATTAATTTATTGAATGAGTTGTAATTCATTATATTACTTAGGTTTATTTCTTTTTATATCCAATCCTTATAAATTTTCACAATTAAATCTAGACACAATTTAATTTATTAACATAGTTGATATTTAGGTTCTCCTATCTTTTATTCAAGTTAATTCAATTCTTTAATCAGAGTATAGATATTATTCATTTTTTTTTTACTATCAGAACAACTAAAGGAACTACCTCCTCCTCGTAAATGTCTTTGCTCATTATAAACAAGAGAATGATAATCTTGATTTATTATCATTTAATGTTTATATTAATAAATTATAATGTCTAAATGAAAAATTGATCGTTTTTAAAACTCGAAATATTTATTAAATTCAGTTTTTGGTTTGTAGTTCTTTTTCCCCTATTCTATTAGATGATATTCAACTATTTTCATTTTGTTTAGCTAATTTTCAATATATATATCATATATTTAAATCTTTATTTTTATTATGATTGTCATATTAAAACCAAATTAATTAAAATGGAATTAAAAAATTAACTTTAAATTCATCAAGTTGTTTATTGATTGTAGGTTTGTTTTTAAATATTGACAAATTGTTTTGAATTCGTAAGAGAAAACCATTTTAAGAAATGTACAAATCAAAAAATAATATTTAGATTTAATCTGTTTTTAAGAATTCCTTATAGTATATATTTCTTAACTTCTTATATTTACTTTTTTTCTATTTTTAACATTTTATGTATACTCATTTTCAATTTTAAATATTAGATTGAAAATATCTAATAGATGAGTACTAAAACGATATTCATGTTTTATAAATTATAATATTCTCTTCTAATCTATAGAATAAACTTCATTAAAGAAAGTGATTGAATACATATAGATTTCGCCATAAATTTGTTAATGTTCTTGTTTCTTTGTTTTTTATGTTTTTTTACAAATGACTCAGCTATTACTCATAAAATTGTTCAAACTATTAACAAATATATGAATTCTTGTTTATCGGTTCTTTTGTAAGGGATATTTACAATTTAATTCAATTTTATAGAGTAATTTTAAACATAATTTTTGAGTCTTCTTATCAACCAATTAATTGATAAAATAAAGACAAATAGGGCAGACATAATATTAATTGTATTATAAAGAAAGGCAGTTCAAAAAACAGTAGATTTTATTTTCCATTTCAATTTGCTTAAATGGCTTAAGGAGTATTCGATCAATTTTATATAAATGAATTAAGGTATCTTCTATCATTTATTGAAGATTTCTGATTTGATGAAAAAAGTTTAATTCATAAATGTATTAATCGTAATATTAACCATATAGAAAAGTCAAAGGTATTTTTTTATAGATCACAATGCTTATTCTAAGTAAAACTTATTTAAAGGAAATTTGTGTTATACAATGCAAGAAATTTAATATCCTATTTTATTAATTTCTTTTGCTTTTTATTATCAGATGAACGAACGCAAAATATTAATATAATTTTTTTTGTTTATAAAATAAAATGAGTGAGTTTGAATAAAAATTTAAACTTTTGCTTCTATTCCAATTATTCTTGATTCTACTATTATAAATATCTAATATAAAATCTATTTAAAGGAAATATTATTAGATCTATATTTTATTTAATCATAGTTAAAAGTAACTTATAAATTAGGAATATATATTGTAATATTTTGAAAAGAACCATTAGTATCAGTACTTTCTATCTAATAAGATTAATATATTCCGATTTCAACTCCATTTTTTATTATAAAAATTATTTATAAATAAGCAAATATTATTTTATTATAATGATAATTAGGGTTCAATGATATATTTTAATGTAAGATAGATACATAATATATCAATTTTCTAAAAGATATTTTCTATGATTTTTACTTTTAATTATGATCTTTTTAAATTAAAAAGGCTTATTATATTAATTATTAGACTAATTTGAATATCATTATTTATGTTGGACATATTTTCCTTTTTATTATTTTTGAATTACAAAAATTTTTATCATTATATTTCTATAAACATTTTTAATAATTTTACCTTTATATTTATTTTTCTCAAAACCTGAAAAATTGAAGGACTTGACAAATATAAATGTTTATAATTTAACTTCGTTTGAACCTATAACTTTCAATAAATTTTAAAAGAGAAAAGAAAATATGAGTAAAATAAAGCTTAGTCTAATTTTAATTAATATCTGTACTAAAATGGAGATGAAATAGTATATGACATTGGTTAATTCCTTTTGAATATATCATTTCCAGATATTTGTAATTATAATGAGTTTAGTCAAATAAGCCCTCTTTATAAGTGTTTAAAATTGAATTCTAATATTCATTAAGTTAATACTGAAGTATAAATTAGGGATTGTAGATAATAAGTAAAAAATAGATCTTATCCTCATTTGAAAGACATTCGCAATAATGTACATTAAGCAAAATAAAAAAGAACTTGTACAAAATTTAGGCAGACTAAAGGTAACAAAAGTGTCTGTTGTTTTAAGGACTTATTCATTGTAAATAGTGAGTTGATTAACAAACAATTAACTTAAAAAGAAAGACTTATTCTTTTCCATTCTAATTACATGAGACATAGTTTTTATAATCTATTGGCAATTTTAAATCATAGAAAAAGTAAACTAAATATTCAATATTATGGAAATAAAAAGTATCAAGAAATGGGTACTTCCAAAGAAGATGGATTTTTTTAGAATAAGAGTATTACAACTTATATCATTACTAATAGATGAATTTAAACGAAAGAAAGGGGAGACATGAGAGAATAAATTATTAATCTATATTATTATCATTATTATAATTTTCTTTTAATTTGTTGATTAATGTAATGTCCTTTATGATTTTTCGAATTTAAAACTACCAATGTTCTTGAATATAAAGTAGGAGAAAATAGGAATTAGAAAAACCCATAAATATAAGCTGGAATAATTGGAAATTAAAAACAAGAATACTAAGTACAGAGTTAGCCAATTCAAAGATTCTGAAATATTTAAAACACTTTTTTAGAGAAAAGAACCTTAGATAAACTTTGACAAAAGGTAAGAGTAAGGTAAGTAAATGGGAAAATTAACAAAGGTATTGCAAAGCAAACTCTTAAGGGGAAGAAATAGAGAAAATATTATTAGTAAGTTTCTCACCATCTCAATCCATGATGCTTACTTTAAATGAAAAGAGTTCTTAAGTGAAACCAATTAGTCACATCTGCTATTTCTGTAGAAGCTAATTCTGACTTATCTAAAGATGCTATTTTCTAGATGAAGAAACTATCGATAATATAATACACAATAGTATATGATGATCAATGATTAAAATTTGTTCAAGTTGTTCTGAATAAGATATTTTAGTTGAGACTGGAAAAGGTCACATGCTAAAGTTTCAAACTAAGTAAACTAATGGACCAGAACTTCTCATTTATCCTGAGGGTCAAATTGAATAGGTCTTAGCCCTTGAAAATTCCTGCTAGACCCTCTCAATATAGAAAGAGAAAATGGGTTTATAGTTTTCTACAAGTTAGAGTATTAAAAAGCCAACATCCAAAAAGATAATAAGATAAAAAAGAAGAAATGTATCATTTTCTCACTATATTTAATTTTAAACCATTTTTCCAAGCTTGACCAATTTATGTAGGTAAGACTGTAATTCAATTGTGAGTTTATTAATATAAACAAATATTTTGCTTTTTTGTACTCTTTAAATGATTAAGATAGACACATTTTATCCCACAATAATTTATCATTATATGCAAAATATTAAATCAAAATTTTTCTGTTTTTTAATTTATATAATTGATCTGTAAATATGCATTCTAAACTAAAACTGACAACTTTTTTAGTTCATTTATTATTGTTTTGATAGAACTGAGGTACGTTGCTTATATTAAAAAATTAATATATATACTTATTATTATGTAATTTAATTAAAAACATTATATATAATCAAATATAATTATAGAAATTATTCTACTTATGACAATCTAATTATAATTGAAGAAGAATATGACTTAAAAATATAATAAAGTAGTGCTGCTAATTTTTGTTCTTTCATACAATGAAAATAATTAGGCTTAACAATGATAATAGCTTTGAATTTTCAAAAAAATAGTTGTATAAAATTTACATATAAAAAATTAATTTTCCAAATTCTATCAAGAATTATGACGCTTTAAAAATGCATTCATGATTTTAGAATAAAAACCATATTTCTATTAAATGAAATAAAACTCTTCTGTCACTTTTCAAAAAGAAGACTGTTATAATGAAATCAATACCATTATTCATAATATCAAAAATTAACTTTATTTCTAAAATGAAGATATTGAAAATGATCTAAAAAAACATTTATCTAAATTAGACGAATAGAAAAGATTAGAAATGATATTACATTTACATTAACAATTTCCTGATGAGGAATTTATAAAAAGACCTTATTTTCGATAGGTATTTAATAATGATATTAAACAATAAACATCAACTTCTGATGTGAATAATTCAAATTACATTGAGAATTTTAAGAAAAAAATGTTTGATTAAATTCTTTAGGATATAAAAAATCAAGAATTCTGCAATATAAATTAAATATTGTAGACCAAAATTAATGAATATTATATTTTGTTCATACTTTTTTATATTGATTATAAAAATTTCTCTTCTAAATCAAATTAAATTTGATAATACCTATTGAAATCAGAGATTATATATCTCCTCTTTCCAAAATAAGAAAAGATCTTCATTTAATATTTGAACTTATAGAATTGATGAAAGATAAAGCTCAATTTCAGTATTTATCAATTTTAAAAGTGCTTATTAATTTATTTTTTATTGAATATCATAATGATCTAAAAAGATTAATTCATCAATTAGTTGGTTTTCTTTTAGAAAATTAGATTTATAAATTTGAATATTATATAGAATAAGTCATTAATTAAAATAAATAAGAAGAACAATAATTTAAATAATGTATACAAAAGGTGTAGTTGTTAGAAATGTCTGTTTAATAAGGTTAAGATGAATTATTAAAACATAGTAAAAATAAATCAATACTTTTTTTATTTGAATTGTTTACTACCAAACTTGAATTTCATGCTTAAAATTTATTAAATTTTATTAGAAATCTAATCTATACTAATGATAAAGTAGTAAATAAAGATGATATCATACAATATATATCTTTAACTGAAAATTTTGATCAAAATATTGATTATCTTTACTTTAAATTAGTCTTCTATTTTTGGATTTAGTACATTCTTAAATTTAACATTAATGAAAACATAGAAGATATCGAAAAAAGATTATCTAAATCTTTAAAGAAGTAGACAGTATTAGAATATGGCATAATAAATTTCAGATCTTAATACAATGATAGAATTTACAAATATGTGATTAACAAAATAATTTATTATAACATTAAGTAAGATGATGAATTTATTAAAGCTTATAAGTAATAAGCTTAGTAGGAGTAAGTATTTATTAATATATTTGAAAAATTAGGATAGTAAAATATCGAAATTCTTATAGAAAAGTAATTAAATGAATCCAAAAGCATTTCAAATAAGCTAATGTTCTATTAATTTTAAAGATAAAATTAAAATAAATCAATTCACTTTTTCAAATTTTTAGCAATAAATGATACATTTGATAAGTTTGAAATTATGCGGTAATGTATTAAAGATAGTGTTAAATTTTTTGAATAATAATAATAATTCGATTCACTCTCTCATTAGCATCAGATTAATCTACTTTATCTTGAGTAAGCTTTAAAGAATAATACATAATTAAAAATGTCAAGAGTTGTTAAATAAAAAGAGATTTTTAGTAAATACCCAAAATAATTAATGATTTAAATGGAAGAATTTAACATTTCATTAACATCACAAATGGATATAGAATTAACTGTTTAAGAATGGTTAAAAAATAGAGGAGATAAAACCAATTTTAAGAAATTGCTTCCATATTATTTTAATATTATAAAAAGAGGAGAATCTCCAGAAGATTTTTTAGCCTTAATTAACAAGAATATCATTAAAACAAAATAAAATAACAATAATGAAACATTCAACTTAAAATCCTTATTTTAATTACTTTACAATAATTCAGATAAAGAACTTCAAGTGATGTTATTAAAAATACACTCAAAAAATTATCCTGTTCCATTACTTTATCAAAATCCTTAATTAGAAAATAATATAAACTCAATTTTAGACTATTATGTATTTAACTCAAATATTTATTACTTATTATCTAATGATTTTACAATTATTAATTGTTGTTTAAGTAAAAATGTAAATTAATTTGGGAAATCTGAATTAATGAACATGATATTTTATGATGATTTTAAAGATTTAAAATTTGAAGTTTCTGATTCATCTTCTATGAATTAGAATTCGATAGATTGTTAATTTGATTTTTCTTTTAATGGTAGCAGAAATTATTTAGTAGCTGATGTACATGGTTAGTTGGAAGATGAAATATATGTAAAATTGCTCCCTTTTTTTAAACTTTGGATAATTTAAATATAATCAGAAAATTAATTTGAAGAAAATTTAGATAAATTGATAGATTTGCTTAAGAAAACTAGTTTAAAACCTAAAATTATTCTTATTATAAGAGACTCAGAACTACAACAACTCAATAAAGATAAATTAAGTATGCTATAGCAATAAAGTTTAAATATTAAAATCCATTAGATTCCAAATCTATCAAAATTGGAGAATAAGGCTATAATAATAGATGAAAGATAAAAAATAAAAGAATTTATTGTATAAATGATAGATAATTAAAACAAAGAAGTTAATGAAAAAGAGTTACAGAAATAATTTTTAGAAATCTGCAAATCCTTTAAGAAAGTATAAGATAAAAATGATAATTCTGAAATGATTATTAATAATCTATCAAAAGAATTAGAAAAGATGATAAAAGAGCGCGATGGGTTTTATTCTATTGAAGCATTTCCATTAAGACATCTATAATGGCGAATGTAATGCTACAAGAAATAAAAATAGGAATTAAACTATAAAAAAATTTAATATGAATAAGAATTAGAAAAAAAACAAAATGCTATAAATAATTTGAAAAAAGAAAATATTGATTTTGAATCAATAAGTGAAAAAGAAAATGAAAAAGAGTAGATTAACTAAAACATTAAATAAGCTTAATAAGAATTACAATAGATTATATTGAAAATTAGTAAAATTGAGTAATAAAATAAATTATAGAATTATCAAGAATCAAACTTAATTATATAATTTAATAATATCTTTAATTACGATAACTTTTATATAATATATTTAAGATTTGTTGAATTAATTGCAAAATTTAACAAAAGAAATTTTTAACAATTAAATAAAAATATCTAGGAAATAAAACAAAAACTTGCATCATTAAAAGAAGAGTAACAAAAAGAAAGATTAAAATTACTAATAGATTTGAAATAATAAGAAAATTAGATTATTATGTAAACTATTACCATTGAATTATTTTGGAGGGAAGTAATTTAGGGCAATAGTTCCTTTAAAAATAATCCAGTAACTACAGTATGTAATTTGATTAAGAAAGGAGAGCCTTTTGAATTTTTAAATGGTGACGATTTTAGCATAGATTTCAATTTTTTCCATGAATTACGAGAGTAACTATTAAATAATGAAAATAATAAAATTTTATTTTTGAGTATTTTAGGCCCTTAAAGTTCAGGAAAGTCTACCTTGTTAAATAGAATTTTTGGATGCCATTTTTTAACTAGTATGGGAAGATGCACAAAAGGATTATATATATATATGCTAAAAATATCTGATAGAGAATAATTTGGTGGATTATTTGATTATATTGTGTTATTAGATACAGAAGGATTATAAAATCCTCATTAAAAAGATCCTGAATTCGATAAGAAAATTTCTCTTTTAATAATTTCAATAAGCGATGTTCTTATCTTTAATGTTAAAGGCGAAATTCATTCAGCCTTTCATAATCTTATTGAATCAAGTTTTTACACTCTTGCAAAATTTTCCAATTCAAAATTTCTTAAGAAATTTGCTTGGTGTTTCAATTAAAATAGTTAGACTAATGATGATGAAAAAGATAAATTATTAAAGTAAATTGAAAGTATAGGATAAAAACTAGACTCTGAAAACATTATGGTTGTTGAAGAAGGAAAGCAAATGGATTATACTAAGTACTTAGATATAACAAAAGAAAATGTATATATACTAGGTATGGCAACCAATTCATAAGAATGGAAACCATATAACTTACAAAAATAGAATAAATCTTAAATCTCAGAAATTAAATAAGAAATAAATCAGTAAGAATACTCAAAAAATGCCTTATCTTTTGGAGTATAAATAATAAAAAAATATATCGATAAATATAAATAATCAAAATAAAATCATCATGAAATTTTAACTTGGAATGCATTTGTTACAAAGGTTGAATAATATTGGGATATAGTCTCAAAACTACCTGATTTAGTTGAATTTTCAGATTTAAAAGAATAGAAGGATTATGAATAGATAAATAAAAGTGCTAAAAATAAAATATCAAAGGCTAATGAGAAGTTATAGGATTTTGATAATCTCATTCTAGAAATATCAGCAAAAAGTAAAACTTATAATTCTTTATCAGATTTTGATTTATTACAAAATGAAATTAAAAAAAATTTCCTATTGTCATGTGATAATTAAAAACTGGAGATTTTAAAAGAATTATAAGGTGAGTGTTCATATCAAACTATTTCAAAAGAGATAAGAAAAAAAGTTGAAGGCAATATTGAAGAAGCGTATTCTGCAATCAGTTTAGAAGGATCCTTGATAATTTTATAAAAGATACATTAATTAAGGAGATTATTTCAATATAATCTTGTTCCTACCAAAATTTAACAAGCTGTGACAGAAAGATTAAATGATTCTAAAGAATTACAAAATTTAAAAGAAAATTAAGATCAACTAAATTAAGAATTTGAATAACTTTGGAATTAACTTGTTTAAAGCTCAAATTATGAGATTGAAAACCTACATGCAGAATTTTAAATAAAATTATTTGACTGCTTTTTGAAATATTAAACCTAATTCTATTGTAAATAAGATGATTTATAAGATATTATAGATTATTTTATAAAAAACATAAACTAATAAGATCCTAATGCTAATAAATAGAAAGAAATAAAAGAAATTTGTAAGAAATTCAATTAAGATATGAAAAATAATTCTTTTTATCATCTTAATAAATAGAGTAAGTAAGAATATCAATTTATCTTTGATGAAGAAATTTAAAAAAGACTTGAAAATATGCCATAAAATCCTATTATAAACCCAATGGATTATTTAGAAGCGATAACCGTTTATTATTGTTTAGAAAAAAAAGAAATTGTACATAGCATAAAAAATAATTTAAAGTAAGAATTAATCTAAATACTAAAAGAGGAAAAAGGTTAAAAATAAAAATAACAAGATTTTTAAGAATTATTCACATCTTTGAAATAATTACCTATATAATTTGATGATAGAATGGAAAGAGATATTCTAAATTAAATTAATACAAATTTTGATACTTTCTAAAAAACTCTTCAATCCAATAACATTTTGTAAAGGGTTCAGCCATCTTAAGGTTAATATCAAAAATCTTAACTTAATCAAGTGTAATCTAGAAGTACTTAAAATAATCCCTTATCCAGCTCTCAACAATAGGTAGAACCTAGCACATCTAATATTGATAATCTAATAAATTCAATATAAATATCACAATCGCCCTCCCAACAAATAATTAAATCCATTAAATATTACATCCTGAAAAAATTTCCTGATTTACAAAAATTTCAATCTATAAATGATATCGATATAAAGCTATAAGATAATTTATTCGTCTTTAATGTTCAAAAGTAAATCAATTATAAAAAAAGTTAAAAACTTAATTATGAAAACTTTTTTGATTATGTTATTAATAAAAACACAAATAAATCCAATTAACAAAATTTTTACTAGAAATTTCCATCTTAATTTTTAGAAATTATGAATGAAAACTAAGGATGGAATAAATTATTCGAAAATATCTACGAGATTATACATAAATAATTTGAGGAATCGTTATATTCTAAAGATAATCAAAAATAAGATTATTCTAATGTCTTTTAAATAATTTCAATGAATGAAAATGTGACTCAATATAATAGATAATTAATCTAAACAATTATTAAAAAAGTGGAAAATATTCTTGAAGCAACTTCTAAATAATTAGCCTTTTTCGGAGTTGAATTTCATCCAGTAATTATTCGTAAATTGATTTTTTTCTCATTTTTTATTATATGGAGATTTATTTGTTATGATAAATTGAAAATGTATAAATAAGAATAAGACACATTTATGTAAAAAAAAGCTATAATGAAAAATAAATTTGTAAGTGGTCTAATGAAAACAGAATAAGAAGAAATCAACTTATTAGCAAAAGAATATCCAAAATAGATATATAATTAATGTATTATTTAGTTCTACAAAGATAATAAGAATAAAGTAAGAGATATCATTAATTCTAAATAAAAAACATCTTCTTAGATAATTAAATAGTTAGATTAATAATTACTAATAGAAAAGATGGATAATATAATTTCTGGTTAATAAATTGAAAGCTCAATAACTGAATACCTTACAGATTAAAGGGGATTTATTAAAAAATATGTTGAGCAATTTATATAAAATCTTTAGAAAAATATAGAAAATTAGTTTTTAGTTTAATTTTATGTTGAAAATTGCTTGAATTTGATTAAAAATAATGCATCAATCTTACTAAATAAAGTTTTATAGTTATTTAAGAATAAGGACTTTGAAATTTAAGAAAATTTTGATAAATACATGAATTAAACTCTACCATTAGATTCAATTTTTAATTTTATTAGAGGTAAAGATGTTGAGAAACTTTAAAATTTTCAATATCAATAGATATTATTAGGATACTAATATAAAATAAGTTAATATCTCTATAGAATAAACTTCAAATAATGATATTTCACTATTTTTAATGCAGCCATTCCTGATAGAATTTATATCTTAGATTTCAATTTTATCTAATGAAAGTAAAAAATTAAAAACTTCCATTGATGAATTTTAATTAAAATGGCTTTTTAAAGAATTGGACAATAATTTGAATGGTTGTGAGCATTCATGTCCAATGTGCAATAGAAAATGTGATTATTTATATTATTAAGAAAAGGATCATAAGCATAAGTGCACCAATGGACATTAATTAAGAGGTATTAATCATTTATATCCATAAAGGAATGAATAGAATTTTAATCAGATCGTCTCCATCTCTCTTCACTTGTGAGGAAATAAATGATGAAGCAGAAATCTAAATAAAAGAAAATCTTAAATTTAAAACTTGGAGAGAAATCAAATAAATTTATAATTCTTGGAGTTTCAAGGATATTTTATCAATACAATAGGTCTAAGAAAATAAATAAAAAATGATTGATATTTGGAATGGAGGAGTAGGTTAATAAATTTGCTAATAATTATCAAAAGAATTATAATAAGAAATCATCTATTTAAAAAAACATGATCTTCCAATGCATTTGCAACATAGCTCAACTCATTATATTTTCATACTCGATGATTCTGGATCTATGTAACATCATTGGACTTCAGTTATCAAGTGTGTTAAATCACAACTTGAACAAATAAGTAAGAAAGAAAATGTTAAAGTCAGTGTGGTTATATTTAATAAAGATGCAAGAATTGTTGTAAATTGTTAAACAGTAAAATTTGAAGAATAGCTAAAATTACTTATTTTTTAAAATGGTCCTGATACCAAATTTGGGCCTCCATTTAAGTTAACATTAGATCTTATAAAATAAAATTCTGAATTCAATTAGTATTTATATTTATTTATCTTTAAGATCAGTCATTCTTTTTTATACTGATGGACAAGCTGAATATCCAAAATAAGAAATTGAATCGTTTGCCAAATTATCAAAATCTATAAAAGATAAAATTTACTTTTTAGCATGTTCCTAACCTGAGAAATCTTTATCATTAGAAATGATTCTTAATTTTTGTCAAAATGAATTTACATATGCAGAATGGAGGGATAAAATTTAACCATCTAATATTGATATTAATTGGACAGAAATGATATCTAACACACATCTGGAAAAATATAAAGCGTGATATTTTTATAAAAAGTATAAATATAAAAATTTTTAATTTGTAATCTTTATAATTACTTAATTGATCTCCTCATCCTTTAATTATTTATTAAAAGACTTTTTCCAATTCTATTTATATTTTGAATCAAAATAAGTTTAACATAGAGTTTTATAAATTATTATTATAAAAAAATAATTGATCAATTTGTGATCTTAAATTTATAAAATATTAAAATTTTCAGAAGTTTTCCTTAAGTTGATTTATTGTTAAAATTGTAGTTCGATTCCTCTCAGTTATTTATATAAAAACTACCACCTATTGAAACTAGTAGTGGATTCGTATAATTTTAATTGAATTTAATTATCTTATATAATTCAAAATTTTGAATAGTTAAAATAGAATTGAAGGTAGAATTAAATTTATATTGATTTATATTTTTTAATTTTATCGCTAATTAAAATATTAGATTAAAGTTAAATAGTGAAAAATAATTATAGACAGAAATATATTATAAAATTAAATCTCTTTTTGGTTTTAAAGTATTTAATATATTAATATATATTATTCTATTAAGAAAATGAGAATAATGATTATTTAATTTTTCCATAAAATCAATTATTTTTTAATAATTATCAAAATAAAACTATTTAAAAATATGATTAATATTTTTTAATATTTGAACAATTAACAGTTTTTTGAATAGTTTCATTTTTCTGCGATTAGTTAATTGTATTAGTTTTAATAAAATATTTTAAAAATTTTTTTTTGATCTTTTTGAATATAAAATAAAAGTGAAGAATCAATTCAATTGTTAAAGAGCATAATTCAACAAAAATTGCTAGTAAGACCAAGGATATTATTAACCAACCAAAAACATCTTTGTTCTTATCTATAAATTTAATGTTTTTTTGATCATTAATTGCAAATACAATTACTATAAAAAAAATTGAACTTATACTAAGATTTGAAATCATATTCAAATAAAAAATTTTTTTTTTTTTCATATGGATTTTAATAAAGTAAAAAAACTACTCCTAATGAACTAGATCCAAAACATAAAGTTGTTTAGACAATAGGAGTATTATAATAATTAACCATTTAAAAAATATAAAGAATTTTACCTATTGATCCAAAAAATTAATAATAAAATCCATATTAATTTTTAGTATTAAGATTTTAATAAAATAATAAAAACTTCTTTTCTTTAATTTATACATTCCTTACTAATCTGAGAATTATTAATTATTAGCTAAAATTTAATGAATATTAAGTATATTGTATTATTAATACAATTAAAATATAATAATGCTTATAGTTGTGAAAGCAAAAAACTAGTTTAAACTAACAATAATGTTTGAAGAATTCGTTGAAAATGATAATTAAAGTAGAATTGCAAGAGTTTAATAAAATTTTAGAATTTTGATCATTTTATTAGAAAAAATAATATAAAAAACATATCATTTAAAATAAGAATAAAATAATTTAGAATTTCTTCTCTAATGTCAAGTTAGCATAAGGAAATAGTTTATTTTATTCTACTTTTAAATGAAATAAGAATGGATTTTAATATTCTTGTAATGGATTTCATTTAAGGATTTTAATATATTTATTTTTGATCTTATTTGATTTAATCTTATTTGATTTTTTTGATTTAAATATTAAAAATGCTAAAATGTTTGGCTTTAATTATTATTTTTTTTGAAGAATTTCCTTTAGAAATGAAAATATCAAATAGTAGTTAATGAAATAAAGAATGATAGCTGAAAGTATAAATATAAATGGAATTTGAATATTGTTAAAGAATAATGGATCAATTCCTTTGTTTTTAAATTTGATTGGGAGCTTCAAAATAGTAATTACAATCAGGTTAATTCAATTCTTGATAAGTTGGAAAACTAATGAAAGATGACCAGTCACAATTTAATAAAAATATTTCTAAATTAAAAGGATAATTGACATGAAGAAAGTAAAAATTATTGATCCAACTTAATATCTCCAATACCGCCCATTAATATTCAAAAAGATTAGTAACAATAGAAATTGGTATTAAAATAAGAAAGATAAAATTAAAGGATAATTAAACAGTTTTTATTTAATCTTTTAATATTACTTCATCTTCGCTTAAAACAATATATTAATTTGGATCTATATCAAAATGAAATACTAAACTATCTTATTCATAAAGCATCCTATTGGTGACTTTGGAATATTATATTTTCACATGAATTGTATTGAATTTAAAACAGACTTCATGAAATGAAATTATAATTTACAAGTTAAGCCATCAACTTGTTTGGAAGTATCAGTGTAAAATTATGATTCAATATTTTCTATAATAACATTTGTATTGTTGCATAGAAGTATAATATGTTCTGAAATATTAATTAGATTTAAATCATATGTATTCTTATCAAATACATAATAACTCTTAATTTATTTAAGATCCTCATTAAAATATTCTAAATAACATTAAGAGTCACAGCCATCACCATCATTTTAGTTATGATCATCACATTATTCATAAAATTACACTTAAATTCCATCTCCACAAATTGATATACATTATTTAGATTTAATATCTGCAATTAGACCAGGAGTAGATTCACAAAAATTACAATCATTTCTAAAACAAGAAGTACATACACATATTGGATTATTTATTGCAAGTAATGCAATTTGTATCACATTAAAAACATTTATCTTCAATTGGATAAGAACCATCTATGCATGAGAGACATAATAATGATATATTATTGAATGTTGTGCATTTAGTGCATTAATATATCACAAGTACGAAAAATAGAAAAGTTTAATTATCCAAAAATGTATCCTTTCTAAATTTTACAATTTATACATCCTTAATCTTCTTTAATGTCACATTCTTCTTCTATTAAATTAAGTAATCCATCTCCACAAATTGAAATACAAACATCATTTTCTAGAAAACCATCTTAACATTTAAAAATTTGCCTAAATGGCTTACTGAACAATGTTACTTTGATAATTCTATTGTATCATCGCATAGTTAATATTAAATTAATTTACAATTTGAACAACCACCATAATTATTCAAATTACCATCATCACATTATTCATTACCTTATAAAATAGAGTCTACACAATATGTTTCACATAAGTTTTTTATTTAATTTAAATAAAAACCTTATGCACATTACAAACAATAATCATTGATGCAAATATTACAATATAAAATGCAAGAGAATTGTATTATATTAAAATCAGATGATAAATTATAATCTACTCTTGTAATATATATATCAAAAGGATGTATTATTATCTATGATTCTAAACATTCCCCTCTAATACAAACTTCACAATTTTCTTAAGATAAATATTTACAATGTGCTATAATATTTCCCTGAAATTATATTTAAAGTTAAATAACAGTTATTAAATTTATGGAGCATTTTTGCATATTTATAACAACATTTTCCATCTAACCAAAAACAATATTGGTTTTTTTTAATTTTAGACGCAGTATATTTCTAATATTAATCCTAACAATTATTTCCTTCCTCAACACATTTTCCTCCAATCAAAGCTGTACATTTTGAAATTTGAGCTATACATTAAGAATCAGAGTTAAATATTTATGGTAATTTCGAATATTCATCTGCAACCTAACATTTTGCTTATTACTTTTAATTTATATAAAATTATAATCAAACATGAGGATATATTATTTTTTGTTATATTATTCTTATTTAATCATTCAATAAGAATAAGAATAATAATACCTGTTTATGACTGAACTTCTCTTTTTTATATTCTTGCAAAACATTCTTTAAGATCTAATAGAAAAATGATTTCTGAAATATTTAATATCAATAGATATGTTGATAATATAGGGTAAAATAATATTAATAATTATTGAATAAAATGAATTTTTCAATAATAATTTCAAAGTCCAATTTCTGTATTGATATAACCAATATTTCTCATTCTATATATTTAACAAAAATATAAAAGCATATCAATTAGAAAATTATAATGTTCATTAATGAATAAATCCATTTTCTTGAAGATTATCTAATTTAGGAAGCATATAAGCAATCTCATAAGATCCATTTGAAAATCATTCTTGCATATAATATTCGCATAGAAAGTATTTCAATTTAGAACAAGTACAATATCATCAGATAAATAAGCTGAGATTGTCGTGATAAAACTAAAATAATTTCTAAAACAATTTATATACATACAATGATCCAAAAACTTCAGTATTCAAGGATAAGAGTGATAAGGACGTAAATTTAATTGTCTATTATTTGCAAAATCAAAATTTAAACACAAAGCATATGATCCACATTTAAGAAGAAACCTTTTCTTTAAGATATTGAGTTTTACTGAAATATAATTATTGAGTAATTAATGATGTATAAAATAATAACTAATCATATCTAAACTAGAATGATAGAGACTTACTCATGAAAATTTGCATAATCACTAAGTAACTGAATGCTGTTATTTAAGGGGTTGATTAAATAGAATTAAATGAATTAATATCAATTGTACACACATTTTAATAATTTGGATTATAAGAGTCTAAAATAAAATTAAGGGAGGCTATATTACTAATTTTAAATATATTAGTAAATTTATAAGGAATTTAAGATAAGTTTTGATCTGAAATATTTCCAAAAGAGTCGAAAGAAAAACTTAAGCAATATTATGCCGTGTCGTTTTTACATATAAAAGATAACATTAAATTATTAGATATTGATTTCAAGTCTCATTGAAATTCAATTTAAAATAATTTTAAGGTTAAAGAAATGCAAAACACTAATTGAAAGTTTAGAGCACATAGTTGTTTTACAGAACAAAAAATTTATTATTTACTGCAGTTACTAATGTGCAATTATGCATACATTATTTGAAAAGTGTAGTAAATCAGATTAATCAAGGTTATCAATATCAGACCTATTAGGAAAATAACAAAGACTTGCCTGCCTATCAAGGATTATAACCATAGTAATTATAAAAGTTCGATCAGTTAAATTTAAATCTTACATTAAAAAATTTTTCGTTATTTTAGTTTTAGAGATTATAATTAGAAAATTAATTTTCATTATTTATTTAATTTAGTTAAATTAAGTAGTTAAATTTAACAAAGTATTAACAGTATAATTATAAATCATTTATGGGTAAGAGCGTTCAAATTTTTAAGATTAATTTACTTGAAGTTTACAACTTTTTTTTCTTAATAATGAATTGATCTAGTTTTCAAAATACAAAAAGATTATATAGACCATTAAGCAATGCAAATCAATTTCGATGATAAATTGAGTTTATAATATAAGCTTGGATGTTAAGGTAATAAAGGATTGTAAATATAAATAGTTTAATTTGAAATTGAACATAAAAAACAAGGTATCTGCTAGTATTTAACGATATCTTATACAATAAATTGGTCAGATTTTTTATAAAAAATATTTATTTTAAATTTGTTATACTCCAAACTTAGAAACAAAGATCAAGCCCTTAATTGCAAATATAAGATAACATTAATTATTGATTAACAATGTTGATATATTTAATTTAGAATTTAACATCTATGATTGAATTTGAAATTAGTGTATTATTTTAAAAGATAGACAGAATTATTATGACATTATTAATATTATTGATAAATAAACATTAACATAATTACTATGTATTTATAGCTATTTAAATAGGATTAAATTTTAGCTTATTGTCAGTATAAAATAATTTATTAATCATTTTTTCGTTATTGATTAATAAAGCAGTAAAATTAGTCACTATTAAATTTTTTTCATATATACAAAGTTATCAAATTATTACAAGTTATGAAAAATTAATAAAATTATTATTTAAAATTAAACTCTGAGGAGGAGTAATAAATGGATTGTAAAATGTTTATTATTAATATTAATAAAGTTAGATTGTATCATTATCACTAAGTCCTATTATAAATACTTAATAATTGTTTAAAGCACCTTATAATTACTGAGCCTAAATATTAATAGGTATATATTCATAATTTTTTTTATAAGAATTATCATTTATTAATAATTAACCAATTTATATTTATTCGTTTTTAACTCCAATAAAATATGAAAATCCATCATCTTCGTTGAATAATTAGGCCAAGGAAAATTATTGATTTGTAAATTCAAATCTTTTCTATAATTTTGTTTAATTAAACTATCCAAATTATTTATTATCTGTATTCACAGCATATTTCAGCAACTTGCCTGTATAGCCTACAAAGATTGATTCATCTTTTCCATAGCTGGTAATATATCTCTACTGAAGGAAATTTTTATTTTACATAATAATAAATTTGAAAACATCATTTATACTTATGTATTTGTATCATACTAATTTAGAATTGTCATAGACATAAATATTTTAAAAACACAGGTGAAAGTCAGATTATATAATTCAGCATAAATTTTAATATCATAAGTATTTCCTTAAACTTATTAATCTGTTAAATTTATTATAATTAGGGTATTTTCAATTAATATACAATAATTTATGTGTTAAATGTAAATAAAAGTAAAATATTATACTTGTATTATAGATAGTTATCATAAGTATTAAATATATTTAAGTGTTTTTATCAATTGCAATATAGCCAATAGAGGTCATGATATTGTTAATATAGTGTAAGATACATTTATGATTAAATTAGTTCGAATTCATTATCCAAAAAGACTAAATCAATTTTATTGTTGATGATAAATATTGTATATTGATATTCAAAAAGAATGTTATTTTAACATCCTAAGTATTCATTTGTTGCTATTCTTCCATTTTTAGGATAGAAATTAATCAATAATAAATCGCATTAAGAATAAGCTTAATAATCATAATAAACTTGAAAATTATCAGCTTCTGCTTCTTTTTACAAATAAAATGGATATGTTTATTCTAAAGTATAATTCTAACTAATGATAAAGTATGATATTTATTTTTTGTAAAGTATATATATATGGGTTTTCTCTTAATGGAATACAAATCTATATAAATTAATTTTAGTATGATGTTAAATTTATAAACTGAGATGAGAATAATGTTTTAATGGATAAATAGTGATGATATTATGCAAAATATTAAATAATGTGTTCATAGGATATTCTAAATACTTTCCATTCGTTAGATATAATGTATAATCTTCGTATTTCCATAAGAAACTTTGAACAATAAGGATTAAAGTGAAAAATATCATCTTCTATGATTATTATTATGAAAATTCTAAAAGAAAAATATTATGGACTTATAAAAACATGACCAAAATTTCCTCAAAATTCTCAGCCAATACTACTTACAATTTGTTAGATTTAATAATAAATGCTGAAATCCAAAATACATGAAAATTGAGTATTGTGATTTTTAACAATTTTTCACTAATAAAAATTGTTTCTTATTTATGAAATCCATTTAAATATACTGAAATGGACGAATTGCGAGTTATAACCTTAAAGTCTTAAAGCAAAGTAGTGTAAATGGGTAGGACAAAAATAAAATCTGATTTTCTAAAATAGATTTCATAAGAGCCAAATAGTTTACTTAGCAAAGTATGAAATCTTTAGCAGAAATTCTTGACGATATGAGAAAGGGAAACCTTAGAGATCATTAATGGCTTTCATCAATAACATTATCTATTGATGAAGTCATTAAGCTGTCTTAATATTAATTGCTTTATTTATTTCACTAATTCCTTTATCTACTTAATTAATTACAAAAAATCTCTCCCTAAACCTAAATAATTAGTATTTTCTGGAAATACAATTTAGTTTTCTTTAAAATATTCAAATATAATTATAAAATTAACTCTAACTGTTTGATTATAATCATAATTCTATTATAAAAAATAAATTTAGATCTTTCAAAAAATTTACTAGAATCAATCTTTGTAGATTTAGGTAAAATTAGATGCAAAAGTAAATTATATGAGGTGCTTTAAAATACTGTAATTCTTATAAAATATAAAGTAAAATTTAGAGAAATCAATAAATAGCTTTAAAGATATGAAGTTATTGGTTTTAAGTAGTATCAACAATAATCTTTATTCTTATTTTAGTACTTTATTAAAAAAAAAACATGAAGTTCAGGGTTATAGGAATTTAGGAAATAGCATCATATTCTTATTACTAATTAAAGTTGATTGGTATTTATATTCATTAAATATTAATAATTAAATGTTTATTACCTAATGAACTATATTTTATATTTTCAACATAAATTCACAATAAATTTTGATTTACATAAGGTCATAAAAAATAACTATTTATGCAAGTTCTATTATTTTATAGAATTTTTTGAAGTTAAAAATTTCATTTAATCTATTCTGTGAATATATTAAATTAATAAATTTTAAGAAATCTTCTGTTTTATTAATCTATTTATTTATCCTTGATTTTAAATACAAGTGTCAATGATAATTTTATCGCCTCTATGAAATATACAATTTTGATATCTCTTAAATATCAACATACCAGCTCTTTTTTTAGACTTTATATTTATGAACTTTAACTTTTTTGATTCTATCATAATATCACTTTTAATGATACTACCTAATGTTATTAACCAAAGTAAATAATATCGTATATTATTCTTAATTTTCTTTTTATTTATTTTATTATTCTTAGGAATTTTTTGTATACCCATCAATTTAGAAGGTAATTCTACTTTTTTTATTTAATTCATTAAATGGTGATGGGTGTATTAGTTAATAAAATTTGATCGATATACAAACAATTTTCAATTATTTTATATAATTTAACTAATATAAACATAAATGTTATTATGCTCTCTAATCACGATAATATATATTTAATATTATTTTTAATCCCTAACTAAAGTTATTCTGATTATTTGAATGGTTATTCTCAAATTTTTAAAACTTATTCTAATATTCAAATTTTCTGACCTTCTTGATTCAGAATAAAGAAATTGCCACATTTATCTAAGATTTTCTAATATCAAAATTTTTGTTTAACAGCATTATTAGTCATTCTATAAAGACAAGCTACATATATATGAATGAAATAGTTCAAATTTTAAACAAAAAAGAAATTCTTAAATAAAAGAAATGACACAAAGTTCAACCTTTTTATAGATAAATTTATTCATTTTATTCTATTGGAAAGTCAAAATTAGACCTTTTCGGTAATATGAGTTTGGGCAGAATCAGAGATAGTGATCCATTAAAGGTGGATATTTAGCATTTAATGGCACAATTTAAAAATATCTATATTCAATGCTACCTCAAAGTAAGTGGATAGACAAAGATAGAACACATGAAAAAAAATTCTAATAAACATACCACACAAAACAATCAGACGAGAAATTAGATAAAGGATATGTCAATTCAAAATTCGAAAATCAAAATATCAATTTGAAATACATCTTCAAAGATTTTCTAGTTTACTAAGTAGATAGAGACAGAAGAAAGTAAGGAATACTGTGAAATATAAAGATATTGAGATTTAATGAATACATTTTACTTTTTTGTTCACTTAAGAATTCAATAGAATAAAATAAAGATTAGGAGAATTACTAAAATGAACTTTCAAAATAATATATTTATAGTAAGATGATTTCAATTTTAGGATATAGCTGACAAGTGAGAAGGTAGATAATAAGGATAATACATCTAAGGGAAATTAAACTTAAAGAAATTTGCATCAGATAGGAAATAATATAAGGATATATCTTTTTTGTTTAAACTATTGACTATACACAATATAAATGTTAATTGATTCTCTTGAAATTTTATTATTTATATAGATGTATAAACCATAAATGATAGAAAATGAGAAAGAATTTCGTTGTTCTTAAGGACATAATCAACCAGTTGTTACAATAGCATTTGATCCATAATTGAAAATGGATTAGAGACTCTTGTGTGTAGAATGCGTAGAAAATTCATAAATAGATGGGAAAATTTATGGATTAAAAAAAATCATTTCATAAATGGAAGAAAATTAGATAAAGAAATTTGAAAACGTTGAAAAAATAATAATGATCCAAATACAATAATTTGAATCATTACAGAGTGTTGTTGATCAAATCAAATAAACAGTAATGCAATAATTAAATTAATTGATTAACATAATGATGGGATGGATTAAGAATCTATAATAATAAGGATAGTAATAATATAAATATAGTTTTTTCGAGGAATTAGAGCTAATGATTTTATCATAAACGAAAGTTGATTCCACCTCATAAAAATTAATTAATGAAATTTAGAAAATTAATATTTCTTCAACTTAAAAATTATATTCTAAATTAGAATATTTTAAGCAGTTTGAAGAATATAATAAATGTAAGGAACTATTGTCATGTTTTGACATAGATTGGTAATTATTAAAATAGATAGAAAGTAAACTATCATCATAAACTCCACAAAAAAATTAAAATGATGAATATATACTTCCATATAATGATTCTTGTTATGCAATAGCAATAAATAAAGATTGCTCAGAATTAGTGGCTGGATCTGATTCAAAAATAAATGTATTTGAATATAAATAAGGATTGCTGACATCGATTTAAACTTTATAGGAACATTAGAATAGAGTGAATATATTAAAATTTATGAAGAAATCAAATTAATTCATATCTGGAAGTGTTGATTAATTTATCATTATATGGTAAAAAGTTTAAAACAATTTATGGAGTTTAAAATATAAATTAATTGGTCATAGTTCAATTATCTATTGTTTAGTATTAAATTATGATGAAGATTTAATCATCTCTGGTAGTAACGATAAAAGTATAAGATTTTTGGACAAAGAACAATTAATGGTTATGTAATTAAGTAATTACAGATCATACTAATTCAGTATTTGGACTAAGTTTGAATTAATAATAAAATATATTAGTATCTTGTTGTGATGATGGTTAATTATTAATAATAGAATAATCTATATAGAATAAAGAATGAATTGTAAAATAGAAGATCAAAGTTGAACAATATGGATATAGAGTATGTTTTATTGATAATAATATGTTCATATTCTCACCATTTAATAGCGAAAAGCTTTTGGTATATGAGATGAATTAATAGTTTAAAAAGATTAAAGATATTCCTGTAATGTGTAAAACAGATGGTTGTTGTTTATTTCCTCAATAATATATTGATTCAAAAAGTATTCTTGTGAGTACGTCAATTTTATTAAGAAAAATTAAAATGGAGACTTCATAACTTACAATTCTATTCATTTTGGAACTTGTACCCTATTTGGAACAATTAGTGATGATGGATAACTTTTGATTACTTGTGATATCAAATCGAAATAAATAAAATAAGAGTAAATTAATAATGATGAAATATACATGAAAAAGTTTATATATGAATGGCATTATAATTCTTTTAGTTATCATGTTTTTTATCAAATATTATTTGATATCAGTATTGATTAATTATTAATATTGAATGAAATAATTCATAAACTAAAAGAAAAAAAACCAGGTTATATTTTGTAATTATAATAAAGAAACATGAATCAAAAGCTGATGATCTAGTATCAGGATTGTTCAAGAGTTTTATTTGGAGAATATTATTATTGAAAATAAATGATTTGATATCACAAATTAATAGTCATCATTTATATATGAATCAAATTTTAATTCTTCACCCCAACAAGAAATATTATTAAACCATACTTTTTTTTTGGTAAATTATATCTTCATTTAAAGTCCTCAACATCAAAATAAATGTACGAATTTCAATAATATAGTTAATTCAAAATACAGCAATACATCATCATATGTAAATTAATTAACAATAACTATATTTGCTAAAATTGTATAAATCTCCTAATAATGAAAATTAAAAAAATGGATTTAGGAAGATTAATTTAAAGTTTAAATAGATCTTTCGTAATTTAAGGACTATTAATACAGAAAAAGAAAAACAAGCTTATTTTGGGAATGGATTTAAAAATTGAAAGCATCTCTAAATTTTTTATTTTTCCAATCCATCTATAAGTGATTTAAGATCTAAATTTAATGGTTTTCTTATAATCATCTATAATAATGTAGCATCAGGATTCTATGTAAGAATGTTATCAAAAATAAAAATCCTGAAAAGGAATTTTTTCAGGATAATTTTAATAAGCATTATCCTAGAGGCAAATGTCATATTTAAGGAATTTTAGAAAAAATCACAATATGTTACGAGAATTTAAAATGAGAAGGGTAATTATTTAAGTAGGATAAATTTTTAAGCTTATGATAGTTATACATTTCTTAATAGACTTCCAATTTCATATAAATTAACTTTAAAAATTAATGAATTTTGGAAAAATATCATATAATGTTGTTATATATTATTTTTTTTTAATATCAGAGAAATAAGAAATAATTATTATAATAAGCAGATACTTAATTTCTTTATACTAAAAGAAATATTTGAAGTCAGAAACTCTTTAAAAAACAATAAGTCCCCCTCTAAAATTAATTTGGTAAAAAATAATTGAAACTAAACAGTATTCCACTCTCTTAATATTATTAACATAAATAATCTAGTAGTATATAATTTAATACAAAAAATTAATTTGCATTACAATTACAATCATAATAGAATGATATTTTTAAATTAATTATTTTCAAATAACGGAAAATTAGATCCTACAGATAGATAGTAATAGGCAATAAACTATATTAAATTTTACAATTTACTTTATTGCATTTTTCATTGGAGATCACTTAGACTGAGATTTCATCCATTTTAACTTCATCATCGTCATCTATTTATCTTTATTGTTTTTGAGCTATCATCTTTTTATTATTTAGATTATTATAATATGTTAAAGGACTTTTAGATCTGAGAATAATCAATTGATCAAGGTGAAGCAAATTTTGATAAATAAGTAGTAAAATGTTTTAATTCATTTGTAAATATTTAAATTAAATTTTATTACAATTTATTGATAGTATCTAGAAACATACATAGGTAATCATTTACTGAAAAATATTATTAATCTGTTACTTTATCTACTTGGTTATTTTAAATCAGATAAAATTGATTAGATAATGACTGATTCTTAGAATGCATTCAATAAAATATAAACAACAAAGTTGAATTAATATATGCTATATTAATTGCTAGTAGTGCTGAATTTAATTTTTTTTGGATTTTTTTATTTATTCTCTAAACTTATTAATTAACAAATAATAGACATTTATTTTTATCATTAGCTTTGGCTCTATTTTTTTTTGTAAAGAAAACCTTTTATTGATTCTTAAGTAAATTTGAGGTTCTCTAAAAAGTTTTATATTATTTTGTCTCTACCTTAAGTTCCAATTTCTGTTTTTTAAACTATTTAACGTTAAAATTATTATGTTTATTTTATGTTTATCTTTCCTTATTTTTTAATATTTATTTCAAAATAATCTTAATAATTGTAGAAATTAGATTCAAAAATTTGGGTAAATCTAAATATTATCGAATATAATTCCATCCTTACGAACTTGATTTTGAAGTATTTTTTAAAAGAAAATTAATTATTTATTTTTCCCGTTATTATAAATATAAGAGTATTTATAAATAATTAATTCCTTATAATATTTGTATATATAAATAATTTAGAATTGTATCAATTGGAAAAGCAAGGTGATTATAAGAATCGGCAATATAGTTAGTATATTCCATATTTTCCAATTAGAATTAATAAGTAGCCTTTGTCTAAATTAATTTTAATTTCAAATAAAGCAAGTTGGAAACTAATGTTATCAGCTTTAAAAGATTATATTATGAGAAGTAACTGCTTTAAGAATATTTTTCAATTCAAAGTTTTTCTGTTTTAAAAAAATGAAAATATTGTAGTAATAAAATAATGAAAAGTATGAAGGACATATTAATATTATCGATTGACTTTAATGAAATTAGTATTCAAAAGAATAATCAGCTATTTGATTAAGTATAGTACAACTTATATGATTTATATAAAAGCTAAAAGGAGTCATATAATTATATAAAATAGGTTATATTCATTGGGATCTTATAACAATAATTTTTATTTATTTTGAGTATTCAATGAGTGATAGTAGTAAAATTACTACTTTCTATAATTATGGTTAAACTATAATTGAGAAAAAGAATCTATTAAAATCTCTATCCCAATATTTATGATAATCCTGAATTTAAACTTTTTAAAAGGCATAATCCTAGTTATAGAGCAAAATTACAGAATAGCATTTTCAAATAGGTCTACAGAGAAAAACTAAATTTTCAGCAAAAGAAAAATTCTTATTTAAATGAATCTTTAAATTTATATATTCTATATAATTATATATATAATTTGGTTCAAATTTTCAAGAAATAACTTTCTGAACTAAAGTTAATTAAATGCTAAATATCTACATTATCTTATAATCATTATTCCCCAATTCTTTGTTCTTGATTATGCCCCATATCTCATTTTTCTATCCGTTTTTGTATTCTTCAATTAAATAACAATTTTTTTGAATTCATCTTTATTAAATCAAAATAATAATTGCTAAAATAGTCACTCAATTCTTTCTAATCTATAATATAAATTGAATTAATTTATACCTCGAAAGACTATCCCTTAATTCAATCCATTTATTATTTTATTCCATTTTCTTTATATACTCTTCCTTCATTAATTGTCAACAAACTTTTATTTTTGACCACATAATACCAAGTTCCTATTCTAACTACTGTATTCTCCAATTTCATAAATTTTTGCATTGATTTTATATCATTCTAATAATAAATACTCCCTAGAGTTCATTTCTAACCATTTTCAGGATAAATTCTCCAAATTCCAGTTCCAATCCACAGTCTACTTTCTTATTTTTTAGAAGCTGTGAATCCTTTAATTTAGCCAAGTAAGATACTTTATTTGTTCTAAATTAGTCATTATTTATATTGGTCACTTAATTTATTATTTTACTTACATCCTAATCATTTTCCCATCCACTAGATATAGAATTTCTTTTTTTATAGATTTTTGACTTAGAATTTTATTTTTTTAAATATGATCTCCGTTTTTGTTAGGAGTTAAACCATCCCTGATATATATTTTTTTGATACATAAAGGAAATGAGTCTATTTGCTAATTATAGTTTTGTATCATTAATATTAAATAATATATCTCACTTAATGAAAAATAAATAGTAATTAATCTCTATATATATTAGTGATATTGAAATTTAATGATAAATACAAACTAATATATAATGGATTTATTAAAATTAATAAGATTAATTAGATTAATACTTAATATTAAATGAATATTTGCGCTGGCCATCAATTAATTCAAAGAAAACTTTCTAAAGGTGTAAAAGGAGTATGATGTAGCTGCTTTCTATTCATAAATTAGAAGACAAAGTCATGAAAAAGTTGAAATAATATGATCAAAAGTATTAAAATCTAACTTAATCAATTATAAAATATTTGATATGAAAATATAAAAAGATTAATATTATTATAATTTAATATTTATTGTTTTTTTTTGATATATATTAAATGAGATATTGTTTTTAAATTATATATTGAAATGTAACTATTAATCCAATTGTAGTTTTGATATGATAAAAAGTTTAAATATAGTTTTTTTCTTACATGGATACGATAATTTAAGTAGTAATAATTTATTATTAAATGATAAAATATTATTTAATTTAAGTACAAGATAGAGTTTAATCTAATATTTTAATACTGCTAATTTATTTCATAAAAGGATAACATCTATAGTCATAAATGGAAAATTAAATTTGTTATAGTCACTCCAAAATATCTATATCTAGATCAATCCGTAATTACTTTAGTTGAAATGGATACTTGTGCAGCTTTATTTGACTGTTTAGATATCTTTTATATCTATTTAATATAATTATTAACTGATGTATCTAAAATTTGTTGTAATCTTGATTTTAAATTATCAGATAGTTTCTATCATAAGGTAATGTGCATAGTTTATTTCATATATATATTTTCCAACAATCGTTAATCTCGTATCATTAGCAATCAATATAGATTTGAAGTTTGAATTTTAAAGAAAACCTATATTTTTATATCATATATTATTGTAGTTAGATGATAATCAATCTATATATAATCATTTCCAATTAGAAACTTTTCGATAAACCAATTTAAAATGAGCCATTTTATTTACAACCAATCCATTTTAATAAATGAAGGAAAGTTTAGTTTCATAAGTAGCTTAATTATACAAATGGAAATTAATAATTTATTGTATTTTTTTATAATATAACCTTTTTGCAATAAAAAACATAATCTCTTATTTTCATTTCATAAACCTATAGTTTCTTGTAATGTATATATTTGATTAGCCTTTTATAACAATTTTGTTTCCTCTCTCTTTAGAATTATAGAATTTGCCCATAATTTTTTGACTTTTATAGATTTTCATTCCTTATCTATCTTTATTTGCTTAATTATTAAGTAATGAATTCTGTTACTGTTAAAAACCGTTTTTGATTTTCGTAGCAATCTTGAAGCCATTTAGCCTTGATATTGTTTTCAATATCTCCCTATATTTTTCCAACTACCACTAAATAAAAAAGTGGTTATCTTAAGAATAAAAAAATCACTTTGATTGATTTTTTCTTTTGCTGATTTATAAATCTATTAATCATAGATGTTCTATTCCTTAAAGAAGCTGTACTAGAATTGTGATTATCTTTCACAACATCTACTGCCTATTTTCTGTTTTCCTATACTAATCAATTAGCTTTTTCAATTCTCTATTTTTTTATTCCTTAATGATTCATCTAATTATTCAGATGTTCATTAACGACTATATTAAATACTTATTTACTACTAATTAAAGGTACACTTTGATGTTATTATATTTTTAAAGCCATACTATCACTTCTACCTGTTCCACCTTCCATAATAATTTATTACTTGTTATTATTCTATTGAAGATTGTCAAAGAAATATTTTGGCAGCTATGTTTCTTAATTTCTTTTTTTAATTAATATTTATCTAATTGATGCTTTTGATTTTCTGAAGGAAGTACATATACTAAAATATAAAAATATAGTATGACTTCATCATTCAAATCACACAACTCTAAATGCGAAAGTTTTAAAGGATTATAAGTTCTATTTGAGCCAAAGGTTACTTAAATAAAGTTCAAATAAATAATGTTTATTATTTATATTATTCTATCTCAAAATACTTTAACTATTCTTTATTTATAACCATACCATAATTATTTCAATAATATTTTTTTAATTCCAGGATCCTCAATATATAATAATATCAGGTCATAATTATTTATCTTTAAATCGAAATCATAATATAATATATAAGAAGAAGTTAAAAATCCTTAAAATATCATTTTTGATGATTATAATTAAACTTAGTATTAATATTTAATGTTTTATAAGCGTTATTAAAATTTTTCAAATTCAATTATTTTTTATAGAATTTTCATAGATTATTTAAAAGAAAGTTAAAAAAAAAATGGGAAATATTGAGGATAATAATTCGAAAAAAAAGAAATCTGGAATTTCGGCTTCATAATTTGGAGATATTTTTATTAAAACTGATAAACAATATTATTTCTCAGGTGAAGTTGTTTATGGTATAATTGATATTTAAAATTATGTAGGAAATATCTATTTAAATGTAGTAAGGGATGGATATCCAGGATGTATTGTTTATTTGAAAGTTTCAGGCAAAGAGAAATGCAAATGGACAGAAACAAAAAAACGTATATCAACTGATGAAGAAGGTAATACTTCCGAAAGCACAATTACTCGTACATATACTGGGAAGTCAAATATTTATTAACATAAGTTGGAATTGCATAATTTTTAAACTCCTTCACTACCATAAGGTTAATTTGTTTTTCCTTTTTTATTTTAACTTTTCTCTCATCTACCTGGTTCATTTTATGAAAAGGATTTAGCATAAATTAGCTATAAAGTGAAGGCTGTTGTTTTATCTAAGAAATCCTCTTATAATTGTATTATTAACAGTCAAAGATTAATCATAAGAGAACCTATACGATAAAATAAAAAACCTTTGATTGGTCAAATGTAGGTACATTCCCAGAATTGTTGTTTTCCAAGTGATGAAGTATTAAATATATTCTATTTATAGGCTTGTCATATAAATTGTAGTATTGATAAACTTAATTATCTTCCAGGAGATGTAGCATAGTTAGAAATTACCATTGATAATTCAAGCTTAGATGAACAAGTGAATTCCATTTCTATACTTTTATTGAATACTTTGACATTAACAGATGATAAAGGTCACTAAAAGATCTAAAATGGAATTGTTGTATAGAAAGTGATATAAGGAGTTCCATCAAGAGGTAAGGATAAAAAGAATGTACAATTTATTTTGCAAAATAATAAATCACCTTAAGAATTATAACCATCAGCAAATGGCCATTTAGTCAATTCAGTTTATTCATTATAGATTAAGATTAATTTAGATTGTATAAAAATTTTATATTTTAGCTGATTCATGCTGTTGTAAAGAGGATCCATCAATTAATTTTCCTATTTAGATTGTTGCTCAAGTGCCTAAGTTAGATCCAATTGTAGAAGAACCTCCTAATTGGAATCCTTAAGTTTTTGAAGTATAAAAGGTCTATCTTACTGATAGAAATAAGGAAAAAGTTGATAATTAAGATGGATCAAATGCACAAAATTTTAAGTTTTAATCTTATAATCGAAATTAAATATAGGTTATGTAGTAGCAAATGAAGGAATGATTATTTAATATTTCATAGTAAATGATATATATGAATTATAATCTTCAATTTCATCGATTTTTAAGAAATAAATTGAATATAATCGACTTACAATAAGCAGACATGATATTTCAGATTATATCCATAAAATATAAGGAGATAGATAATTTAGTATTTTTGTATTCTTTAATTAAATAAGGAAATTACTCGGACTCATTTAAAACATGTATAGATAATCATTATAATACTATAAGCTAGATAACTAACAATGATTAATTAAACATATTTTATTTCCTAAATCTTCATTCTTAATTTCTTGAACTTTTTCAATTTTTATTAATTATTTGTTGTTTCTTTAAAAGATAATTGTTTTATTTCCAGAACATGAACCTATAAATTTTAATGATATTTTTGAACAATACCTTAAATTTATTTTCCTGATTTGCCAAATAGTCTCTTTTTCATTTCCATCACTATTTTGACGCTAAGCTACTCACATCATAATTGCTCTGTCTTCACTTGAAAATCTAACTATACCTCTTTCTTATTATGTAAAATTTACTCAGTTTTTCTTTTTCCAACAAATTATGTATTAATTTTTCAAGTAGTTTTTCCAAATTCATTGATCATCACTGCTTTCTGACTTCGATTATTAATAAGAATGAAAGAAACTTAAGTAATTTTAACATTAAAAGGGTTTTAAATATTGCAATTCTTGAATTGTCGCAGCATTTCTAGATGAAAATGCAAATAAATTCCCTTTTCTGTTTGACCCTATTGCTACAAAAATTTTCTCTATTTTTCTTTTAAAATTAATTAATAATATATAATTGATAATATTCCTTCAATAATTTCTTATGTTTAGGCTTTTTTTTAATTTTCTTCTAATTCATCTTGTTAAAATTATTTAACATAAAATAACAATCATATTGGTCTTGAATTAATTATAGTCTTTAGTTAAAAATTATTAAACTAAATTATTGCTGATATCCAAAAATATGATGAAAATGAAAAATACAAATTTCTTAAATATATTTTAGCCTAATATTGCACTAGTGGCTTAAAGATATAAAGTAGTATCCAATCAACTAAATAAATTCTATAAGTCAAGTTATAAGTATATATGTGGTTTTTAGAAATCATTCTCTCTTAAATTTCTTCATCTATATTGCTTCCTTCTCCAAAGTAATTATTAAGGCAATAAAAGAAAATAATAGGCAAGATAGAATCATAATAATTAAATCGAATAGTTTTTTCATCAACAGTCCTAATTTTATAAATTTAATAATAATATTCGTTACCTGCCTAACAACTTTAATGAGCTATTCAAATATTAAGGCTGCTTATATTGAGTTCTCACATTTTAATTATCATATATACATATTTTAAATTTTCATTCTAATTTCATATAAGCTAAATAATCTTATGGATGCGTAGACTAAAATATTTGGTACAGGAGAATAAGACCAAATGTAAGCTGAAAAGAAACTCCTGTAAGAATTAATTAATAAAATCAAGTTGGAATAAAAAAAGACTTTATAATAAAAATTTTTCAAATATCATTATTATTGAATTTTATTAATTTTATATATATTAAAATTATTGATTAAATTGAAAGATTTTATATAAAATATATAGAATAATTATTTATTAATATATTATTATTCATTTCAATATCCATATGAATTTGAAATGTAGGAAAATAATTTAATATTAGAGAGTTTATATTAATTTAAGTGTTCGATTTTTATTATTATGAAGTTTGAAAAAATATAGATTCTCCTAACGTATCATAAAGATTATGATCATAATATTGCAATGAATAATTTTAATTTCTATTAATGCAAATTTCTTCTTAAAATACTTGAGAGTTTAGACCAGCAAATACTTACCAAATGCTAGATTTTATAAATAGCCCGAAGAGGACAAATTCTTTGGATATTTTGAACATTTAGACTTGAATTTATATTTAATAAACATTTAAGTAATACTATATGTAATTAAAGGAATTAAATATATATGAAGCTAATCATCTAGTAGAGGGAATAAAATTAAAATTATTATAAAAATGCTCTAAGTAATCTTCAGATTTTACAAAATTTTGGTTAGGGTTTTTCTTTCAATATCAATTATCCAAAAATAAGGTTATTTTAGGTTTAAAAGAAAATACTATTGTAATTTTAGTCTTGTAATACATATATATATTTTATTTAATTTGGTTTCGTCTGAGGTTTATTACGTAGAAAATGCTTAAAAATTTTTTAAGGATCCTGTTTATTGTTGCTAGATTAAGTGCATTATTTTTAATTCTAATGACAATTTGAGAAAAAAAATTAAAGCGATCCTTGTCAAAGTTATTGTTGTAAGGTGTCCATGTAGTGTTGAATATAGTAAGATTAATTTTGAAATCAAACTTCCAACAGGATTAATAGGTAAAAATCTTTACTAATATTATAGGGGCTCCTATATGAATGTAGATTAAAAAGGTGAAATAGTGAATCAACTCTTAATTTTGATAATAAAATATTCTCTTTCTTAAGCAAGTATCAAAAGAAAAAAACTTTAGTTCAACCATCGAATTAATATAATATATTATAATTATAAAATTATAAGATATTGTGTTAATATTTTAATATTTTGTAATTCATTTTAATATCCAATCAATTTGTTTATTTTTTGACAAAATATTGAAAATCTATTGATTGATTTTATTCACAGCATTTTCGTAAGATTAAATTTAGGAATTTATTTATAATATATGAATTGATATTTGATATATTTTTAATTGAAAAAAAAAAGTTGCTAGAGCTTAAAAACTTATATTGACATTCTTAAACTGTTTCCTAAGATGCATTCATTTAAACTAAATTTATTGAATTTGATTTAGCATTGGCATCTGTTGTAGGTACTTTATAAAATTTGATTAATTTTTAAAGAAAAACATAAGCTTTCTTAGAATAATTTGTCTAATTAGGATACAAATAATGTAATTAATACATTATATATATAAATTAGTCATTTTTAATAATGTTAACAAGGTAAATAAAATTTATCTTAGACTATTATGCTTTAAATGCAGTAATTATCCGAATTAATATAATGATTAGAACTGTATTCAAATTATCTATAGGTGAAATTGAGTATAGTAAAAAATAAATAAATAAATCCAAATATAATTAATTATTCATATGTTAATGATCATGATATTACACAATTATCATTTTTCTTTTAAGTAATATCTACGAGGGTATCCAAAATATAACTTCCTCTCTATTGAAATAATATCCTTAAATCTTCTCCTTAAAAAGTCACAAATTCTCCTTTCAAGACTAAAGTTCCATTTGATTATAAATACGGATTTGTAGATAAAACGAGAAGTGGAATATTAGAATTAACTTAAATAAATAAAAATAAATACCAAAATTTGTAATACTATTGTTCTATTAAATTAGAGTCTTACTTTTTTCAAGAACTTCTCTATAATTGTTATCAGCAGGTTAAATTTCGATTCCTGTTATAACATCCCATAAACGGATAGACTCATGATCACTACCCAATGTAAATATATTACCATAAGGAGAGAAACAAACTGATTAGTAATTGTTAATATGACCATCTAATTTAGTTTTGTTTGTTCCTGTTTAAATATCCCATAGACGAACAGTGTAATCACTACTACCAGATCCTAATAAAAATCCATCAAGAGAGAAACAGACAGAATAGATAGTATTAGTATGACCACCCAATTTGACTTTTTATTCTCCTGTATTTATATCCCATAATATGATGAAACAATCATCACTACCAGAAGCTAATGTATTACCATCAGGAGAGATACAGACAGAATTGACACTATTGATATGACCATTNAGCATTGGCATCTGTTGTAGGTACTTTATAAAATTTGATTAATTTTTAAAGAAAAACATAAGCTTTCTTAGAATAATTTGTCTAATTAGGATACAAATAATGTAATTAATACATTATATATATAAATTAGTCATTTTTAATAATGTTAACAAGGTAAATAAAATTTATCTTAGACTATTATGCTTTAAATGCAGTAATTATCCGAATTAATATAATGATTAGAACTGTATTCAAATTATCTATAGGTGAAATTGAGTATAGTAAAAAATAAATAAATAAATCCAAATATAATTAATTATTCATATGTTAATGATCATGATATTACACAATTATCATTTTTCTTTTAAGTAATATCTACGAGGGTATCCAAAATATAACTTCCTCTCTATTGAAATAATATCCTTAAATCTTCTCCTTAAAAAGTCACAAATTCTCCTTTCAAGACTAAAGTTCCATTTGATTATAAATACGGATTTGTAGATAAAACGAGAAGTGGAATATTAGAATTAACTTAAATAAATAAAAATAAATACCAAAATTTGTAATACTATTGTTCTATTAAATTAGAGTCTTACTTTTTTCAAGAACTTCTCTATAATTGTTATCAGCAGGTTAAATTTCGATTCCTGTTATAACATCCCATAAACGGATAGACTCATGATCACTACCCAATGTAAATATATTACCATAAGGAGAGAAACAAACTGATTAGTAATTGTTAATATGACCATCTAATTTAGTTTTGTTTGTTCCTGTTTAAATATCCCATAGACGAACAGTGTAATCACTACTACCAGATCCTAATAAAAATCCATCAAGAGAGAAACAGACAGAATAGATAGTATTAGTATGACCACCCAATTTGACTTTTTATTCTCCTGTATTTATATCCCATAATATGATGAAACAATCATCACTACCAGAAGCTAATGTATTACCATCAGGAGAGATACAGACAGAATTGACACTATTGATATGACCATTCAATTTGGCTTTTTATTATCCTGTTTTAATATACCATAACAGGATTGAACAATCATCACTACCAGAAGCTAAAGTATTTCCATCAGGAGAAATAGAGATAGAGTTGACACTATTGATATGACCATCTAATTTTTCTTTTTATTATCCTGTTTTTATATCCCATAAAAGGATTGAACAATCATCACTACCAGAAGCTAATGTATTACCATCAGGAGAGATACAGACAGAATTGACACTATTGATATGACCATTCAATTTGGCTTTTTATTATCCTGTTTTAATATCCCATAGTCGGATAGAGTTATCGTTATTACCAGATGCTAATATAGTACCATCTGGGGAGAAGCAAACCGATAAAATTTCGCTAGTATGACTATTTAATTTGGCTTTTTATTATCCTGTTTGTATATCCCATAACAGGATAGAACAATCATCACTACCAGAAGCTAAAGTATTTCCATCAGGAGAGATACAGACAGAGTTGACGTTGTTAATATGAGCAATCAATTCGGCTTTTTATTATCCTGTTTTAATATCCCATAGTCGGATAGAGTTATCGTTATTACCAGATGCTAATATAGTAACATCAGGAGAGAAACAAACCGATAAAATTTTGCTAGAATGACGATCCAATATGGCTTTTTATTATTCTGTTTATATATTCCACAAACGGATGGAGTTATCATCACTACCAGATGATAATGTAGTTCCATCAGGAGAGAAAAAAACCGATCTAACATAACCACTATGACCCTCTAATTTAGCTTTTTATTTTCTTGTGTTTATATCCCATAGACGAATAGAATAATCACTACTACCAGACCCTAATGTTATTCCATCAGGAGAGAAACAGATCGAGTTGACAGTGTTAGTATGACCATCTAATTTTGCTTTTTATTATCCTTTATTTATATCCCACAAACGGATGGAATAATCATTACTACTTGAGGCTAATGTATTTCCATCAGGAGAGAAACAAACTGAGTAAATAGTGTTAGTATGACCATCTAATTTTGTTTTGTATTTTCCTGTTTTAAAATCCCATAGACGAATAGAATTATCATTACTACCAGAAGCTAATGTACTTCCATCAGGAGAGAAACAGACTGTATAGACATAATGAGTATGACCATCTAATTTGGATTTTTATTATCCTGTATTAATATCCCATAAACGTATAGAGCTATCTACACTACCAGATGCTAATGTAGTTCCATCAGGAGAGAAGCATACAGCTAAGACAGTATTTGTATGTCCATGCAATTTGGTTTTTTATTATTCTGTTTTAATATCCCATAAACGTATAGAGTTATCTACACTACCAGATGCTAATGTAGTACCATCAGGGGAGAAGCAAACCGATCGAACATAATCATTATGACCATCAAATTAGGATTTTTATTATCCTGTTTTTATATCCCATAAACGGATCGACTTATCATAACTACCAGATGCTAATGTAGTACCATCAGAAGAAATGCACACTGACTACACACTCCCACTATGACCATCTAATTTATTCAATTCATGTATTTTTAAGTTAATCCATTTACAATTAAACATCAATGCGCCATTCAAATTGGCTCCACTTATGTCTACATTATAGAATTATGATCCACTAAAATTGCATTGTGCAAAGTTGCCACCAATAACTGAAGTATTCTGGATTCTGATATTTTCAAAGCCTTAATTTTTAAGATCAGCTTTCATTTCCACCAATAGATTAAGTGCATTTGATCCACATTAAATAAACTTACTATCAAAAGCTGTGAGGTGAACCAAGAATTTTAAAAATTCTATGATTTTCTTATCTTAATCTATTTTTTGGATAAGATTTTATCTAATTTTTTGGTATCCATAAATCGAGTATTCATTTTAACTAAATTCATGTTGATTAAGATTATTCATCAATTTTTTAAGTTACTTAATGGACCACATCATGTCTCTTAAATTCACTTCTGCATTTTCGTATTATTAGTAAAGCTTTTGATTATCATTTTAATCGAAGAATCCGATACTATCAGAAATCTTTTCTTTATTTAACATCTTAATAATCAGGCTAAATATCAATGTATCAATATATTTCGATTAAGAGATAATCTCATATAAATTTTCTTTCCATTCATAAGTTTGAATCCTTTAGTATATTTAATTACTTACTTGATTAATGATTAAAATAATTGGATTCCTTCCTTCGACTTTTCGATAAAAGCCTTTATATGATAGTCCCACCAAATCTTAATCTTATCTAATTCAGTAAAATAATATTTTTTTTGATCATTCCAATCGTTTAAAGTTGTTCTTTCAAGAATTTAAACTAATTTTTCTAATTCAGTGTAGGAGGATTCTGCTAAATTAGTATTTTCGTTGATGAGATTCAGGAATGAATAATTTTCCTTTTCAATCCAATCATATCCTTACTTGATTGATTGTGATAATTCTTCCCAAATTTTCTTGAGCATTAATTCGGTTTGAGAGATCAAGGATTTAAAAGCAATTCTCTATTTTGTTAACTCAGAAGACTCATCAAGCTTGGAATCTTTTAATTTCTTGATAGCCATATCTTAAAATTTATTTATCGGAATTGTTTGTTTAACATTAACTCCATGGTCGTATTGGCATTCGGCACACAATTTCCTTAAGCATGAACACATATGGGGTGCAACACATATAAATGATATTGGATTTTTTATGTGATAATTGCAATTCATTGATCTTTATTTGTTAATAAATTTATATTACTTTAACTTTAAGTTTTCTACTAAAAATGAATAAGAGTATATTTTTATTTTTTAAAGTTGATGCCCAGGCTTTGTTTAGACTTGGAATCGATTTTAGTTTAAGTAAAGATGCTATTGAAAATCAATTCTTCATTTGTATATTTTGATTCTTTCATAATATAGAGTGATTATTTTTTTAGATTTTTTGGATGAATAATGTAAATTTTAAATAATATCTTTCATTTTTCTTGTTCATCCTAATTATAGGCATAAATAATGGTTATTTTGTATTTTAATCCGAAGAAACAGGAATATGCCTCATTCAATCTTCCTCACCTCTTGATATTTCAAATAATCGATGTTGAATTTGAGGTTGTAGTGAAATTGTTATTCTTTGAATTTCTAGATATAGAAACTCAAAAAAACACTTAAATATTATTGTATAGTATCTTTATGTTGATAGCCTGAAAAGCTAATTTTCTTTTCAAACACTCTTAAAAGGAATAAGACATTAAAGATTTTAGTACATCCCTTAATTAAAATAATCGTTAAGAATTATCTTTTTATTTGTAAAAACCCCTTATAATTTATATAGATTAATCATTTTGTGATAAAGGATTATTATTAATAATTTTAAATATTTGCTTAAATACAATATTTTAATTAACTTAACAAGCATATAAGGCTCCTAAGGCGCCAGCCTTCTAAACAATAAATCTATTATTGTAAAGAAGATTTCTCTGATCTTTAATATTAACTATATGTTCAATATGTAAAATACTATATAATGAAACAATAATGAATCAAAAATGTTTATAATTAACTGATAAATCGAAAATGGAATCTTAATTGAAAAATTAGCATTAGGAGTATCAACTAAGCCCATACTAATTTCTTATTTATTTGGAAGCTATCTGGCCTCCATAATCTTAATATAGTATGCAAGTGATGTTTCTGATGATCTAATGGGTTACACAATCATATCATTAAGGACTTATTTTTATTACTCAATATTATGTGCAACTTTTTTCATGATGTATATTTTAGTAGAAATAGAAAAACATTTCTTTGGACAATTAATACTATAGTTTAAAACCATATGCTCACGTTAAAATATTTAAATATTATTTCATTTTTCATATTATAAGTCAATAAATTTTAAGTGGAGATTAAATTAGTAGGATCTTTTAATTTTTATCCTTACTCTTAAGGGAATTACTGAGATGGAAGCAATTGTATAGAGCTTCAATTAAGCTCATACTTAAATTAGCTAAAAACATCTTCAATGGAGTAATTGATGAAGATGAAGTCTGGAATACTTTTGCTTATAGACTGAGATGGCAGTAGTTTACATAAAAAGAAAAAAGAGTTAATTAAAGGGAGTTTGTGATTAGATAGAAAAAGGGTTATCTCCTGAGTTTTTCACATAAGATTAAATACTGTCCATAAATGGGTGTCTTGAAAGACTTAAATATAATTAGAAAAAATGTAAGTAATGTGAAGCTTGATGGTCGTTAAGTCATGTTTAAATCCATAGCTCTTTTCTGTTCTAAATCTTTTAAGCCCTCAAGGATATTTGAACAAGAAGAATCAGACTAGTAGACTATAATCTATAGATTAAATATCTATTAATAAACACTCGCAATAAATATAAAATCTTCATTCAAGATTGAAGTTATTAGAAGAAAAAATTTCCCAAGAGAGAGTGAAGAAAAGAGTTTGATATATCATTTACTCACAAACAGAAATAAAATAATATAAACTTCTTTATAATTATTTTATTGATATTAAATTTATTAATGATCTATCAAATTTAGTTTTATTTCTTCCCAATACCTTCACTAAATTCTTCACATTTTCTATTCCATAAAAATTGTAAAATATCATCCTCTAAGCTCTAAGGGTTACCCATGCTTCGCTTGAAAAAAATTAATAACATTTCAAGCATAAATAATTAAAAACAATCATTTAATTTAATAATCCTTAGAAAAATTATTTACCTCCATTCCCTATTAATATTAACCCTCACCTTTTAAATTCTACCAAAATTGATTGAAGGTGATGAGTTTACTATAGCATGAACCGACAGATCCTTTCAACTCTACATAAATGAGTGATTATTAAAATCACCATTTCTAATCTTTTTATTGATACGAAGAAGGAAAGTTTCCAGTTAAAATTAATAAGTTTCAGATTATATAATCCTGACTCTAAGGATCTCCATCACAGAGACTTCTTTAATTGTCCATCCTTATCTCTCATCATGTTTAATACCTATATATTCAGTTGATACCAACTTCAACTTACTAATATATGTTTTCAATTCAAAAACAGTTTTCTATTTTTCAACTTCTCTTTCCAACAAATGAGTTTAAACTATCAATTTTTTTAAATTTCTATATACAAATTACTATTTACAGTCATTCATAAAGTCAACATACATTTATTTGCTTAGTCTCTGTGTAAGGAATTATTTATTGGCTACAGAGATCATTACTGTCTTATTATGAGATTAATATTCTGGGGTTTTCAGTCAGAAAAATTCTAAATCTAATGTCATTATAATCCAGAAAGTCTATTAAGCATGAAAAATTCCTTTAAACAATATTGGAATAGTCCAATTAATTCATTTATATATACTTAGTTATCTAATTCTTCTCCTTATCATCCCTCTATAACTCTAACTCTATCCAGATCAAATAACCTCCTCTCTAATTAATCATTCCTTAGATCAACCAACATCGATTCAAAAACCTTCTAATTCTTCTTTAATATTTTGTTCTTCTTGGTAAGTTTAACGAGTTACAGTTTCTGATCCTATTAAAATTATCACTTCTCTTCTTGAATATCCTGATAATAGAAGGAGAAGTTCTCTCTGGCCAAATCTATTTATATTGTGTAATTGCTTCAGTATTCATTAGGTACTTGGCCAGACCAGGAGAAACAAAAACTGTATCAATATATTATAAGAATAGGTTTCTTTTAGAACTATATGCCATACGCTTCTTACTTAATCAACGCTTTATTTTAAAAATCAACCTTCTTCTTTTTCTTGATCTTTTTTACTTTAAGCACTTTCGAAGAGAGAGTTGCTTTAGAATATTTCAAATCACATCTTCGAGAGTACTTCTGTATTATTCTGAAATCTAATATCTCGACCAAAAAACTTAACCAACTCAACCAACTAGTATGGATGGCTTAAAAGCTAATTTAATAGGTATCTCTTCTCTACACTGATAATGATAAATGAATATTATCTAACTATGTTTGATAAGTATGAGAAAATTTTTAGGAAATTAATAAAATTAAACATCATTCTCAAATAATATATAAGTATGGATTAATAAAATGACATTCCATTTAAAAATTTTAAGTAATAATTTTAATTTTTCATTTTTAAATTCTAAAGTATTAAATAATATATCAACTCTAATTATCAAAAGTAATGAAGTTTGAAAGTTGATCTTCTAATTATAAATTTTTATTTTCTAGATTACTAATAAAATTTACCTGAATCTTTTAATTAATTAATAATTGTTTATCTATCATAAATGCAGTTTCAGTTAAACAATTAAATAATTCTTTGGAAAATTAAATAGCATCAACCAAATTCATTATTATTAATTGATAATATATACAAGATATTCTTTTGGTTTGAATTAAACAAAAATCAGAATATATTTACAATTTTGTCTCTTTTATATTAGCAATAATTCTCGATTAATCAATCACTTCTTTTAAGTAGTTCTAAATTTTCAAGTGTATATTTATAAAATTGAATTGAGTCTTCATTGGTTTTGAATTTTTTTTTATATTGCCAAAATTAGATTAATTACCAAAAAAGTTTTACTTGTACATAATAGCTCAAGATGTGCTTTTTGAAAAGAAGAGATATACATATCATTGATTATATTTGATAATTAAAAACAAATATAATATTTAGAAATATCTTACTTTTAAATAGGAGTAGGTTATATAAATTAACAAATTTATAACAAATTCCTTCCAACTATTTTTTCAAATTACTTTTTGCATCTTGTGTGGTATCAAATTTGTGTATTATACCACTATCATCTTGGAAAATGTCACAAGAGAAATTATTGTTCCTCATTTGAGAAGATAATAGAAATTTTCTAATTGAATTAAATTCTTAATTTATCCTTCTAAAGCTCTATAAGCAAACTTAAATTTAGTCTTGTTTTTATCTTGGCTTTTAATTATCTTATACAAAGGCCTTCTTAGTAAATGGAAAGCTTTTAGTTTAGGGTTTAATTCATTTTTTCTTATTTATTCAAGTTCTATTTATACCTCTCCATATATCAAAAGGTTGATAAATATATGGTTATGAAAGAGAAACCTGGAAGGGAGACCAGTTTTTTAATAATTTATTTTCATTACTACTGATCTTTTCTCTTTCTACTTTCATAACTTAATTACTTCTTCCTGAATTTATATATTTTACCATCCATTATCCATCAAAAATATACCCATTCGGGTTCTCTTTGAATCGAATGCTTCCTCCAATTTAATAGTATAAAAATCTATAAAGCAGTAGTTTAAAGTCAAAAAATCTTAGTATTTAATCAATTGATTTATTATCTCTTGATTTGACTAACTTAAGAATCAATTCAATAGATATCAATACTGTTATTGCCATCTCTCTAAATAGTTTTTAATATAAGGGGAAACAAAATGAAAATAAAAGAACCAAAATACAAATCTGTAGAATCCCATTCAAATTTTAAGTTGATTATATAAACTGGATATTTTAATATGGTTTCTTTGTTCTTGTTATATTTTCTCGTAGTAGTATGAATACTCCTAAGTTTTTAAAGGGTTTAACTTTTCAAATTCAATTTTTTCTTGTTCAAACTTTTTATCAAATAGATTTTTTTATACTCACCTTAAAGTTGAATTAATCAGCTAGATCTTAGTTCAAGTTGCTAATTGATCAAAAGCCGTTATTACCACATCATCTTCATAAACTAATCTCATTGTGGCTTTTCATCAAACTTAATAGAACAAAGTCTTTTTTTTTTAATTTATCTGATTTGCATATTATTTTTTTTTTAATTTATCCAGTTCATCTAAAGCGATAATATGTATATCAAAATAAGGAAAGCAGTTAAAAACGAACTCTATGTATACCATATAGAAGTGAATTTTTCTTTTTTTGATAGGGTCGTAAATATTTAACTGTTGATATAGCCATTCCAGTTCATATAAATCATCAGTAGAGTGGATGACATGCACTTCTTTTATCTTTTAAGGGGTTAAAAGATCTTGATCATAAAGTAAAATCTAATAAAATACCTTTTTACAATCTATTATTTGTGACATGATCATTCTAAATATTTGATTTAAATAAAATAATCTAAGTGTGACATGAAACAAAATTAAGAAGGGCAAAGCTTTTCAGTAAACAGCCTTTTTTAATCTTCGCATGAAGAAAGCCTTGGCCCATTTTAAGTAGCAACTCAATACCATCATATGTTTAAGTTACCCCGAAGAGGATCAGAGGATACATTTTCTACAGTGGTACAAGCATCAAACGGACACAGATTTTAATTGTTGAGTACCTTGACACTGATTGAGACAACACAATTATTAGTGAATTAAGAAACTAACCAATTAAACTTGACTAGATCAAAGGAAAATGCCGTCTTATTGTTTTCTATGTTCACTGTCTACTTAGGCAAGTAAAATTTTAGATTCTTTGGAGTTTCCACCCTTATTTAGACAATCTAGTTTTTTAGATTCTCACAAAATCCTCAAAATAAATCATTTTATTTTCCAAATTTCCATTCTATATAATTACGAATCATCAAGTATTAAATTTATTTTAATTTATTCCTTGTTTTTTCTATTAGTTATCTTAGTGGCTACATCATTAAATAGGTTTATTTCTTTCCAATTTGATAATTTCTCTCTTAATCAATGATGGAAGCACAATATTTAACAGTTTCTCTTGTACCTAGCGTTTTATTAAAGTTTAGTTTTGTTAGTCTAAGTGTATATTTACTAATAATAGAATACATAAGATAAGGGTATTTTAAGTTTCTTGATTCCTAATTCTCACAGCAAGGAATTTTTATTACTATAGTCGTTATGATGTTTCTTTCCTATCTTTCTTAAAGTGTTAAATGTTTAACTTTTACATTCTTATCATATAAGGCTTCTTGAGAAGTAATAAAAAAAATTGAACTTTATATTTCTATTTAGAATAGCCTTAAAGGAAGAGCAAGCCTTATGGATCTAAGCTTTTTAATTAGAATCAGTTTTATGAATTAGATTTAAGAGTAAATCAAAATTGAAAATTTGTTTAAATTGGCTGTTATTCATTTATATTAAAGGAATTATATCAAATTTTTGGCTCATTAACCAGAATGTAAACTTAGGATAAGGACAATTCTTAGAATAAAGGTGGAATCCATCATTATTAAAATAAATTCGATTAAATCATTAATTAATAGTCAAAATAAAAATAAGTAAGATTATAGTTAGTTATCTTATTTTGTTATAGTTTGAATTTCAAAACAAAGAAATTTAGCTTTACTCCAAAATAAATTCTGAACAACTGTGACCACGAATTCACTTTAATTATTTTATTTACTCTATATTTATTAATGTATATAAAAAAGATTCTTTTATTTTCTACTACAATGTTTTGTAGTAAAAGAATTATTACTTCTATTTGAAATTTTTATTGAAAGATATATTATATTAATGCCATCTTTTTGATATTATTTAAATAAAAATAATTAAAAAAGAATAACAAAAAATTAAATAATTGATGAAGTTTGAATTAATTAGATTAAGGGTGAGTATTTTTACAAATTTGATTGGCAGACCCTAGATAATACTATTTTTAATCAGAATTATTTAAAGATATACACATAATCTTTATTTTGAATAACATAAATTCATTAAAATTCTCATTGAAAGATAATAGATTTAAGAATATAATAAAAGGTTATCATTTTCTAATACTTATAAGAGTTCAATTTGTTAAATAAGTGAATTTGGAAAAGTTGTTGAATCTAGTAGTATTAATAATTATTGTCTTTGTGAATAAGCAATTCCAAAGATTGGGAAAACAATGTTTGCATTCTAAATGCTTAGTGGAACAAGTATTCGTATTGGAATTGGATTCAGAGATATTATATAAAAAAATAATTATTAAAATTGTGGATTTGGGTTTGGGTATTAAATATTAATCATAATAGATCATATTTAATACGTTAAGATGGTTATACATTCTCACATCATAATAAAGATGTAGACAATAAATAATTATCATTCACTTTTACAAGTAATGATATAATAATAATGGAAGTTAGTATTGAACATAAATATATTAAATGGACTAAATAAAATAATCCATTTCTAATACTTGTAACTATCAAATCTATTATTAGTAGTAGCAAATAGATACATCAATATCATAAGAATTATATCCATGTGTTAATATTTATTAATCTAAACTTAAAATATTCGATAATATTCCAAATTTATAATTAAAATGAAATAATTT